AACCGGAGGGTTTGTAAGAAGGTGTTGTTAGTGGCCACCTTTAAATCACTTGCACTTGGGTTTATGGCGCGTGTGTTCGCCTACACCCTCTCCACACCCTCCTCCTCCTACCTTGTGTAGCTTCAGGGGGATCAACAGCCCCGCGGCCCGGTCTCCCACCAAGCCTCCCGGTTGGTCGTCTGGTCAATCAAACGGTCATCGCAGGGTAAGGTAACCCAAAGGAGACATGACCACAATGTACAAGATGCTGATAGTTATTGACAAAACGGATAAGGATAGACTGTCTTTGAATTTACCCAACCTTGAATTTTATTGGATAAGGATAGATTGTGCTATAACTCCGAGACGTTGAATGTTACAAACACTTATGGACACCAGGGATGGCAGGACATGCTACTACACACAAAGTCGATAACAAAACGTGGGAAGTTGATAGTACTGATGCACAAAATTACTTGTCAAGAGGCGAGTCCCAGGAGCTTATTCTACCTGCAAACTCTCTCCCCAACCACTTGGGCTGGACGGTAGAGCGACTGTCTCTCTTCATACAGGTCGGCGTTCAATTCGCGACGAGGTATATGGGGGATTAACATGCCTCGCCAAGTGGTTTGGCACCCTTCCTCCCCCCCCCCCTTTCCAGTGCTATATAGTCGTAATGGCTTTGCGCTTTCCCCTAGAGTTGTCTTCATGCCGGGAACATTGAATAGTTAACGTACACAAGCAGGGTGAGAGAGGGTGTAGTGAAGCTGACCTTCAATATGAGTTTAACAAATGAAATGAGCTGGAGGAGGTGGAACTGGAGGCAAATGGTAATCAGTTATTATAATAAATATCAGTGTTTGAGTGGCATAGACCTTAAGGGTGTCCAATAGTACTAACAGGAAGGGGAGGGTGACCTGGAGCTGGACCACCTCTCACAAACACAGCTATAAGCGCTTGGCAACATCTTCCAGCAAGATGTAGACATTTGCAAACTCCAAGCAAATCCTTAGTTTTGGCTTAGTACTCTTAATTATTTGTAAGTGTTAGGAAATTGCGTGCAGTGAAGTCACATGTATTTGTTTATTAGCGTGCAGAGGCACGCTCAATAGTGCAGGCGCGCCGAGGGATAGGTGGTAGTAGAGAGGATTCCTGCTAGGGCAGATGGTGGGCAACCATCCACAAGTAGCGACCAATCCCTACAAGTTATTGGCGGAATATCGCCTTTAACTGCTGGGACCACCGCTTATTGAACATGAGAGCCGTGGCTGGCCAGCTCTTGACACACGTTGTTCGCCGCCACCTTCTTCTGGCAGGTGGGACGGCCTCTCCTGGTCCTTGTCATGTGGGTGTACTGCTACACGGGCAGGGATGGGTACCCCGTTGAGGGCACGGGGGGCACTAGGAGGAACCAGAGAGGGTGGGGCACGGGGCAGAAGAGTACGGTAAAGGGTGGGTGCGGATGACGAGTAGAAGAACTCCCAGAACCCCATCAAGCAGGTACAACACCGTGGCCGACGTCTCTGGTAATGTACAGGAGGAAGGTGAAGCTGCCGCTCGCCACCAGCAGCTCACAGCACTTCACAAATTGGGTCAGGGATAAATAGCTGAGGGGCCCTGGGGCCGCCGCCGCCGTCACCCGACACCATAAGGGTTGACACGTGATCCTCCTCCTGGCTCCCGCCCTCACTTCACTCAAGTGATCTCCCTGCTACTCAAATATAACTTTACAAATAATACATATTTTTAATTCTACATAATCATATACATATAAGTGTTAATACACGTTAGATTACCTTACCTTGCACTTACATTGCGATGATTTCGGAGCTCGGCGTCCCCGCGGCCCGGTTATCGACCAGACCTGCTGGTTGATGGACTGGTCAATCAAGCTGTTGGATGCGGCTACTCGCATCCTGAATGAATCACAGCCTGGTTGATCAGGTATCCTTTTGAGGTGTTTATCAAGTTCTCTTGAACACTGTGAGGGGTCGGCCAGTTACGCCCCTTATGTGTAGTGGAAGCGTGTTGAACAGTCTCTGGCCTCTGATGTTGATAGTTCTCAGAGTACCTGTTGCACCTCTGCTCTTCAACGGGGGTATTCTGCACATCCTGCCATGCCTTCTGGTCTCATGTGTTGTTGTTTCTGTGTGCAGGCTTGGGACCAGCACCTCTAATATTTTCACGTCTAAATTATTACGTATTTCTCCCGACTGTGCTCAAGAAAATACTTAGACATTTTCGTGGCACTTGTTCCGGAAGTGTTGGAACGAAATCAGTCGAGTCGTGTGTAAACCGTTTTTCATTCATAAACAGAGGGGTTGACGGGTGCATGGAATCCCTTTTGAATCTTTGTTTGGAGGACGGGCTGTAGATTGTGTCCTTATCTATGTCCGATATGAGGATGAAAAAAAGTACTGGACCACAGTACCCTGGGGGACTGAGCTCTTCACGGTTGATGGTCCGGATATTATTTTGTTAACTATTACACATTGGGTTGTTAGTCAGGAAATTGTAGATCCATCTGCCTAATTTTTCCGGTGATTCCTTTTGAACGCAGGTTCAGAGTTTAATAGGTGGGATAAGCAGGCGATGAGTCACAATAACGTGGCTGAAGTATGTTAACCAGACCACACACTAGAAGTTGAAGGGACGACGACGTTTCGGTCCGTCCTGGACCATTCTCAAGTCGATTCAACTTGAGAATGGTCCAGGACGGACCGAAACGTCGTCGTCCCTTCAACTTCTAGTGTGTGGTCTGGTTAACTTAGGTGGGATAAGTTTGTGATCCCACTTTTCCCAGACACCCCTGGCGCCTCAAATAACACCACTTGTGGGCTTTTACAATGTTGTGCCTGTATAATTAGCTGACACATGTCAATCGCATTATATTTAACTTGTCGATGAAAGGAATAGAAAATGATAGTGAACTGTGTAAGGTGGAGGGAGGGAGGGTGGGGGGGGGGGGTCGCTTGCGTGGGATGGTGTTGATGTAGATTGTTTGTGTGAGCGGGGTGGAGAAAGTGGGTCGTCAGTTAGGGCTGAGTCCGTAACAACCACATCATTCTACACGTGTGTGAATTGAGGGTCGGGAGCGGAGAGAAGCGTGCATGACTGGTAGAAGTGTGCATAACCTTAGGAAAAGGAAGCGTGTGTGACTGTTTGGCAGGCGGGGAGGAAGCGTGACTGACTACCTACCGACCTTGTGTAGCTTTCGTGGATAAGCAGCCCCGCGGCCCGGTTTCCAACCAGGCTTCCCGGTCAGTCGTCTGGTTAACAAAGCTCTTGAACGCAGCCTGACGTATGAGTCACAGCCTGGTAGATCAGGTATCCTCTAGAGGTGTTTATCCAGTTCTCTCTTGAACACTGCGAGGGGTCGGCCAGTTATGCCCCTTATGTGTAGTGGAAGCGTGTTGAACAGTCTCGGGCCTCTGATGTTGATAGTTCTCTCTTGAGTACCTATTAAGAAAAAATATTTTTTTTGCCTCCACCTGAAGCTCAAAAGACAGACGTCTTGGGGATGACTGTACCTGTGGGTAAGAAACCGTGATTTAGAGACGGGAAGCTTGGGGTTCTCAGGGTGTGGCGTGTGTTGCCTCCCCAGTGTTGTCTTACAGATGGTGTGCTGGGGCCGGTGAGTGTTCCCTCTGGTGGACTAACAATTCCACACAGCATTGGCCTCAGCTTTAACACACTTATGTCCGTTCAAAGGAAGATGCATATTGAAATTATACCATAGTTTATGGGAGGTGGGAGAGGGGGTATGAATACTAAATACTGTACACGAATTTTGTATTTAGAACTTTAATTAATAAAGATACCTAGATGTAGAAAGGTATATCAACCTGTATACAGGAATGTGCAAGTTCTGACAACTTAGCAGGCTTAAAGCTCCCGTCCCACTGCTCATGTTAAGCATTACTCTACTACTTTCCTACTTACTTTTCACTGGAACACTACCCACTAATCGGTTTACCAGGTCCCTTATTATTACTGGGTGAACAGGGACGAGCAGTCAAGGACTGGTGCCCAGTCAAGCCTCCCTGGCTAGGGTTCGAACTCGGACGCAAGGCGCACGGGAAGTATTACCAGTGTTAAAGCCTGGATGTATAAGTTGATGCATTGATACGTCGGCCGTACTAGTATGTGAAGGCGAGTATGAAGTAAGAGCGTGAAGATAATATGTGAAGGTGGCCGCGAGGACATTGTGTGGTGGGAGCCGTCACGCGTGTCACAGTGTCATCAGCCGTCACACACACACAAGGACGGCCAGCGCCTCACACAGCCCCTCAACACCTGTCTTTACCTCTAAACACACATACGGTCTCGCTTCACCGAATTCGCTTGTACACGTGGGAGACCAAAAAGTGTGCTGACTCTAGCAAGAATTATATATCTTGACGTTTTTAAACGAGTTTTGTTATTTTTACCCGCAGTGTACATAGTTTGCAGACGACACTTAAAATTTTAATGAGCGTAGGCAATAGAGAGGAAACGGTGCGTGAGTGAGTGAGTGCGTGCGTGCGTGCGAGTGCGTGCGGGGGAGGGGGGAGGGGAGCGAGGTTTTGGGCTTAGTGGTGGTTCAGGTTGTTGTTTAACTTCAGTAATCCAGTTGTTGAAGCATAAATTCAACATAATTAATATTAAAGGCTGTTGCCCAAGTGAAGAATAAATCATTTTGAAACATTAAACCAATAAAATAACTTGATTAGTTTTGTAAAGTTTTATCATTTTAATTACCGTTATATGATTTACATAACACTCAGGTCTGATTAGTTCTGTAAATACTATACAGTAAGTTTGTATATGGTTATGTTTTCAATGTACATAATGCACTAGCATTAAAACAGTAGTTTAGTGTGCAAACTGTTTGTGGCAAACATTTGTTTGCTCATCAGCATATAATTTTTTACCTGTGAAGAACGAATGTGAGAATCATTTCTAATACTGCCCCCCCACACCCCATCTCCATAATAACTTCATGTCAATAGAAGGAGTAACTTGTCTGGTGTTGTTGACAGGTGAAGCCCCAAGATGAGTGACGGGGTGGACCAACAGCAGCAGCCGCCGCCATCTAATGGCGTCAATGGTGCGGCTACACAGGAGGAAGAGGTGCGGCTCATGACGGAAGAGGAGTTGGAGCGGGAAAAGATGAGACCTCCGGACATTGACCAAGACATGAAGGTTTGTTACTTAATGCACTAAATACTTGTTGTAGTCATTTTATCACCATGCACAAGCTACAAACATCAAGTGTACTAAATTATCATTTGTGAACACTGTTGTGGATACAGTAGTTTGAAATTGTTGTAAAAATATTTTTTTTTTAGTGTATTGTATAGTATTATAAATCATATTTATTTTTAACCTTAACAATTAAACTGCGCATATTTGGGGTTTGGAAGCGAAAAATATTCAAATGTATTCAAAATACATTCAAATTATGTAAAAATTACTTAAAGTAAACAAATCTCCAACTTACTGGCTTCATCGTCTTGAAACATTACTTAAAATATTATCAGAAATTGATTTTAGACGAATTTTTAAAAATACGAACATTTTGTTGAAAGGGACATACCCTCTCCAGACTGCCCCCCCCCTTTCAGACTCCCCCACCCCTCCCTCCACACTGCCCCTCTCCACACTGCCCCTCTCCACACTGCCCCTCTCCACACTGCCCCTCTCCACACTGCCCCTCTCCACACTGCCCCTCTCCACACTGCCCCTCACCTCCCCCCCTCTCCACACTGCCCCTCACCTCCCCCCCTCTCCACACTGCCCCTCACCTCCCCCCCTCTCCACACTGCCCCTCACCTCCCCCCCTCTCCACACTGCCCCTCACCTCCCCCCCTCTCCACACTGCCCCTCACCTCCCCCCCTCTCCACACTGCCCCTCACCCCCCCCTCTCCACACTGCCCCTCACCCCCCCTCTCCACACTGCCCCTCACCCCCCCTCTCCACACTGCCCCTCTCCACACTGCCCCTCACCCCCCCTCTCCACACTGCCCCTCTCCACACTGCCCCTCACCTCCCCCCCTCTCCACACTGCCCCTCACCTCCCCCCCTCTCCACACTGCCCCTCACCCCCCCTCTCCACACTGCCCCTCACCCCCCTCTCCACACTGCCCCTCACCCCCCCCTCTCCACACTGCCCCTCCACACTGCCCCTCACCGCCCCCTCTCCACACTGCCCCTCCCCCCCCTCTCCACACTGCCCCTCACCCCCCCCCTCTCCACACTGCCCCCCCTCCCCCCCCTCTCCACACTGCCCCTCACCCCCCCCCCTCTCTCCACACTGCCCCTCACCCCCCCCCCCCTCTCTCCACACTGCCCCCTCACCCCCCCCCCCCCCCCCCACTCTCCACACTGCCCCTCACCCCCCCCCCCCTCTCTCCACACTGCCCCTCACCCCCCCCCCCCTCTCTCCACACTGCCCCTCACCCCCCCCCCTCTCTCCACACTGCCCCTCACCCCCCCCCTCTCTCCACACTGCCCCTCACCCCCCTCTCTCCACACTGCCCCCCACCCCCCTCCATACGGCCTCCCCCAACCCCCTCTCCATACGGCCCCCCTACCCCCTCTCCATACGGCCCCCCTACCCCCTCTCCATACGGCCCCCCTACCCCCTCTCCATACGGCCCCCCACCTCCCTCCATTCTGCCCCTCCCCTCTATACTGACCCCCACCCCTCTCCGTATGGATGAAAAGAAGAGGGATATAGTGAAATGTGAATGTACTTTATTTGAGAATGGAGTATATTTATAGCTGCTGTCAAAATACAGTAGACACAAATATTGAGAAATTCCTGCACTCTACACGATGCTCTTTTTGAAGCCTGGGTAAACTGTGGAGTAAATGTACGCATCCCTAAGGCATTTTTAAGTAAACTAACAATAGCTATTCATTGCAGGAAATGGAACGTCGGAAACGTGTAGAGGCCATCATGAATTCAACCATCTTCCGTGAAGAATTGGAGAAGATAGTAGAGACGCAACTTACGGAAGGCTACTCGGGTTACCAAGCCATCCAAAATATTTCAGAGATGATGGGAATACCTTGTTCACGAGTTAACATGTTCAGAAGTAAGCCATTAAAGTTTCTATAGATAATGCTCTTTTGTTCATTACTATATAACAGTATTGTATTTCCTGTTAATGTTGTGATAGGTTCTTTATTCATAACTATTATATTAACTCTTTATATTAACTATTCTAGGGAGGGGGGGGGAAGTAGGTTTCATGGTTCTCTCTCTGTCTCTCTTTTTCTCTCCTTCTTTCTCTGTTCTCTCTCTCTCTCTCTCTCTCGTGCGCTCTCTGCAAATGCATGTAGTAATCCACATTGATGAAAACATTTATTAAGAGGTATTTTATAGTTTTGTCATTAGATGTTTATAATCATGATGTACATTGAGGAAATATATGTTCATAAATTCCAAGCATTTTGTAGCAAAAAATATATCTATGGTAAGGTATCACTTGTCTTGTATATTGTGCATTCATCTTTAGGCAAAAATTTTTTTGTTAGGGTTTTCCAGCACAGTGAAGAAGCCATTAAATAAGCCTGTGCATATGTTTCAAGAGATGTTTTATCAGTAAGATAGAGAACAACATACATACACAGTTTATGTTCATGTATCAAGTTTAAAAATGTATACTTGCCCACAGGTAGCCAAAGTGTTATCCCAATAAATGATATTCGTGGTATGGAAAGTCTCAACTTTGCCAAAGGAGAAAAATTGCTTCGATGTAAACTTGCAGCAATCTACAGACTTATTGACATGCATGGCTGGACACAGAACATTTACAATCACATTACGGTAAGTTTTCTCTATTTTCTTTAAAGCTGCTATATAGTATTTTAATTATTTATTTTTTCCAATTTATATTCATTTTAAAAATAATTGTAATTGTTTTCTTGAAGACTTTTTACAATACAGTGTCTTGTAGCTCTTGGGGATCTCGGCACAGCCACTTGTGTACTTTTGCACTTGCCTTATTCCAGTTACAGTATTATCAGGTGCAGTTATTATCTATTGAGATTGATTTAGAATGCGAAGTTAGGGCTCAATCAAGGAATACTATTACCAATATAAATTGTTAAAAATGTTCTGAATATTCATGTGATTTATGATTGCAGGCTCGAATTAGTCAAGATGCAGAACATTTTCTCCTTAATCCATTTGGTATGCTGTATCATGAGGTAACTGCGGCCTCACTAGTGAAAGTGGACATGCAGGGCAATGTGGTTGAGGCTGGCTCAACAAACTTCGGTGTAAATGTTGCTGGGTTCATGCTTCACTCTGCCATTCATGCTGCTAGACCAGACATAAAGTGCATTGTCCACTTGCATCATCCTGCAGTTGTAGCGGTAAGTCACTTGCACATTGATGCAATCACTGTTTTATTAATTAATTTTAAATGTTATTGAATGTGTAACTGTTGTTTGGTAGGTACTATTTACTTTTTTACAAATGTGTGACTAATAGAAAATGAATAAGTACAATACCAGAGTGTACTACATTTTTGTGCATATCTGTTCACTATTTAAATTTGTATTCAATATTTTAATAACATAATTAACAGGAATGCACAATAAACATTCTGTTAACTGTGCATTCCAAAAATGTACAATGTTTATTGTGCAACATAAATATTCTAATATTTTTATTCTTTCGTTAAGTAACGTACAGTGTATTAGACTATTGAGTTAAAAAAATGGGTCTGGTCTAAATGCATAACTTACTGTAGTGTTCTATGCATATTATATCATCATTTTAGATACACGACAACTTTCAATACAACGTAACATCAAAAGTCTGAAACTCAAAATAATGAATCCTTAAAAATGTGGAATAATTATACTATTGTACTGAAAAAAATTAGGCAAAAATTTGAAAGCGATTAGAATTTTCAACTTCTCAAAATGGGAAGAGAGAGTGCTGACAAAGTTGGTATCCCTATCCCCCTAACTCAGCACAGCTATACTGTACGTGTTACATAGTCCTACATGCACATTAAAGCATTTCCTTAAATTACTTTCTTATTGTTAATTAACATCCAAGTAGTACAAATATAATAAATCTGTGTCCTGTGGTTTAGCTTTGGTGAAGCTGTGAAGTTTGCTAGTTTCAGTAGCTGGAGGGGCAGGCTTGCCAGCTCTGGCTGCATGGCAATGGCTGATGAAGTGAGGTGCCACATGGCACACTCTTTTATTTGCCTATTTCTTGCTTCATTTTACTTTTTTGCAGTCAAATGATATATCGAGATCACTAGTGGTTTTAATGTTTTAAGTAATGTGAAATATGCATGTGTACAGATGCATATTTGACGTGATTATCATTATGTGCACACCCTATATTTATTGATATCAATATTTACACAAGTTTTACAACTGCACATATCAAATTTTGTTTGCAAAAATATAAATGGATATCACTAATTTGCTGCTTTATTAAAAGAGGAATGTGGTAGCCACTCTAACCATATCAAATGTAGAGTGCAACACACTTATTGAACCACGTGTCACCAGCAGTTTGTGTTTCTGATTCCATTTTGCCCACAGAGCATTGCATTTGTGACCTAGCTTGCATTGTAACAAATGGTAGGTAGTCACTATTGTCATAGACATTACTCCTTTTCAAAAGACTGCCAGGTAGATATAGTGCGTCATGCATGGTAGCAGCTACCGTACTTGCACGGGGCCTTGCTTGTCTCGCGAACACTTATATTCACCATACTATTAAATAGCATAAACATTTACTCTCCCATCTTGTCCCCACCACTAGCAACAGTATCACAAAGACACATTTTTGTTAGCATCAGATTTGTTTTAGTACAAAGTGTACTACTCTCCAGCTGGCAACTGTGTGTGTGTTTGCATTACATCACGGCTTCATGTCAAGGTCACGTCACCACACATTACCTGTTGCTACCTGTTGAATGTTCCGAGGATCAATGTCCCCACTGCCCGGTCTCTGACCAATCCTCCTGGTTGCTGGTCTGATCCACCAGGCTGTTTGATGCGGCTGCTCGCAGCCTGATATACGAGTCACAAACTGGTTGATCAGGTATCCTTTGAAGTTCCTTGTCAAGTTCTCTTTTGAATACTACGAGAGGTTGGCTAGTTATGTCCCCGTATGTGAAAGGAGGGGGAGGGGAGGGGGGGGGGAATAGAGTTGAAAAGTTTTGGGATTTTAATGTTGATAGTTCTCCCTCGGGCATGCCTATTGTACCTCTACTCTTCAGTGGGGGCTATTTTGCACATCCTGCCATGTCTTCTGGTCTTGTGTAATTACCCAAGTTTAATTATTACCTAAATGTAGTTACAGGATGAGAACTATGCTCATGCTGTCCTATCTTCCAAGCACTCTGTCATAATGCTTTGAAATTACTGACAGTTTTGGCCTCCACCAAATTCTCGCCTAACTTGTTCCAACCGTCTACCACTCTGTGGAAGTGACTGTGGTGTTATTTGTGTGTAGAATTGGAACTAGTTCTTCTAATATTTTCTAAGTGTAGATTATTATGCATCTCTCCCACCTGAGCTCTAGGGAATACAGATTTAAAATTTTTAGGTAGTCCCAATAGTTTAGATGTTTTACCAAGTGGATTCTAGCAGTAAAGGATCTTTGCGCTCTCCCCAGGTCAGCAATTTCTCCAGCTTTGAATGTGCTGTTAGTTGCTAACTACCTAAATCACATCCCTAATTACAAAAATATCAAAGCAGAAACCACATATTAAACAGTCAAACCACACCATTAAAAGAAAAAGCAATGTTAAAGATTTAGGGGTAATCATTTTTGAAGACCTTACTTTTAAAGAACACAACAAAGCAGCTGTCACAACTGCAAGAAAAATGGACACATGGATAACAAGAACCTTTCAAATAGATGCCACACCAATGATGATAATTTTTAGAGACACTGGTGGTCTCTAAATATAAAGTGGAATATTGTTGCACACTAACAGCTCCATTCAAAGCTGGAGAATTTGCTGACCTGGAGAACACTCAAAGGATCTTTTATTGCTAGAATCCATTCAATAAAAATTCTATATTATTTGGATTACTTAAAAATGTTAAATCTGTATTCCCTAGGGTGCAGGCAGGAGTATTGCATAATAATTTACTCCTGCAAAATATTAGAAGGACTGGTCCCAAACCTGCACACAGAAATAACACCACATGAGACCAAAAGGCATGGCAGGATGTGCAATATAGCCCCACTGAAAGGCAGTGGTGCAAGAGGCATACAGAGAAGTCGATCAACATCAAAGGCACAACTGAGTGCCTGTACAATAATTGTGTCAATTTGAATATTGAAGGTCTGACATAAATCAAAGAAATTTGATGTAAATATACTAATTAAAGTTTATTTTGTGTCATCAGGTATCTGCTCTGAAACAAGGACTAATGCCTCTTTCACAAGAGTCGCTACTAATTGGAGATGTTTCGTACCATGAATACCAGGGTATCTTTGTTAACATTGAGGAGAGAGAGAAACTTGCACGAAGCCTTGGCCCTATCAATAAGGTAAGTTTTAATTTGTTTGTACCAGTACAAGTCACCATGAATATATATTGTATCTAAATTTAGTAAACAAAATCCTGTCTGATATTTCAGCTTTTTTTTAATTTTTTTATTGTAGGTTATGCTGCTCCGTAATCATGGGGTTGTGTGCTGTGGCGAGACACTTGAAGAAGCCTGGTATAATACCTTCTACACAGTCCTCGCTTGTGAGACTCAGGTTTGTTGCCAAATTAAATTAGGCGCTATGTTCATTTATATTGATATTTTCCATCTAAAATGTCATTTATATTGATATTTTCCATCTAAAATGTCATTTATATTGATATTTTCCATCTAAAATGTAATAATGCCTCTGTAACACAAAGGGGGATGTATTGCAGGCTTAAAGCATTCTACCTTGTTTACTTCCAACTGACTTGGAAGTAGACAAGGTGGAGGAAGGAAGTAGACAAAACATGAAGTTAATTTTTTTTTTTTTGTCTTGCTCCTTCAATAGTTCATGATGTACAACCTCCCCCATACAAAAGTTTGTTCAAAGCAACTGAGTGAGGAACTATTTTGTCAGCTTTTATGTGCTATTTATTTTCAGGGTCTTAGATGTGGGGAAAGAATTGAAGCCCGGTTTGCTTCTATATTCTTCTGTATATTCTTATACTGTATTGGTTTGCTTCTGTGTGTGTAATGATGTGTAGCAGATGGGGAAGGGAAGATTAGTCTGCTTCTTTTACCTTAGGCCATAATGTTGAATGTGTGCTGGCAAAGATTCCCAGTGCTTGCATAATGGTCTGTGTGTATTTCAACAACAACTTTGTCAGTGATTGTATTTTGATCTCAAATGTATTGATAATATTTATTGCACAGTGGGTCCTCATATTGCTATTGGAAGCTTATATGTCCCAAGTTAGTGCTCCTTTGATTATATCTTTATGTGAACTGTTTCTTGGGCTAGTCAATATCTTGGTCAGCATGCATGCAGCAAGCCCTTTTATTCTTATTTTGATCAATGTTTGGTTCCAGTCTTAAGCTTAGTGTTTTAGCCCATCTGGGAGCCTCCATTGTGACTGCATCACTTGAATAGCCTCGACCTTCTACCACTGCCTAGGAGAAAGAGCTAGTAATGTATGCTTTGTGTAATCAATTAGGGCACCTAATTTCTTTGCATCTGCCACAATGCCAGGGAATGATCAAAGTAATCTTATTTGCAAAAGATATCCTTGATAATTTTGCAGTAACTCGTGTATGGTTTTAATTTTTGTTTATTGTATACCATATTCAATTTTCATTATTGTAACCCAGATACAGTAGTTCTAAAGTTGCAATTTACTCCTGCTTCGTTATAATTACAATGAAAGAAATTTGTTATACTGATGTATCTCAATCTAATTCCCAGAATGGTTTAAGAATTAAATTAGTTTTAAATTAAATATACTTCTGGTCACATGTGCAACTGGAAAAGTGACTAGATCTTTTCAGAGCAGGGAATATAAGGTCTGCAAACCTTAATGCCCCTGGCACCATCAATGCAAGGCACAATGTTACCACTTGGTAGTGGTCATTTAGCCATGCCAGCTTGCCTATTTGTTCAGCAGATCAGTAAACAATATCCCTAGAACTATTAACTCGATTCCCATCTGCTGCCAACACAAAAACTACATACAGACTTATTAAAAGTTTCAATGACAGCTTGCCAAAGTTAGCAAAAATACTGATGAGTACAACACATGGTCAATCGAGATAATTACTAATGAAGGTACAATCGCACTTGGAAATACTACCACAGCCAGTGCACAGAGCACCCTCTCATAGCAGTATTGGGAAACCCACTTCTTGGAGCATAAATGTCCCAAATCTAGGTTCCTTAATGTGTGTGAGGCTTGCAAAGCAGTTGTCATTACTGAGAAGCTCTGCAGTGGACTATGTGCGAGTAAGAGCTTGGAACCTTGAGTTAGGTTGCAATTCCAGTTCCTGGCAGAGCTGCCAAGACTCGACTGCTGGAAATCACAAAATTTATCAATAACTGCCTTGCTGGGCTAATTCCAGACATAATTAGGCCCTTCAGTGCATCCCAATGTTCTCCAAAGCATATTTTTGGGAAACATGAAATACTTGTTTGAAGATTTCAAACAGGGTGATTCCATGGCCCACCCTTTATATTTAGCAATTAAAAAAGTCACTGATAGTCTGTTCAGTGAGCTCCATATCTGGTTTGTAGATGAAAGCCCTGGCATGCAGCCCTGGCACCTTAGATACCCTCCTGGGAAACATTGGCAGAATCCAGGAACAAGGAGTGAAGATAGGTTGCATTCTTAATGCACCCAAGTGAGAAAGTCTTTTTCCTCCTCACACAATACAGAGAAAAAGATATGCTGTCAGACATTCGTATAATTAATCCTGTGAATAACTCCTGGGCGCCTCTTAGATTGCATGCAGTCGAGGAAATCGTAGTTACAAACATTACCAATCATTAACTTTGTTGCTAAACTCTTTATCCCTGCTATACTCCTTACAGCTTTTGTAATCTGCACCTCCTATGCTCCTTAAACACCCTTGTTCATTTCAGAGGATAGGTTGTGTTCTGGATTGCTTTGACAATTTCTGAATTGTCAGTGAGGCAGTTTCTTTTTCATCTCCATTTCCCTCAACCTTCCCCCCTTTTATAGTTTATCTGACTTTAGTGAATGGGGTGTTATTGATCCCTGAAACTTTTGACTTGGCAACTACTGGGTCATTGACACCATAGTGGACGTGTAAATTTTCACCAATTATGGATTTCTGTTCACTGTGTTGAATTATTTAATAGAACTGCATGATCTTTGTTGCCATCCCATTATCGGATAATTATTTTTTGCTTTTTTGCAAGCAAGAAGTATAATTAGCTGTTCTTGTTAATCAATACTTTTGAAAGTAGCATCTTTCTTCATTCAGTCATGCAAACATCAACTGTAAATAAGAAAGAAAATTAAAAGACAATTTTTTTCAATCTTATTTTTTCCTTATCCAGTGCAAAATTCACTTATTTTTCAGATGCGTATGGCTCCTCTTGGTCTGGATAACCTGACGGTAATAAGTGATGATGTTCGCCATTCGGCTTTTGAAGTGTCTCGGCGAGGGGCTGGAGGTGTTGACAGCAAACAGGTATGTAACAAGTATCTCGTGTACAGTATAATAATTGAAAAAACTATCTTTAAATGTGTTAACAATTTGTTTTGTAATATACAGTACTATAAATGCTTTAACAGCATCTCTGCTGAAAAAATAGTTAATACAACCTTGGAATGGAGAATGCTTTCCTGGGGGTGGGGGGGGGGCCTAAGAATGGAAATGCATTCCCAACAATAAATTACTTTATAACAATCCCTAGGGAACTGCAGTTATCATCATATGATTAAACTACTATTGTCAAGGGTTTACATGTATGATTCAAATATGGATATAATAGGTCTATATGGATGTAATGGAGTTCACCTTGACCCATGGAAAAAAAAAAATCCTGTTACCATTTCATAGTACGAATACGGTTATCATGAATGTTACTAGAGGAAGGTGGTCAGCACATGACGATTTAAACTTGATACACTTTGGAATAACTCCTGTGGCATCTTCTCTGCAAAGATAACCAGGGAAGTTTCCCATTGCATCTTGCACACAAGGATCTAGGTTCACAATGTTCTACCTTTTGATTCAAGCTGGCTACTGTAGCAGTAGGAATAGCAAATATTCACTTAAAAAAAAAAAATTCTGCTTATACAAGACCAAATCAGCACAGGAGTCATTAGCTATAAATCAGACCAAGATGCATGGTTAATAAATGCATGCGTTCTTACTCATGATACACAATAAAGCAGTTGCTACATGTAGTCGTTGATGACACTTGTGGTGGCAATGGACAGGTTGTGATAGTCAGGAGATGGGGTCCAGAGGAGGCTAACACGGGATGTCACTTGTGGTGTAAAGATTACTGACGGTTCATGCTCGAACCATTATGAGGACATTGTCCTCAATTGCAAAAATTTTCACTTACTGCATTTGATATATCAGCCTGTCACAATGTTTGTATATTTATTGACTCTACCCTTATTAATTCATTGATTGTGTGCATCTTATTTAAAGCTTAAACATCAATATATTTAGCAACTAGTAATATATATATTTTACCCGAATATTTATTATTTCTGGATGTACATATTCTTTATTTACAGTAAGATTTTATATGTATTTTATTTTATTCACCTGGGCTCTCGATGCCTCGAACCGTGGGCCCCACGTGAGAGTCTGAAACTGTTGACAGGGCTATCGAGTAATCTTTATAAGGATAGATTACAGAGGCAACTTCTGCTACCAGGCTGTAATTTTTTACTTTCCCTGACTACTACCGAAGCTCGGAGTAGTGAAGCATGATAGCAGAAATTGCTTCTGGAATCTTTCCCTATTAAGACTACTAGATAGCTCAGTCGATAGAGCTTCGGCCTCACACACGCGTAGTCTGCGGTTCGAGTCTTCGAGAGCCAAGGGTGAATGAAATGTTTATTTCCACGGAAGTGTGGATGACAATTTATGTATTTTGTTATTACAGGAGGGAGGACCATCGGGGCATGGCCCAAAGGAACGCAGATGGAAGGTTGGGGAGCTTGAATTTGAAGCTCTCATGAGATCCCTTGATAATGCTGTAAGTTGGAACACATTTTGAATGAGAGCAAATTATTTAAGTGTGTGATTACTTATTCATGGTTGTGAGAAGATGGATATAGCTGTATTGACCCCTGTTTCCCAGCTGTTAGTCTGCGGCAATTTGTACCCAATTTTTTCTTTCTCGTACAGTATACGGAATGAAAACTTCCTTAGGTCAGTCTGGCTCATACCTAATTTTAGCATACACCTGTGTATAATTTGTTCTTGTTTTTCAAGTTACGTTGGTATCATTTAGACAAAGTTGGAGCATTTGCCTAGTAGATTATGCACAAAACATTTGAAAACATTTCAGGAAATTTTAAGAACTGAGCTCTTTGTCTGACTTCATGGGACATTTTGTGCAGCTTAAGGGTTAAGGAAGCTTGATTTTAATTTTTTAGAAGGCAAATAATAATAGTGGGATTTGATTGAAGTATACACAGGAGTGACAGGGTCTTAACGCAGGATACTAATCGTGTGTTAAATATTGTCACACAGGAAAAGAGTGGATACAAATTGGAAGTGTTGTGATTTGGAGGAGAACTTGGTAAATACTAATTTGGGAATATGGTTCTGGAACAAATTTGTGTGTAACATAATAGACATAGTAATTAGGGTGTGTGAAGTATGGGTTAGGTACGAGTGAGTGTGGACACACACGAAATGCCTTGCAGGAGTTGGTGGGCCTTCTGCACTTTTCTTTCTGCTTATAGCTGATTTCTACCTACAGAGGGTAATAAGTTTTAACCTCTTGTTCTAAATGTTCAAGTCAAAATTATATATTCTTTTTCTTCCTTTCACTCTATATATTATTTAAAATGCATTGTTTATGCTATGTATTAATTGGCAATGTATATATGGGCAAAGATGTGTTTAGCATTTTCCGTAAGAAAATAAAATGGCAGTTAGTTGGGGAAACTTTGGAAACCCTAGATATACAGTCATTGTGACCTGTAAGAAATCTGATTCTGCAGTTTCCATTGTAATTATGGTAGGGGCCGTCAGGGGGCCTGATGGGCCAGTGCTTGGGATTCGTAGTCATAAGGTTCCGGGTTTGATCCCCGGCTGAGGTGGAAACAAATGGGCAGTTTCTTTCACCCTGATGGGTCTGTTCACCTAGCAGTAAATAGATACCTGGGAGTTAGACAGCTGTTACGGGCTGCGTCCTGAGGATGTGTAACAAAAAGGAGGTCTGGTCGAGGAGTGGGCCATGGGGAAGCTAAGCCCCAAAATCATCTCGAGAAAACCTCAAGATAGTACAGTACAGTACATTGTACTGTATACCGAGACTGTATTTTGTGCGAACTATATAGTTAAACTGTTGTTGAAGCTTTAGTCATACTAGTGTGCATATACCAGTGTTTCATTGCTTTGAAACATTCTGGTTATTATGTATGTGGGTGTAAAACTTCTAAATTTTCTATGGCAGGGTCTTAGAACAGGGTACATCTACCGACGACCACTGCTTAAACAAGAAATGTCTCGGCTGCATAGTGATGTTGCCCTTCCCCCTACAGCCTCCAACTACACACACCTATTCGACGAAGATGACATAACAAGGAGGTAAGAATGTGCTCAAGTGTGTGTAATTACTGCTGCACACTAAACATTAATTCTGTTTATTTTTTTATGGAATATGTATGGAGAAGTTATATTTTGTAAAAAAATTGAATTGCCTTTTGAAATCCAATTCTTGGCATGTTTGAAGCTAGCTTGTCAAGTATTTATTGTTGCCATGATGTAAGTTTGATGTTATGGAAATAGTTTTCTCTGGTGGTTTTGTACTGGAAAATTAGAAGAATGTAAACTTTTAGTTTCCCCAAAATTTGGTTAAAGATATGGAGAATATAAGAATTTAAATTTGCTTTCATAAAGCTTGACGACAGGAGGAGTGGATGAGATTTTCTTCAAGTAAATATTTGATGTGTGGTTTTATTATGTACACTATCATTATTATTAATTAATCAAGCCCAACGATGCAGTACTAAGTGCCTAAGTGTGAATAAGTAAGGGAAATGTTTAGAAAGTCTGCATTAACCCTTAAACTGCTCCAGTAACACACTAATGATAAGGACCGTTGTGCTAAGCCCATTGGAGACTCGTCCATCTGTAATATTCAAAAGTCCTAAAGATTCTATGTGGACATCAGTCAACACTAGAAACCTCTGGCAGTTATTTGTCATGTTAGAAAAAAATCCCAAAAGCCTTCGCTTCCTTTCTGGGAACTGATTAAAAAAAAAATCCACTGTCAGGTGGTCATGCAAAATTTCAAGGACTTCTATGGACCTGGAAGATATTAGTGATAAGGAGAAAATTGTTACAAATGGTTGAAAAATAATTATCAGAATTTGAATTTTTGAAGATTTCTTTACCTCACCATGGCCAAATTAAAATTATTACAAATTTTTCCCAGCATCAGAAATATGAACAAATCCACAAGGGCCGTGATGAGGGTTCGAACTATGTTCGGGATAATCCCAGACACGCCTTAGTCGATTGCGCCACGACATTGTTAAAAGAATTGCAGTCGGAGTGCTACTGCTCTGACACGGATCCCTCAGCCTTTCCAGGACACAAACCGGGGTTTTACAAGATTCCCCCATGCAGCCAGGCACTGTCAACAAGCTGTTCTACCTCTTCACTCTTACTTAAATACACACAGAAATCACAATACATCGCAATTGATGTATCACGCTATTTGACTGCCAGCAACACGCTGGCAGGGGTCTCCAGCAACACGCTGGCAGGCTTCCACACAGGCTTCAATTATAACAAGCCTTAACAGACAGACATTAATTCCATCTCGTAACTGAACTTGGTCATCCCCGGATACGTCGGTCCAATCACCAATACATTGGTGATTGTTGTGTTCTTGCTTCACTATCGGACAAATCACAGTCTACACTGACTCGGCCACACTTGTTCCCACTGGAACATGTCTTGAGTTCAGGACTTCCCTGCATGAACCGATTCCTGTCAACCAAGGTACCACCTATATCACTTCTGAGGAATAAAAGATGAATAGTAAGGAGGAAACTACACAGGTGCCATTAAGATCACAGCCTTCCACCGGGGAACAGAAAATGGGGTCGGGTGTGCTCAACAGATGATGTTGATATCGTCACACCTCCCCTCCTAAAAGAATTGGGGTTGGGTGTGCTCAACAGATAGCATTGATACCATCGACGTGGTTTAGGATTCTCTGTCGTTCTCGGCGTGTCTTCTTTATTGGTTGGATGGGTTGCCATCTGTCCTGTGTGCAGCTGGCAGATTGTGTGTTGTTGCATCTGTGACTTTCTTCTTGGCAACAATATCTGATGACTTGGTGTGCTTTTCACATTTTCTTATCCCACTGCTGTCTGGTGTCTGTGTCAATTTTGGATGTTATGTCCTGATACTATCACCTCTTGTTGTCTGGCTTTAGTGGCGCCTCAAAAGAAAAACGTGTATAAATGTAAAAATTTATTATGAAACAAATTTAATAATGGCATAAAAAGGTAGAGTGGAGGGTGACTTCTGGACTAAACATATAGCTTAGAAATTGAATGAATAAACTTAAATCAATTGATTGCATTTATCAGATTATAATAGCACTTATATTCAAAAACTTCAAGAAGTAGTGTTTGTAATTTTTTTAATTTTTTCACCAATTTGACTAATTTCTTTACTTTTATTTCTTTCAGCCCCTTGAAACGGATCCTGGATGGTCGCAAAACTCAGGACAAAACCCGATGGCTCAACTCCCCTAATGTGTATCAGAAGGTGGAGGTGCTTGAAACTGGTACACCCGATCCAAAGAAGATCACCAAGGTAGAGATAATTACTACCGAAAATTTACTGCCATAATGTGAAGCTGTTTCCAATTGATACTTTGTCGAGCATTACCTATCTTTGGCATCTTTAGGTTTCATAATAATACATGAAGTATAGAATACATTTCACAAGAGGGCTAAATTAAAATAATTCTTTGGCACATTATCCATTTTCTTTTTGCTGCATTGTTATTGATGATATTTTAACTTAACTATAGCCATGTTATTAATGTGGCCATAAACAGAATACTGCAGTAATATGGAGGAAAGGTATAAAAAATAAATTTCACCTAGAGCTGTTTACAGTTTATGGAAATCTTGCATGTGCAGATTACAGTATAATGGATGATTTGACAGGGAATTTCCATAGAAGTTGTAAGATGTGTTATATAATTAGTTATTAAAGAATGTTACACTTAATGTATTGAAGATTCTTCAGTGTGTGAATGCAAAGCTCGTATATTAACACTTTTGCGTTGTGATGAGGTTAAACACATCATTCGTACTCGGACAGTAAAGGTTCTGATGATGCTATTAAAGGCGCCATCTGATTACTATTCATAAACATTTGTATATTACTGTTGTGCATAATCTATTATAAGTACACTTTTGTGTTTTGCATCTTTTCTCTGGAGAATTCATTTGCAAACATTTTGACACCAATTTTATACTTATAATCCAACAAATAACATAGAAAATATAAAATGATTGTAAACGTTTTAAACATCATTCAGCGGTACCCGCTGAACCATCTGTGTTCGTTCGAGAATGCATGGAGGCGAGCACAATCTATTAAAAAAAACTTTGTTTTTGCATCTATTCTCTAGAGCATTCGCCTGTGAATATTTTGACACCAGATTTTGTTCAAATTCAACAAATAACTTAGAAAATATAAATTATAAAAAAAACAATTGCATTACTTTGCGGCCTGGGTAGTGGAGCCCAAAACGTTTATGGTCAAGAAGGCGCAGAGGGGCAGAATGTTTGTGATCGGGAATGCTTGGAGAGGCCAGACCGCCTAAGTGTTAATATGGGAGAGATTAGGTATTTTCTTTTTCATTTATAAAACACTTTACAGTGTTTTGTTGAAACAAGTCATGCCTGAACCAATTCTCCAAATGTTAAGGTCACATTGCACAAGTTGCTTAATTCTTTGTGAATCCAAGGTTACTCTTTAAGATAAATGGTTTTGATATTCTCAAAACATATCTAATCTCACTAAAGATCTGAAATTGGCTTTTTTTATATAAATATTTTGCCTTACCGCTTTGAAATTAGGATGTTTTAATCATTATTAATTAACAAGTTTGATGTAATTATTATTTTGGGGCCTAACTACAACTGTGGGTGCGTGATAAAGTTTTGTAATGTGTTCTTGCAGTTCATGAAGCTAATCACTGCTTGGCATGCTAAACAATTTTTTGTTTTTTTGTTTTTTGTTTTCTTGGAAGAATAGTTTGCTACTCGACATAAATGGTCTTGCGTACATCGCCCGTTTCTGGAGAATTATTTTGTTACATTACTTTATATGATGAAATAGAGATGTAGTAATTATTGCATTCCATCTCGGTTGTGTATGAATAAAGTATAACAGGAGTCCATATAACACTTCTTCCTTCTGAAGAGTGTACTAGCCATTTAGTTTTGTGTTTGCTTGCAGTTAAACCCAGCAGTAGCGTGGTATATAGAGGGAAAACCTGTGATGTTAGAAACTTTTTTTTTTTTTTTTACATCTTCGATGTCCTCAACATTGAATTTTACTTTAATTCTTTGCACAAATAAAGCATCCAGTGCACAATATTCAAGGTTCATTATTTATTAATTTTCTAGGCCAGTTGAGTTTTTACCTGACACACACAAACATATATTCTTAGTCTCATTTCATCTGGAGACTAGTTTGAAGGAACATCGTTTTTAGTCTAACATAGGTTGTCAACTTTCCTTAGGGGAGATTTAAGAGCCCAGAAAACTTCTAGGAAGTGTGGTGTTTATCAGCCACTAAGCTTCTTGTGTGTAAGGTGGGACTGCAATGCGTTTTAAGCAGTTTGTCTCCTGTTGAAGAGCAGATTAACATTGTCACATTAGCATTGTCACGGCATCTGCAGTTTCATCATTATTTATTTTTACTTCTAATAATTTTTGTTTTAATTATTTGGTTAATAGTCCATTACACTTTGTGAAGTGTAAATGAAGGAATTAATACTACCAGGAGTGATTTTTAATTTAAATTTTGAGTAATATCATTGCACATCTGAAGGTGACCAAATTGCCTTGGTAGCTTAAGCTTTGTGGTGTTGAGGGTTTACATGCATCAGTGTATGGTAAATAGTATTCATTCTAGTAAGATGGGCATATTGCTTTATGCGGGTAGCTGTTATGTGTGTAGATGTCTTTGTAATGTGAATGACATAAACTTGACCACCTTACAAAGCAGAATTTATGCTAGCCCTAGTCATGCGTTACTTTTGTGTTTCCACATTTTAATGTTTTTGTAACGACCAAAGATTAAAAGTTTTGGCAAAGCTTGTTCCAATGACGTGTTAGATCATGGATGTTTCAATTACTAGTGTTAAGGAATTGGTGTAAGTAATAACAGCTTTGTAAAAGTAGATTGATATTAATGTAAGATTTGTTTTGTCTTTTAAATGTTATTAATCTGTCGTCATGCAAATTAATGACATTAATTTTTTTTAATTTGGTAGCAATGTTGGATTAGATTTAATAGTAGGCTTTGAGAATATATACAACAATTCCTTCCCCCTCTCCCATGGAGTTGAATATTTTAATAATTAATCAGATATGGTCTTATTCCTAATTTTTATACCATAGTTAGAGTTGACCTAAAGCATGACTTGTTATGAACTGGTTAATTTTCTTAGTACAAGTCTCAAGATCTTGCTAAATGGGATGGCAATTTGTCACTTTGAATTGTACACGAGTTATACCTTTCTTTTTTTATATACACTGTATTGAAAGATCGTGTAATGATAAATTTCTTTATCTTTGGTGTAGGCAAGCCAGTGTGCCCAAGGATTAGCGATCATTCTGGTTCATTTATTGGCGTGCATATACGCATAGTAAGAAGATATATCATGAAATTGTTACATTGTGTTTGTGTATATGTATTTGTTATTAATATATTTAGCTACAATTAGGATTTTGTATTTTTTTTTAATTACACTGCAACTGCTAGTAATTATAAAGTTATTTCTCTTGTGTTTATGCTCAGTGCGGATCATTGTTAACTGGAAGCTAACTAATAACTCTTAGGGGTTAACTTCTTTAATAGTAGATGTATACTCTTTTTCTGTGCTTCACTGGTAAATGGTTTATGCATAGTAGTACTTGGTTCTTATTTTTTTTAATATAATTTGCATTGCTTAGAATTTATCTGCTTTAGAAAAACCAAACAAAGGAGTCTTAAGAAGATATTGGTAATAGCATTAATGAAGAGTTAAGCCATCCATTACATGTATGTGATGTTTTACGAGTCATGATTGTTTTCAGCAGCAGTGTCATGCTTATCAAGCTTTACTCCTCGACAAAATTAGTTTCTGGCAAATTGGCAACCTAGTTTTATTTTAAACTTTTATTACTCATAGTTCAAAAAAGTCTGCTTACTCATTTCCCATTACTCAATATTTTAAGGGAGTGTAGCTTTTGGCATAAACAACTTTACACATGCATAATTTGTCCATCTTATGCCTATGGTATTCTATAATTTATCTGCCATATGTGTTCATATGATCTATGCTTTTAATAAAACAATAATTAATCTATACAGCTTTCATTTTACTCTAGTAAAGACTATTAAAGGTGATCGTTAAAGTAAAAACAATTGTATAAATTCACACTCCATTTTTCAAATATCTGATCTTCACCTTTATTGGTCTGTTGTGCCTGTTTCTGGTAACTGGTGACTGAAAACTGATAGTCGAATGACGGCAGTTCATACGCAAAACCAAGCACAAAGGGCCTCGCATTTTGTGATTCTCTTACTAGTGTTATGCTAATAATTCAAAGTCACTTTTCCCACTAATGTGTATAGAGCCCTGTAATTTTCAACCAGAAGTATAGTCTTTAGCTAACTTGCTGAATTGCAGGGAAACAGGCACAATGCATTGCAGTTAACGCAGTCGCCTATTAGTTAGCCAATGCCAAACCATTCCATCACACTAAAAAGGGTGAGGCCAGGCCCTAATGTGCTTTGTTTTGTTGCACCAACAGTGGGTGGCTGATGGGTCTCCCACACATTCTACTTCAACATCAGTCAAATTGGAGTCTGCACTCCAGTTTGTTCCTGTCAATACCAACCCGAAGGAATTCAAGACTGTTCAGAAGATGGTAAGTCAATGTGTCTTCCATGGTTTACAAAACTAAATAATGAAAAAATGATTATTATATACTGTATTGTAAGGTTTCACTTCATGGCATCTGAATCACACACACACATTACATTTATTATAAATTATTTATCCCTATTTTTCACTCTGTAGATAAAGGAGAACAGACGTATTGGTAATATCAGTGCAGGCCCCACATCGCATCTTCTGGAAGGAGTCACTTGGGACGAGGCGCGACGCATGCAAGATGCTAGCATGTCTGCTGCGACTGACCACGTTATTTTGGTGGGAGCAGCATCCAAGGGAATTATTCAGAGGGATTTCCAACATAATGCAGTTGTGTATAAAACACCATATGCTAAGAATCCCTTTGATGCTGTCACTGATCAGGAGTTGGAAGAATACAAAGAATTGGTAGAAAGAAAGCAGAGAGGAGATCCAAGTAAGTACCTGGTTAATATTAGTTGTATACAGTATTTGGATATGGAAATTATGATGTTCACAAAATAAAATGGGGTTAACATATTTGTGACAGGATTTTTTGTAACTTGTGGGATTGCAAGGAGAATTTACATGGTGCAAAATTGACATTTTCTGAAAGTGAATTGGAATGAATTTGTTACACACATGTGGCCCCTAGTACAACCATGTTATGAATTCCTTGCTAATCTGTTTTTAAGATATAATTTAATAGGTTTTACAGTAGATTCAAGCACTTCCTACAATAGACATTAGGTTAATTGGATGATATTTTGATACGAGTGATTTATCTCATTTCTTGAAAACTGGCACCCACCTGCAACTCTCAATGACTGTTACTTTACTAAACTCAAAATGAAAACTGGCACCCACCTGCAACTCTCAATGACTGTTACTTTACTAAACTCAAAATGAAAACTGGCACCCACCTGCAACTCTCAATGACTGTTACTTTACTAAACTCAAAATGATATAATATTTTGACTTTAAAGATTACAACTGATGATTTATTTAGTGGTTAACATGCTACGGTATTCAAAAACTTCATGAGCAATGCAAATTAATAAGTGGATTATCTGAAACACTTGTAATTTCTAAATATATAGACAAAATAAAACAATAATTATTATTCTTGCTCAAAGGAGTGTTGTTCTGTAATCAAGAAGTTGATTTCAGGTTATGTGGAGAGATGAGGATATTTAGTTTTGATCAGATGAAGAAACTGAGGCAGTGAAGCTCTTAAGTTATTACACTCTGGTTATTACACAAAGGTATTACACTCTGTGGTGAAGTGGCAGGTTCATCTGATGTGCCAGGCACAGCAGATGAAATGTCAAGCCAATACATTCCAGGTAGATTCTTTACCCTCTTCAGTGATATAGGCTACAAGGTTTTACCATTCGCCAATAATTTACATTGTGTGCCAGCAACATTGGCATAGAACAATTAATATCTTCATTGAACGTGTTAGTAGTAGTAGTAGTAGTAGGGTCATTTTAACCATTATAAACGAATTCAAATGCTTTATTCACAAACATTTGTACAATTATAGTCGAGTTAGTGTGCACATATTTGCAGTAAATTATTTACCTAGGCGAAAGTAATAATAATCGTGTAACAAGGACGTGTAATATTTAATTATATACAGTGCAAACCTGATTCGGTAAACTATATAGGACCAATTCTTATTTATTGTAGTGAGAGATTCATTGCAACCTGAGATGCCTTCAAGAGGCATCTGCATGATGATTTTTTTTTAAGACAAGAAAAATACATTGCTTCATCTGTTTCTTCTAATGTTGCTGCCTCCTGCAAAATTATTAAAAATGTTATTGCAACCATGTTAAAGTGCAGCCATTCTCTTAATATTTTCCCTCACTATGGGCTGGTTTCACTTGAACCAAATTTTAATTTCAACCTATTCAATGATAGACAGCTACCATTAGAACCTGTCTAAGATGGTTTCACCACATTTAGCGTATTTTCCGCACCTGAGCCTCAAAAAGTTATTTTCAAAGAGAGAAGGTACCATATTTAATGAACAAAAACAAAACCTCAACAACTTGAAATGAAAATGAACCAGAAAATTTGGTTATAAATATTGTGAGTGGCTTAAGCTAGGGTAGGAGATGGTAATGCTTCCTTCAGTTGCCAAAATACAATACCATATATAGTTCTTCAGTGTTAGCCTTTGCTATAAATTATTCCATTAAATTAGGTTTCATATTTTTTTTATACTGTAAATAGAATGTGTTTATTCTGCTCTAGACTTCTAACCTTGTTAATATTTCAGTTGAGGAGATAGAAATAGAGAAAATGAATATTATGCCTGAGCGTGCAATGGTAGATGTGGTGGATGACTCTATGCAAGACTCTACTTTCAATACCACTGCTCCCACCAGTCCTACATCTGATCAAGAAGGTGAGTGTGAGCCCTACTTAATTGTTAATTCAATGCTCATGTATAATAGTGTGAGAGGTGCAGTCAAAAAATTATGGTGGTTTTTAACTTGAAATCAATAGTATTTTTTATTATGGTTTGTTGCTACCTAAGTTTGGTTAAAAGTGCTCATGCTTTTTACATTTTTTGAGTAGGAAACAATGTTCCATGTGATCATAGTGGGTTTATATAGCATTTATCCTTATTGTTTTAATATTAGTCTTCTTGTGGCATTTGTATGTATTTCAGAAAAATTCTACTTTTGGGGTACAGTATTTGGCTAAAGTTTTCTATTATGTAAGCTTAGAAACTTAAGTGGAATGTATTGTTAGGGGATTAAGATTAAACTGAATATTTCATATTTGTTAAGTTATAAAGAAAATTTGTGCATAAATTTGTAACTGGTACATTGGTAAAACAGCCATTTTATTGCAGTAGAAAAGATACATTATCAGACCTAGTTCTTTTCCAGAAGTTTGCATGTGCACATTTGTACGTAAACATATACTGTATAATGAATTTGCACAAGTATAAGCTACTCCCTTATTCTGAGTTGCAGTGTGAGTTTTGGGAGTATTTCATGCAGACGGCTTCGACCCCAATTTTTATTTTCAAAGTACGGTCATCATCTTGCATTGATTGTCTAGTACAGTGCAGTTAATAATATGGCAATTATGTTGTGTCAGTGTTTGAATGCTGATGTCGCCCCTGCGATTTAAATTGCTCAATGGTGTTTCCCAGCACTCTTGGCAAGCAAAAAGAAAAAAATATATATTGTTTAGTTATCTCTCTCACTATGTAATTCTGTCAAATGCCAAAAAGAAAGTTGATTGCTTTCCAAACTTTTGAATACAAATCTGCAAAATTCATAAGAAAAAACAAGTTAAAGCTGAAGGGCTGGCATCTGGAACTAAGTTTGTTTGAGATCACAGAACATGGCTTTAAAAATTATATGAATCATTTTAGAAAGATAAAGGAAACTATATAACAACTGCTCATATATATTTTTCCACTGCAATTGAAAACTGTTCATTGTTCAAATTCTTCTTTGTTATGCATTAAACTGATAATTCAAGATGGCTACCTTTGTTTTTAGCAGGCTCACATTGTGTGCCATCACGCCATTTTCTACATGTGCTCGACAATCATTTGGACCTCAAGATTGCCGTCACGAATATTTCATTTTACACTAATCCCTCACTGTACACTGCTGCTTTAATTTTTCGTGAATTTCCACCTGCACTCTTTATCAACAATTTGGAAAGCACAGGGTGAGGTGCACAGATCAAGGTTGAGTGATGTGGGTTTAACAAGCATGGTGCACATTCCATGATGTACACTCCATGGTGCACACTCCATGGTGTCCCAGACTTTAGCACGTGTTCTGAATGGCAAGATCACTCACTCACTCACTCACTCATTTGTTGTATTCATGCACATTTTATATATATGTTAGTGTATTGCATCACCAGAATGTAAGAAAGTGTTCCTGTGAGCAAAAGTATGGTGATCATGCTTTAAATAGAACAGGATATAATTTTGTCTTGAGTGTGGGGCAGAGACTGGCACATTGCTGGAACATGTGTACTGTAAATTAAACAGCTATAAAGAAAGACCAAGAAAAAGGTCAGTCTCTGGCACTTATAAATGTCAGTAAATAGTTTTGGCCTAAAATTTTACGCCTATATCAATCCAGAAATCGGATAACTTTTCTATCTTTAAAATAATTGAACAAAATATGCAGGGCATTATGTAATAAAAATTAAGAATGCGGAAGGAATTTTTGGCCCCTCAATTTTTTCTATTACGCAGTAGGAAAGCAATATGACAAGGATTTGGGAATAATGATGTCCGACGACCTAACGTTTAGGGAGCATAACCAAGCAAATGTTGCATCAGCCAGAAAAATGATAGGATGGATTACTAGAACTTTCAAATCCAGGGATCCCATCACATTGGTTGTATTCTTCAAATCACTTGTGCTGTCCCATCTTGAGTACTGCTCAGTACTCATGGAGGGATTGCTGAAATAAAAGGAGTTCAGAGAACGTATACGGCATACATAGACGCGATAAGTACCTAAATTATTGGGATCATCTAAAAGCTCACCAAATGTACTCACTAGAAAAGAGACAGGAGAGATACCAAATAATATTTATGTGGAAAATACTGGAGGGCCAAGTCCCAAATCTACACAGTAAAATAACAACATACTTGAGTGAACTATATGAAAGAAAATGCAGAATAGAACCAGTGAAGAGCAGGGATGCCATAAGCACAATCAGAGAACACTATAAACTTCAGAGGTCCACGGTTGTTCAACATCCTCCCAGCGAGCATAAAAACATTGTGGGAACAACTGTGGACATCTTCAAGCGAAAACTAGATGGTCTGGCATTTCCTTAAGAAAACTAACTGGGCTATGGTGGATAAGTGGGCTGGCAGGCTGCTCCAAGCAACAGCCTGTTGGACCAAGCTCTCACAAGTCAAACCTGGTATTGGGCCAGGCTTGGGAAGTAGAAGAACTCCCAGAACCCCATCAAGCATGTATGGAGCAGGTCAGATGATGACATAATCACTTCCCTATTCTGATTGAGGGCACCCTGTTAAGTCTCGATACCAGCATTTGTTCCACACACTGACTTTCTGCTTTTCTCCTTGTCCGAAAGGTTGTTAGCCACTCTTGTAGATAAAAGTATTCTTGCTCCCTCTGGTAAGCTCAACTTGCCACACAATTGCAAAACTGGAAATCATCATCTGGAGCACTGGCACTTATGTCTGCCCCCTGATCAAAGTTGTGAGGTCAGTGACCCAGCTCGCCAATCTGCTGTCGTGTCTCAGTGCTCGCTGGTGGCATCACTGCAAGAGTTTTCACTGATTGGCTTCAACCTTGACGCTCCACCCACTCATGCCTCTTGCTGTATAGTCCCCAAGGCGTGTGTAACCGCATCAGGCAGGATCTCGCCCTTTTCCCGCGATCTTTGGTGCCATTTTGTCTAGCCCCTCTCCCCCTGCCAATTCCTTAAAACCAGATTTACATTAAAATCATGCCTCACGCACTTTCCTTCACGACTAAAAACATTCTTTGGGCTGTCTTGTATCTAATTAGCTGGGAATAAATGACTCTCGATGTAGGTGAGGCATGAATTTAGATGGCGATTATAACAGGGGAAAGAGACTTCATGCTGTCTGAAACCTAATTCCCATTTTACTTTACAAAATTGGTATTCCTTTACTTATTGAATTCACACTAATCTTACATGGAATACATGCCAGTGTAAAACGAGACAATTTACCATTACTGTGTATTGCCACATGCAAGTGTTTTATGCACTGATGGTTTCTGTGGAAAGTCTTTTTGGTTTAAGATATATAGTTTGATCATTTTCTTTTAGAAATTAAATTTCCATACTCTGTTTCATGATAACCTAATTACGTGCCAACTGTTGTTTACATTGTGTACAGTGACTTGATGCCCTGTAGTATGTAGGTTGGCTTGAAAATACGGACCCCCTTGTTATATTCACTTCAAGGGGCATGCATTCTGATGGAACAATATCATTCTAGAAATGGGGCTGAAAAAAATACATAGATTTATGGCTATTCAAAATTAAATTAACAAAGCTAGACGTTTAGAGAACAATATATGTTCAGTGTAGTTTCACATAAACTCGCTAAACAATGGTTGCCATCTTGAATTATTTTTTCACGCAAAAAAAAAAAAAACGCATTTAGCTCACAAAATTTTTTAGTTTTAATGATTTAGATGCACAATAATGGTTTAAGTTATTATGCAGAAATGCTTCCTAATGTATAAAGAGGATTTTTTCGAGTCTAACAGGTATAATGCAAACATTACTCCTGTCCAACACCTATTATTATTATTACACTTATCCAGATAGGTGTAATAATATAATAATGCAATTATTTTTGTAGGCCTTTAGCTCTTGGTGGCTTTTTTACAAACAAATTTTGCTTACCACAGGTGACCGTTTCAGTAACAATATATTTGCTTATCACAGAGGACCTGTACAGTAGAGACAGTAATGAGAGAGAGGACCTGTACAGTAGAGACAGTAATAAGAGAGAGGACCTGTACAGTAGAGACAGTAATGGAGAGAGAGGACCTGTACAGTAGAGACAGTAATGAGAGAAAGGACCTGTACAGTAGAGACAGTAATAAGAGAGAGGACCTGTACAGTACAGACAGTAATAAGAGAGAGGACCTGTACAGTAGAGACAGTAATGGAGAGAGAGGACCTGTACAGTAGAGACAGTAATGGAGAGAGAGGACCTGTACAGTAGAGACAGTAATGAGAGAGAGGACCTGTACAGTGGAGACAGTAATGAGAGAGAGGACCTGTACAGTAGACACAGTAATGAGAGAGAGGACCTGTACAGTAGAGACAATAATGAGAGAGAGGACCTGTACAGTGGAGACAGTAATGAGAGAGAGGACCTGTACAGTAGACACAGTAATGAGAGAGAGGACCTGTACAGTGGAGACAGTAATGAGAGAGAGGACCTGTACAGTAGACACAGTAATGAGAGAGAGGACCTGTACAGTAGAGACAGTAATAAGAGAGAGGACCTGTACTGTAGAGACAGTAATGAGAGAGAGGACCTGTACAGTACAGACAGTAATAAGAGAGAGGACCTGTACAGTAGAGACAGTAATGGAGAGAGAGGACCTGTACAGTAGAGACAGTAATGAGAGAGAGGACCTGTACAGTAGAGACAGTAATAAGAGAGAGGACCTGTACAGTGGAGACAGTAATAAGAGAGAGGACCTGTACAGTGGAGACAGTAATAAGAGAGAGGACCTGTACAGTAGAGACAGTAATAAGAGAGAGGACCTGTACAGTAGAGACAGTTTCTTGACGTTGGGAGAACTTAGGAGGATGGGCTGAACAATCCTTGTACTGTATGTAGTTAGAGCTTTGTTAATTATGGCTATGGTGCTCATGTAGAGAAGATAATTTTTAATTTTAAAACATATTTCAATGAAGATACTGTAATTGTTTAATAATTATGATATTGCTTTTGAGACATTATTTGGATGCTCCTTTGAAAGCAGTATTATCAAACTGCTTGTCTCATGCCCAACCAAATTTTCTGTTAATCCTTCAGCTGTAGGTTTGTTGTATTGTATGTGTGTTCCCCCACATGCTCAATAAAGAAAATTATTTACTCTCTCCTTTCATATACTGTATTGTTCGTCAAAACTGTGTGTTTTATAAATGGTTAAGTGTAAACTATTTTTTAGACTACTTTATTTGGCAATACTGTAACTGTTATCTTAATTATTTTTTAGTTCACATACATTTTGGTGGTGGTCAGTAATTTAAATTTTCTCATGCTTCATTTTAATAGTAATAATTAACTTAATCTTTTTATGATGGTGTTTGTCTAATTTGTAATTAAATAAGCCAGTACTTTTCTTTTTACATAGGATATGAACACACTCTTTAATAAGGGAAACACTGGAAATTAAGAAATTTCAGGAACACGGCTTCATGAAATATCAGACATTAACTTGGGTGTTCTGTATGAAGGGCATATAACTTAACTGTTACCTGCTGCACCACACTTTAATTCTTATATTTCTGGCCTTCATATATACTGTATAATAAAATGTTGAAGATTCCCGCCCAAGGGAATGTGCTTGGTGGTGGAGTAACATGTGGCGTCATTGTGATAGCTAATAATTGGTACACACAGCATCCAGTGCTACGGTGCTGAAGGTGGAAACAAAACAGGCGCCAAGAGCAAGCAAAGCACAGTCTGTCGTCCTGAGCGATGGTCAGTAGGGTTTCAAGTTTATCTGCTAATATGTAGTGTGTGGGATGCCTCCACTAAAGCCGAGTGATGGTGAAACTTGGAAGGATGTATCGTCCATAACAACCACCAGAACTCTTAAACCCCCACTCAATCTTCACTTGTACATTTATTCGCCTAAGTCAGTACAGTATTTTCAGAGATATTGAAGAGTTTAAGTAATTACATTTTGAAAATATGTAGATTTTTCTTCTTATGAAAAAAGAGAAATCCCATATGAATTAACTAATAATTTGTTTTATGGTGGTTTAAGAATTCACACCAAAATCTTTGAGGGCAGACATCTTAATGTATGACTCCCCCAAGGTCACCATCGTGTAAGACTCGTCTGTGTATTTCTGCTGTGTAGTTTCAGTTCTGTGTTGCTGCTTTTGTTCTTGACTCTAAATTTATCTTCTCAAACTATAGCTTTGGTTCACAAGTTAACTGACACCCATTACTGTACTTGGGTTGAGCATGACGGACAACCTCGGCTCCTGTCCAGGCCATTGGGTATTAATGCATTTTTTTTAGGTTAACAGTCATTGTAGTTTGTTTAGAAGTTTAGTTTTATACTAATTATAATACAGCTTGTAACCTTAAAATAACTGAATTATATTTTGTTAATACAAATTTAATATAGCTTAGCATTCATCTACAACAATGTATTTTTGTGAATACATAATGGAATGTGTTCTGTTATTTTATGTACAGTAGCGTGACAGGTAATTAGAACTATTCTTCGTATGTCCATATAATGCTGGCAATATGCTTTAAAATGAAAAAGTAATGTATAGCACTTTGTTACCTTAAGAATTGTTTGCTATTTTTCTAGCTAACAAGAATATTACAGTAATATTCAATCCCCCTTGCAGTTCTGTATCCATTGCTTTAAAATTATCATGTGATTGCATTCCTTTTATAGATAAATGCTAGATTCCCCCTCCCCAATGATTTTATATCGTATGATAGATGGAGAACGGGTTGTTCGCCAAAAGCCAAGTCTCCCCCCTAAACCCAACATTCCGAAGAAGCCCACCATGGGCCCAGGGGTACCTGTCGGCCCCCCTCAGCGGGTCCAGGCAACTATGAAAACACTGCCAGCGAGAGGTAACCTGCAGGACTGAGTGCAGGGCCTAAATTAAACCAACCTATCTGATGCTCACTGCTACTATCTTGGCATTCCACACAATAAATATTATTATAATTTATTGTAATGTTTGATATATATTGTATATGGGACTTCATGGATATTGTTGTGTAATGTAAATTTAATGGCAGTCAGTATTCAAGATGGGTAGTACTGTGTACTGGTACAGTACTCTGTACTGGTACAGTACTCTGTACTGGTACAGTACTCTGCACTGGTACCTCTTATACAGTAGTGTGAAATTGTGTGTGGTTATAATCTCTCTCTACTCGGTAACAGTTTTTGCCGTCAACTGTAAAAAAATTGACACAGAACTAATTATTTGATTTGCTGATGTTTGAGATTTTCATTATAACTAAACTTTTGTTTCCTGCTAATTATCCTTGCTTTAAGTGTACTATACATTTAGCATTCATGTTTGACAGTTTTAAGTACTGTACTTGAGTTAAGATAGGATTTCCTGAGGTTTGCCCTTCCCCCTCCCTCATTCCTTCTTACTTTTAGCAAGGGTAGTAATGGCCAGTGTCAGTAAGGTGTTCTGGTATTGAGAGCCTGGCCTGTATTGTGTGATTAATATCCCTCCCTCAGATGGATTCCCTGTAGAAGACCCGCAGCCCAACCTGCAAACAGGGGGTGGAGTCGGGTATCAGGGGGAGATGACATCTCCCCCTTGTTCAGATGCCTTGACTTGCTCCCCCAATGTCCAGGTGGGCGAGGGCCAACCTACTTCCCGCACCAACTCCCTCACTCGTGGAATTCAGAAGATGCTAAAGGCAGCATCACGGTCCAGTAAGACCACATCCATGTGTACCCCAGCTGCGCATTTACTCATTAAAGAAACTCTATCACAGTTTTGGCTGAGGTTGCACAGGACAGCCAGGATAATGAACCCAAATGATTTTTCATAAAATGACTATTTACGTCCAAATTACAAACCTGTGGCCAGATCAGTGTTAGAAAAGTCTGCGTGTGCCTAGTTAGCAGTAACCAAATTGGTAGTATGGTGCTTTTGGTGGACAGGTGGGGTGCATCTTGTGGCTCATTCACAGCCGGAATCTCGTGTAGCATAACAGTCTTAAAAGATGGGGCACGACTTATTTGATCTTTCCTATTTTATTATTTAACTGTTTAATGTATTCACAATTTGTGACAATTATTCTAGCTTTTTTTCATAAAATTATGCTTTGACTTTTCAAGAAAACATAATCTTTTTGCTAATAAAGGAGCTAATGTGGTTTTGGTGGTCATTTACGTCTCAATCCCAAGTAGCATTACTTTGGCAGGACTAATTATATTGCTTTTAATTTTTGTGTGGCATTCTTAAAGTGCTCTGACACATTAGTTAAATACTAATTGATTTATAGACTTTCAGAAAACGTATTAAGGTGCTGGATTTAGTTTTTGCTCCAACTTACTTCCTCTTCATGAGTAGTTTCTATATATATATAATATATATACCAAGTAGACTTTAAGAAATAATATCTTACAACTATTTGTAGTGAAGGTGGGATATTGTAATGGTGCTTGTGATTTGTATTGTAACTACCTGTGGTGACTAACAACTTAACCATTTTAGTCTCATACTACCTGATCTCCTGTGTATAGTGCTTTATAATAATCGCTTCTTTCGAGACAATGAAAGGTACTTGTTAATTGTAATGTGCTGCTTTTTACAAGACAGTTTGTAAATATGAAATATAATATTTATTTTTTACAATTTTCTTGTGCTCTTATTTGTGGGAGTAAAATGTGTGTGCAATATATGTACTGAAGGTGACAAGATTTGTGACTCAACAAGCAAGGTTTTTGTCTTGCAGAATATGTAGGTGATGGTTTGTTTATTTGTATGTGTGCCATGTGCATGGTGAATGTTTGTTTTGTATGTGCATGATTGGTAATGTTGAAAATGAAGTAGCTTGAAATGTTAATGAAATCATTTCATGAAAGCATGTAGGGTTATTTTATTTTTTTTTTTAAGCATGAAAATTTGTTTCATTTACCCTTTTGTATTGATACTTTGTGTAGTTTAGTGTGCTAACTGAAGTGTGTACTGGTCCTTGTATTAGCAGAAGATGATGGAGTGAAGGCGCGGGAGCCAAGTCCCACGCTGGAGCGTTCCAAGTCTGCATTTTATAAGAATGAAGGTACTTGTATATAGGTTTAAATTAATGTTTTCCTTAAGAAAATATTCAGTGAAAAATAATTCTTTAAAACAATGCCAAATAAGATTATACCATATTTTTTCTTTAATTTCAATAAGATAGACATTGGCACTGCAAAAATTTGAGTTATTTGCAGAAATGCCTGTTAAATTTTGTTTTATTTTATTGTAAAATAATTTTTTGTAGTTTAGTAAATTTAGTGGTTTTTCATTTGTAAATTTCATGCAAGTAAAATTTTATTTCCCAGTAGTTTAGTACATACACTGTTGTTTCTTTTTCTTAGTCATATAGTCATAAATCCTACTAACATTTCATTTAGCGATTTAGCATTTACTGATTTTTCATTAATTTAGTACCTTTGTTCTAGGTTATTTGAAAACAATCTGTGAGCAGTTTCTCTGCATTTTTTTTTGCTTTCAATACATCTTTGCATCTTGGCTTATGAATGTAGTTTTGTTGAGTTCAGATTGTAACTAAAATTTTGGCCTTCATGTTTGCATATTCATAGTTATTTGTGTTCACTTAGTGTTTTGATTTGCAACCTGCATGGCATTAAACTAACCAGAAATGCATGTTGTTTTTGTGGTCTGGTTGATCAGTGGCAAGTGAGAAGCGGTCAGCTCTTCAGCGCCGCTCCTGGTCTCTGTCACGCAAAGGTAAGGGCCAGCCATGTTAGCAGTCACTCTATTTATGCTTTGTCTCAACTCTTCAACTATTTGTAGAGGATATTACATCTTATTTATGGTTGGGAATGCAGATGTTTTTTATTTATTTTCTTTCATTATTACAGTTCAGTTCTTAAGGTCCTGGTGTTGTAAATTATTTCTATATATATATACTATATATATAAATATCCAAATATTTCAAGCAATTGCTTTGAGTATAGCTGGACCCCTTCCAGGTATACAAGCTTGTCCTTCACTCACTAATCTGAAATTTCAAGGGGATATAAAAAAATCTTTATAGCAACTGGCCCTTAGATTTTGTATACCACATTTTATATTGTTTCCTTTGGTAATTTTTTTTTTTTTTTTTTGCACGCATACTTCAATTATATTTTCATGTTTATCTTATGCACCAGTAACAAGTTATTTTCAGGCAGTGTTGTCTTTGGTGGTAACTCTAAGGTTATATTACACGTAATTGCTGAGCAACACAAGATCATCAGGTAATTCTTGAAGGATTGAACCACATTCTCTGATGGCATATTTGCACTGGAGTCATGTTCTTACTGAACATGATTCTGTGATTAATATTAATCTGATGCAATATTTCTTTAAGTAGGAGTTTTAGGTAATATATCAAGCATTTTCTTAATTTTTTTTAGTTTTCTCCCATATTTAAAGTTTCACTGTACTTCATTCAGAATTTAGTTTCAACATTTTTATATATATCGGTGATAATACAAAATATCGGTAATCAAAGCATTATTCTAAAAAATTGAGATAGCTTAATTGATGTAGACATGCAAAAAATTTTTTTGGTAAACTTAGTTGAATTATAGGAGGCAGCAACCAGCAGAAAAATATGTAACGCATAAAAGATATGACAAAAACTAACATTATGAGATTTCCAATCCTTGAAATGTGTCAGACTAGTTGCTGCAAGAATGAAAGTTCTTTTTGAACTAAATTGGAGAAAACTAAATTCTGATGCATCTCAGAGTTGTCTTTGTGGGCAACAAAGATCAAATTATAGTAATTAGATATCCAATAAGAAGTTAAACACCTGATTAGTTACATATAAACCAAGTACTGTAATTACAAAAAAAAGAGTAACTAAAAGCTGTAAAGTACAGTATTTAAACATTAGATCTTGTTGTTTCTTAAGTGAGAGCCTTGTAGTCCACTCAGGATACTACAGGCCGCCTGCAATTTGCACTGTATTGGAATACGTGAATTCATAGTTACTGTATAGTTAATAACTTTTATATTAAATTTCAAAGTGTGTGGTCTTCAATGCACCCAACATTGTCTTTCATGATTTTTTGGGTTTTGTTGTCATCATTGTACAACAAAAGCATTCTGGACGTCATTGTGTGCTGAATTTATGGATGGAATTTGAACGAAGGATTAAATATTAATGTTGATAATGGTGTTTTTGCCGAGTCGAGAGTGGAAAACATGAGCTTTTGAAAGAGTTTGGAACCTAACTCTCACTTTCCCTATGCTATACCTTAGTTTGGTTTGAACAATTTTTGCTGGCGCATAACCACCACACCAATTTAGGTCAACTTGTATACATGTGCTAGGCTTTAGTCATCATATTTCCTATCTTGACAAAGAAATTGACAAATGGTCTTATACTTAGAGATAATGGAGAATGTAAATCTGCTGCTAAATGATGCAAAAGACTAGAACACCTGCAAGAAATCACTGAAATTGCAAGGAAAGCCAATTACCACACTGCTATTAATAGTAACTACTATCCTGCTGACTACACGTTAACAATGGGTTGTGAAAACAGTGTCAAAGGAGCAGGGAGACCCCACTGGAAACCAAAGTTTCCTAAGAGCATGGGTGTGTTTGAAGCTCACATAACTAAAAGCACAGGCATAGGCTGGCACCCACTGTATTTGACTTGTGCATTCCAGAAGCACCTAGCCAAGGAGTCCAACTATGCCAAGCAAGGCTAGGAAAAAGTTGAAAACCCCCAAGGCTTGAATGAGAACTCTAGGGATAAACTCCTCAAAAAGTCACCCCTGAAAGAGCACCATGCGGCAGCACAGAAGCCAGCTCCATAGTGAAGGAATTTGCCATAACAGCAGCTACTTCACAAGAAGCAGCAAGGTGCACTAACAAACTTCTGGAAGGGAAAAGAATTATAGTAGGTGTTAGGTTTTCAGGAACAAGAAGGCTCTAGTCAGAATGAGTGGATAGCAAAAGACAGATCTTTAGTGACAGATCCTGAAAAAGGGGTACAGATAAAGTGGGGCTCAATGCAGTATAGAGAAGATTTTCAGGCTAGGATGGTACAACAAGGAAAGGAAACATTTGATGAAGATAGTATTTATGAATGAGGCCACAAAAAAAATGAAATTCTAGCAAAGAAGAGCAAACTGTTAAATATAATAGAATGCAGAAATTAATTTCTTCAAAGAGACACGATGAGGGAAGATAGACCCATGGCAGCGGAAGCAAGAAAGAGGAGGAAATAGGGGAAACCACACTCCCCAACTCGGTAGTTTCAGATGGGAGTGGGAACCCCTCCACCAGTAGGCAAATAACACTAGGAAAGAAGTACAGCAGAAGCCAAGATCACCCACCTTTCCACCCTCTGAACAACCTTCCACTCCCTAAATATCACCCCCCCCCCCCCCCCCCCTCCACCTACCTCCCATTCCATAAGACCTTCCCCCACCCCAGGCCATCCCTGCCCTACCATTCCAAGCCGTCCCTGCCCTACCATCCCAAGTCCTCCCTGCCCTGCTATTCCAAGCCCTCTCCGGGGAGAATTTACTGGGTGCCAATGCTTCTGTTTACCCAACAGTAAAATGGGTACCTGGTTGGTAAACAATTTGGCGGGTCGTATTTCGGGGAATGTTAGGATTAAGGACCTGCCCGAAACACTATGCCTGCGAGTGGCTGTACAAGAATGTAAAACCTCTTGTACATTTATAAATAAATACAGGTATATGAAATAAATAAAATAAATTCTCCATCTCCCAGGTGTGGGTGATTTTTCCTACCTATCCTTTTTGAATAGTACATCACAATTTGAGAGATAAATCCCTTAAGACCAAAAACTGATACATACATGGAAATCATTGCAGCTCAAAATTGATGATGTCCTATTTTCTATTTGTGGATCCCTGGTTAGGTTAGGTTTGGGCAATTTTGGGCATCAGTTTAGTGACACTAGAAATGGTCAAGAGGATGGGCTGGATTTTTCATTGTTGTTGTACATTATAAGGCTGGATTAAAGGGATTTGGAGAGGAGTTGGGAATTGGGCGAGAGTTACTACTGCATGGGGGAATTTGGAAGTGATGTTGCTAAACAGAATCAGAGAGGAGGGTAAGGGAAGGATAGGAGAGTGAGCTGTGGATTGGAATGCATGAAGTAGAAGTGAGGGCTAGAAGAGGGTGTGAATGGGATGATTTTGCTACTATTATGGCTGACTCTAAGAGTGATTGAGCTGAAGGATACTAGTTCCTGTTTTCCCTCTTTCATTTCTGCCGCTTTTATGCGGCTACTGTTTTCATTTGTGCTATCCCTTTAGATAAATACTGTACTTTGAAATTCTGTACATACAGAAGTCTGCCATTTCCTAAAATTTTATATATTGACTTTGTGAATATTACCATTACCTGTAAAGATCTTCACATTTTGTACTGGTCTAACTTGAAAACTTTTCTATTTTGTTATCTTCCATTTGCAGCTGTGTCAGGGTCCCTTTCACAGCATCTCTCTCTCTCTCACTTTCCACTACACTATCTTGGCACCATTCGGTTTCATTAGGCCTATCACCATTACTGCTCTTTGTTTTTAGCAGCAGGCTCCTTGCTGCTTCATGAGAAGTGGTTGCCTGCATTGTTGCTGGCTGCAATGCTCTCATAGTGGTTCTCTGCAAAATTTCCACAAATGTTAACTTCCCTGATGGAGGTCCTTTCTAAGCTTGGCAGTTCACTTCATTGATCTCATTTGCCCCATTTTCATTGGTTGGGTTTTCTTTAGGGGATCTTTATTTCCTCTTTGACTATAACTCAATCTTGAGTTTATTTTCTTTATACTGGCACTGTCCCCTTGCACATTCAGTGTGACCCTTTCACAGGCTACACTCAAAATTCTCTACAATTCTGGTCTCATTCTGAGTTATCTTTATGTACCCCTTCTCCATTCTTCCATCCTCCTATCACCACACCGACATGCTGTTGTTCGTGCTTGCTCATACTCCCTCTACAGTGAGAAGGCAGAGAGTGGGAGAGGTAGTGAAGAAGATTGTGTGCTTGTTTGTGTGCGTGTTATTATGTTGACCTGTCAACTCTAAAGTATACACTGCTGTCCTCTGGTTACCCTTTATTATAATGTACATAACTAATTATTTTTTTATTTATATGTGCATTATATTTACATAGATTTACAGACATATACATCATTCAATCTAGGTTGGAAGAGCCAACACAACTCTTTCCCTTACAGCACAACTAGGCAAGTTCTTCCTTATAACATTTGCCTTATTGCTGAAGGGTAATTAGGAATACATGTTGGCTCTCACTAATTGGATACATTAGATATTTTACTCTTGTTTTCAACACAGCAGTTTCTAACATTTATTAGTAACACAATATGGTACCTTATTTATGATCCTCAATGAATCTTATGCCCCTTACTCCTGTGAATCATTTGAAATTAGAAACATGCCTACACGTCTAAATTCACTAATCTTGATATTTTTCCACGTTTTCAACTTCATGAAATAATTCTTGACTTCAAATGAAAAGCAAGAACACTCTTGTTCACGGGCTGTGTGCCTGGATATTTGTGGGCTGTGTGCCTGGTCATTTGTGGGCTGTGTGCCTGGTCATTTGTGGGCTGTGTGCCTGGTCATTTGTGGGCTGTGTGCCTGGTCATTTGTGGGCTGTGTGCCTGGTCATTTGTGGGCTGTGTGCCTGGTCATTTGTGGGCTGTGTGCCTGGTCATTTGTGGGCTGTGTGCCTGGTCATTTGTGGGCTGTGTGCCTGGTCATTTGTGGGCTGTGTGCCTGGTCATTTGTGGGCTGTGTCCCTGGTCATTTGTGGGCTGTGTCCCTGGTCATTTGTGGGCTGTGTCCCTGGTCATTTGTGGGCTGTGTGCCTGGTCATTTGTGGGCTGTGTCCCTGGTCATTTGTGGGCTGTGTGCCTGGTCATTTGTGGGCTGTGTGCCTGGTCATTTGTGGGCTGTGTGCCTGGTCATTTGTGGGCTGTGTGCCTGGTCATTTGTGGGCTGTGTGCCTGGTCATTTGTGGGCTGTGTCTCTGGTCATTTGTGGGATGTGTACCTGGTCATTTGTGGGCTGTGTACCGAGGGAGTTATGCTACGCTATGCCACAGTTGTGTTGTGCTTTGGTGTATAGTACACACCTGGGATTCCCCTGCCCCCTGCTATTTGGCATCATCTTTTACTGGGATGCCCTGGCCTGAGCATAATGCATAGCTGAACTAACACTTAGTTCAAGGTGCTACTGAGGTCCCCACCAGAAAATGGCATTTCATTAGGCTCAACATTATTTTGTTTTATTTTGGACTTTCGTCATTCATAAAATAAAATTAGTGTATATTACTACTTTCATTGTTGAATATTTTTTATTGCACATATAAATCAAAATATATAGATTAATTATTATTACGGTTTATTGTCTACTATATAAAAAAGAAAATATTCTAAAAGAAAAGTGTTGATCCTCCATTTCTTCCTCCCCGGCAAGTGTCTCAGCTCCTAGGAGGGGGTATGTGCTCGGTGTCACCGTTACCTTAGTATCAATCTTTTTCCCCCATGTTAGTTTGCATAGTTTACATTGAAGATAGAGGCTATTATTAGAGTGACATGCAGTTCTCTGAGAACCATCAAATGCTTGCACAGGATGAGTTATAAGAACTTTCATGTTTGCAGCAGGTTGCTGAAAGAGTGCATCCACAGCTGTATGGCTTGGTACCACAAGTAAAAGCTAGAACCTGAATTGAATGTATATATAAGAGTGCTAATGTAAAACTATTTTATTCTTATGGAAGACAACATCGGCACAACCAAATATTTTGTACGATTTAGCTGCCAGATTTACCAAAGAATTTCCACATCTGTTCGAAGTTTTGTTCAAATTCAGATGATTCTTTATTACCTCCTGTTCTTAATTGAATTTCTAAAGATTGGGTCTGAAAGTAAGACAGGGCTGGAGAAGGAAGTTTTAGAATGCTGAAGAACTTACCATAAAGGAAATCCGGTATGCACGAGCTATTCTGCAGACAATTTGATAAGGTAAAAGAAAAGATGCTTTCATGGGCATTTAGGAGGTTGAAGTGCGAGGTTGTCTCCCACCTTTCTCAGTACAACATTCCAAGTGCAGGATTGCTTGGCTGATTCTGTCAGGTGGTTGGTAACATGGATGCAAATTATTATATATATATGCATGAATTTTGATTTAGTTCACTACTGAGAAGCATTGAAAAGCTGTACTGTAGGACATTTGAAAGTACTGTATATTTTTCAGTTATATAGTCATGTGAAATTATATTTCCATACTGGGTTTTCTCTCAGCTTATCATTTGGTAAATGTACTGAGAAATATTCATATATTGTTCTGTAGTTAAACTCAAAAAGTAATTAAATTTTCCACTCATCCTTAGGACAATGTAATATTAATATTTCATACCATGCAACATAACTAAAGTCTCTACTTTGAGTTATTATTGTCTCATTACAATAGCCTGTACCTTTCCTTCATACTTGCTTGATCCTTCACTTGTCTTGACAGTCAGTTTAATATGGTATTTGTTTCAGCTTATTAAGGATTAGTTATTTAGAACTGCCTCTTGTGCCTTGGCTAGCCCTAACTGCTCTCCATAATTCCTGATGATGTTACATTTAGATTAGATTTAATGCATTGACTCCAATTATGTAAGTGTTATTTTACACGAGAAATAGTGTGTGTATTTTAATAGTGTTCTTCATGTGTTCCTCTTTACTAACTTGTATAAGAATTATTGCCCCCATTGGAGGAGGCTGGTGATATGTGTTATGGTGCTTTTGAAATGTGAGATTATGAATTACTGTAGTTAGTAGTGGAAATATTGCTGCCATTACACATTCATTAATGTTCAGATTTTATGATTAATTTTTAAATGCCATATTGTTTGTGAAAGCCTCCCCCTATGGATGCGGTAAAATGGCTCGATCCTGATTTTTGTAAGAAATTTTGTGTTTCTTTCAGGGGAGACAGTAGCCAATGGTGATGAGAATGAAGCACACCACAGCACAGTCTCGCACAGCAGCAAAGAGGTAGGAAGCTTGCCTCTCTACTTGAAGAAATTTTCTTGAAGAAATCTAGTAATTGGTTTATATTTTACTAATTGGTCATTTTGCAAATAATTTTCTTAATTAGTGATTTGAATATAACCAGTAACTGTGCTGGTCATTTCAGTGCATTGTCTGACATGTGCAAGAAAAAATTCTGATTTTTTTTCTTTTAATGCTGTTAATTGCCATCTGAAAAGCACAAATATCCAAGTAAAAAGTCTCGACATATCATGGTTTAGATGTGGTGGGCCGAAGTAGTTGTGTGGGCTTAATAGACGAGTCACATCTTGGCCAGCTGTAGTCACCAGGTGGCATATGACTAGGAAGGTTGTCACGCAGCAATAACTCCAGCATTTATTTTCATTGTTTTACATTTTCTTTTATTTTCTGTGGGGAGCCCCATTGGCACACTGAAGTTATCTTACTGATCAAGTGCCATGCTACTTGAATGTCAACAGTCAGAGTTCTTTATATGCCTACCGGGGACCACGAGCCAGTACCTGGTCCCCTCAGAGAGGTGCAAGCAGCAATGGTCCATGGACAATTTAGATTTAAAGTACTGCATGGCATCGACCAGGGAAGGCACCTAGAACGGTAGACAAATCAAAATGGACAACTGTACCCCTCTACTGGCTCACCCTACCCCCCCCCATTCTCTTCAGCCAGTTCTTTGAATGATGAAAGCCACAGAAAGGAAGGCGGGAGTGTGTGGGAGCCTCTGGGGCTCACCCAGAAACTGGTGTTTCATTATATTCAACGCTGGTTTTCTGTGGGAAACCCTGTCGGCTCCCTGAAGCTAACTACACAGAGGGAAAGAAAAACAGGGCCACACCAGGGAGGCGGCAGCACCGCAGGTTTCAAACCTGCGATGTTTTACTTGGGAAATGAATAACTGGTTAACTGAAGTGCCACTGCATTGATTTTTGAGGTTGTACTGCATACCTGGGGCCAGATTCACCAAACAGTTATGCAAGCACTTACGAACCTGTACATCTTTTCGCGATCTTTGGCGGCTTTGTTTACAATTATTAAACAGTTAATGAGCTGCGAAGGACCGGGAGGCTGTTTATAACAACAACAGTTGATTGGCAAGTTTTCATGCTTGTAAACTGTTCAATAAATGTAACTAAAGCCATCAAAAGATTGAGGAAAAATGTGGACGTTCGTAAGTACTTGCGTAACTGCTTCATGAATCTGGCCCCTGGGCACTGCATATTGATTGGCTACAAAAATCCAAATTTATATAGTTCAGAATGTAGACTTTGGGTATTTTGTGGATTGTATGTAGTTATTCCATTTATATCGCGGTAAAAAACTTATGAAGGACTTGTTTGGCGGGGAGGGGATGAAGGTGTCAGCATGTTCTTCAAGCAAATTTTAGTGTATATGCATTTATTGCAATAAATTTTAACATAAAATATTTTTCTTACAGGGTTCTCCAACAAAGGATACCTCCTTAACAGATGACTCCATCTCTAAGGATAAGAAGAAGAAGAAAAAGGGTCTTCGTACTCCAAGTTTCCTTAAGAAGAAGAAGGACAAGAAGAAGGAGAAGGAGGCTGCACACCAGTAGCACCCCTCACCCCAACTCCTTCACTGACTCCTGTCTCTGGTAGACCAATGCTGGTGAGATGCATGCAGGTTCTCCTGTTTGTTTTACAATATATTGTTCAAGGCATTTGTTACCATTTTGTTAGCTTTTATCATTGTTCATTATCCATATCACAGTTGCATTTCTCTTCATTTTCACTGTTCATTTCTTCAAGAAGACAGTTGAGAACTTCATGCTCACTTCATTCAGTAAGGAGAATAGTTTTTAGACAAGATTTAGTGGAGCAGCTGTCCTGTGTTGGCGTGAAGGCTGCGTTGTTGCACGCTGTCTTGCTCTCACATATCAAGTCTCGACTTCATTTACTATTATTGCTCCTTGAATCCCAACACTAGTTCAAATTTAGCATATAATAATCTTTGCTATAATTTTGCTTGTCTAATTTATCATCCTTGTGTACTTGTCTTTTTTCCAATCATTATCTACCAGGATTTTCCCATCTAAAGTGAGTATGCTCTTAATCATATATTCACTAAAACACTTTTCTTTCTCAAGTCCAAAAAGGGAATATACCCTGTTTGCATGTTATTTATGAAGACTATCAGACAAAGGTGTTTAAGTGTTTGTAAGCTATTATTTGTTCTCATAACAATAGAAATTAAGTGATTAGCTATTTTTCATGCAAGTCTCTGCTTTTGATTTAGAAAACATATTCAGTGTTAAAGTTTATATATTCAAATATTGTGAGCTCCAGTATACTGTATTGGGAAAACAGCCATTTCACAATGTCTTCATTTGTAGGTAAAATAGTCATTACAGTATAAACTCATTTTTCTGGAGCAATGTGCACTAGTTAATGTCTAATTAGGCAAGAAAGCTAGATAAAACTATTTTGTTACATTACTGTAGCTTCTATTCACTCAACAGTGAATGGGCACCTGGTTAAGCGATTTGGCTGGTCATATTCCAGGGAAAATTTAGGATTGAGGACTTGCTCGAAATGCTGTGCGTGCATGTGTGTGTGTGTGTGTGTGTGTGTGTGTGTGTGTGTGTGTGTGTGTGTGTGTGTGTGTGTGTGTGTGTAATTACCTAAGTGTAGTTACAGGATGAGAGCTACGTTTGTGGTGTCCCGTCTATCCAGCACTCTGTCATACAATGCTTTGAAGCTACTGACGGTTTTGGTCTCCACCACCTTCTCATTTAACTTGTTTCAACTGTCTACCACTCTGTTTGCGAAAGTGAATTTTCTTATATTTCTTCGGCATCTTTGTTTAGTTAGTTTAAATCTATGGCCTCTTCTTCTTGAAGTTCCAGGTCTCAGGAAATCTTCCCCTATCGATTTTATCAATTCCTGTTACTATTTTGTATGTAATGATCATATCACCTCTTTTTCTTCTGTCTTCTAGTTTTGGCATATTTAATGCCTCTAACCTCTTCTTGTAGCTCTTGCCCTTCAGTTCTGGGAGCCACTTAGTAGCATGTCTTTGCACCTTTTCCAGTTTGTTGATTGCTTCATAAGATATGGGCACCATACAACCCTGCATATTCTAGCTTTTGGCCTAACAAAAGTCGAGAACAATTTCTTTAGTATTTCGCCATCCATGTATTTAAAGGCAATTCTGAAGTTAGAAAGCGTGGCATAGGCTCCTCGCACAACGTTCTTTATGTGGTCCTCAGGTGACAGTTTTCTATCTAGAACCACCCCTAGATCTCTTTCTTTATCAGAATTCTTTAAAGATTTCTCACATAATTTATACATGTATTTTGTGTGGGGTCTATGTTCTCCTATTCCACATTCCATAACATGGCATTTATGCACATTAAATTCCATTTGCCAAATGGTGCTCCATATACTTATTTTGTCCAGGTCTTCTTGAAGGGCACGACAATCTTTTAAGCCTTTTTTAGGTCCAGATAGATGCAGTCAACCCAACCATCTCTTTCCTGTAAAATCTCTGTGGAAACTGATAGAAACCGAGTAAATTCGATACACAGGATCTTCCAGATCGAAAGCCATACTGTCTGTCTGATATTATATTATTTCTCTCCAGGTGTTCTACCCATTTAGTTTTTATTATTTTTCCAATATTTTCACTATTACACTTGTCAATGATATAGGTGTATAATTGAGGGGGTCTTTCCTGCTGCCACTTTTGTAGATTGGAACTATGTTAGCATTTTTCCTATGTTCGAATTTATGACTGCTCAAGTTGAATAAAAATTCTGGTTATTGAGATTTCTTGCAAATTAAAACAAGAATAAATTTTATTTTTTTTACCATTTTTTCGATTATCCCGGCAAAAATTCAGCAAAACTCGAATGGGGCGGGTATATATAATTAGGATTATGAAGCATAGAGAGTTCAGTATTATGAAGGATTTTCCTTATGTTATATTTAGAATTTGATAAATTATTACAAACTACCAGCACATAATTTTTTTTAATTTAGCAAGTTAATCAGGCTGAAGTACAGTAAACCTTTAGACATGTAATTCACTTGGCATTATTAATGTGTAGTGTTAGTCTGAATCCCTACTTCATCTTTCCTGAACCCCTACTAGACTCCACACAATTCCCTTAATTGCCGTGTTCCATGTCCAGACTTGTAGGTCCTAAACTACTCTTTAGTAAATTTAATAAATAATAGTTTTGCTTACCAATTTAGCCTTCTTGCTGAAAAACTATTCTGATGTTCATTAAGTGTTAATATTAATATACCTTATATATTAATAATTTGCAGCTTTGTTTACAAAATCCAATAAACTAATTTTAGATATGGATGCTGTGTATTTTAGTTTTCCTTGATGACATCACCACATGCACTTTGCCGGAAGCAGACTTTGGGTTATCCCTTCATCTTTTTAAATGACAAAATGTGGGGCATTTGCTTCCAGTCTAACTATTTTCCTACAATTTCTAGGTCTACCTCTTGACCAGCTTCTGTGAACATTATGGATTTCTGTCTCACAGCCTTCAAAGTCAGGCTCCTCATCTGGAACATAAATTCTTAACAGCTTATTCCAGGCCTATTTTATGATTTTCCTTTATCTCCTGCTGTGTGTTTTACCACTTCCCAGTTACATCCATGAGTATTTAAGTTTCATGATTCTTGATGCTCTGCTGTGCTTTTCAACTCATTATCTTGTTGCCGAAGTATTCTTTGAGTAATGGACTACAGGAAAGTTTCAATTAATTTTTTTTATGCTCTAGGTTTTGCAGCCTTATTTACAACATCACATGGAGTTGTTTGACTGCCATTAGGAGTCAACTCAGGCTCAAACTCAAACTTAAGGTGTTAATTCTTTCTTTGATAACTTGACAATAAGGCACAGTCATCTAGTGTACTATCCAAAGTCTTCCTCTGAAGGTATTTCCTGTTTAATCCAGTCTCAGCAGCATTATAAATCTGGAAGTTGTTTAACATCTTCTCATCCATGTTAATTCATGTATGTTCAGTTCACATATGTTTCTTCATTGTTCAAGACTGTCTGCATCCTCACATGAAATTTCACTAAATATCTCCCTACTGCAAATGGCATGCTTATTTTTAAGACCAGTAAGCCAGCTTAGGCTACCATTGAGGTCGATAATTACAAAGGGAGCAAAAATCCTCTCGGCATCAACTAAATCTGGCTCCCACAATCAAAGCACATGGAGTAAATTTCTGTATAAACCACTTGTTAACCAATCCATCGAAGCCCCTTATGCTTAGCTTCCCTAATAGTTTTCTCATATGAAATACTGTACTTACACCAAGACTTTTCCTATTAGTAACAAACTTCAATAGCTTTCCCCCTTACTTTTTTGTGTCTGAAATATTGTTAGTCCCATTGGCAAACTTTTGTACTATGCTTGCCACAGTGGGTCCTCATTCTAGTTGCTCAATCAATCTCAACTTTTCAAAAACAGTTACATTCTTCTTTTTCCTCTTATCCACTTTAACATAACCAGTAGCATACTAGACATTTCCTAGTTTAAATAAGTGAAATAATAACACACTTGTAGCAATGATCAACCTATGTAACACGTGGGAGAAAAGTACACAAGTTTATGGACCAGAGGGGTATGCAACCTCCTAACCCCAGTCCCATAGGCCTTAATTTGACCAAATATGTTACATTAAATTGAAACTGTACAGTATGAAATTAATTGATAACATTTAGAATAGGGTTTTATTTTATAAATAATAATTATAAGAGGGTGTTTTCCCTGCAGTCTTTGAGTATGTGCCAACACTGAAGCTATCCAGTTATCCAAAACCATTTACTCAACTTATCAGTTATCCGAATAGTAATCAGGATACAGGTAGTCCCCCTACTATGAATGCGTTTTGTTCTGAAAATGTGTTCATATAGCATTTGTTCAAAAAGCAGAATGAGATTTTCCATCGGCGCAATGCTATATATTGGGTGATGTGTTCCTGGACCACAAAAAAATCTTCAAAAACCAATATTTTTAGGACATTCTGTATAAAAAACACAGCACATTATTTACCATGAATTATGGAGTTATCATGCTTGTCAAAGTTAGCTGTTTTTGAAGAGTGAAGTGGTGTAATTTCATGAATAAATAAATGAAAATACTTGTGTACTGCATTGGCAGTCAGCCATTTGTAATTCATCTCGAGTAAACACCTCCCCTCACTTCCTCCTGGCATCAGCCATTGACCCCACCCCACCAGACAGGGTAAACTAACAGGGCCAGATTAAGACCTTTAGAGGCTCTAGGCACTGGAAAGATTATGGTAAGATTATTACCTCTATATGAGCCTAACATGTATGAATACACTCTGGCTGCCTGTCTCCTGAACACACTGAATTATTACTAAATTATTATTAAAGCAAGCTGAGGTTGCTCCGTGGACCATATACTTTGCCAGATTTAAATTCTGTTGTATTCCCAAGGATAAAGTACATTATTAACCTTTTCAAAATAAGTTAATTTAATTAATGTTAATATTGTTTAATTTGTGGGGCCACATTTTCCATGGCCCCTGGTTCAGCTGTACCATGGTCCATTGTACATATGGCAATGGAAAATACCTGTGGGGTCCCTCTTTACTTGAGGCCCTAAGCATGTACTTATTTTATTTAATAGTTAATCCAGGGGTGATGTAAACATGATTTGGTCTTGTACAAATCATGAATTTCAAGAGTCAATGAAAATTGTGAGAGCTGCCATTTGTAACATTGTCATCTTTCCAGAAACATCAATCCCATAAAGACTAACCACACCCACCCACCCACTTCTAACAAACTTCTGACAGGCTGGCTGGCTGACTGCTGACATAACATAACAAGTTCTTGTCTGTCTCAATCTCCTGCCTCCCTCCGTACCATCCTCACACACCAGGTCTCACCCCTTAAGGTCACCCACCCATCCCCCACCCCAGACACCCTCCCATCTCCTCCCCCGACACTACAATCTCCACACCCCTCAACCACTTCTTGGGTGGCTTTTTACACATGGAATAACAAGTGAGATTGACTGAGAATGCCTGCCTGTCTGCATATGCCTGCTATACAACAGCAATGGCAGGGAGAATAGGTTTAGGAATCTTGTAACCAATGACTGTGGATGACAGGCATCAAGGGAAAACAATGACACAACTAGTCTGCCACTGACACTAATTGTGCCGTCATTTACATGTGAAGTTACCTTGCTCTATTAAGGCTTTGAGAGTGAAGAGGAGTAGCTCTTTATGAGAATGATCACAATACTGCTGACTGGGGCAGTGTGGTTAACAGTATGACACTAGTGGGTCATGTGAATATTTTGACTGATTTACATATATACTATAGCGAATTGAGACAGTCAGGAACTAGGATGGCTGTTTGAATATGAGTGTTCATTTAACAGATGTTCTTGTAATCTGGGAATTCCTGTATAAAAGAAACATGCCAGAATCAGATTTCAGATGGATAGTGTGAAAAGATGCATATTGAAAATCTGAATAGTGTTTGTTACCCTTATGTTAAATTATTGTACTGTTATTTGAAGTACAGTAATAGATATCATAAACTTTCCTCATGCCAATTGTTATTGATCAGAATTATATATTTTATTATTTTAGTACTGTTATTGCTATCTTTTAAATACTAAACATTATCCAAGGAGCCACATACCAAAATCATTTAAATGTTCAGTTAGAAATTGTGAAGTTTACTAATAAAAATGTTAATAATTTATGTTTTCTGCAGACACTGCCAGAACCTGTAGATAGCAAAGAAGAATGTGTTGTGGGAGCCCTTGTGTGGTGCTGGTGAGACGTGCTACCGCTGACATTGTTCATCGGATCCAAGACTTGTCATCTTAAATCTTTAGTCAGCTTGTCTAGTTTTCCATGCTATCTGTTTCCTGTACTCAATTTTATTGATAAGACAATGTTAGTGATTGAAAAACTGTTTTATTTTAAAAATTTTAGTGGTTACTGTTGTAGTATAGTTAAGATTTTTATTTATTTTTTCTTTAAAAATCAAATTTTAAGTTTGAGAATCAAGAAAATAAATGCAGTTATAGCTTTGATACATAAATTTTGTTATAATTTAGGCTCTCTATTTTAGACATTATTTTAGTACCAGATTTCTGCAGCTGGTCATCAAATCTATATCTTTCATTAGAGTGCCTCAAGTCAAGTTTTAGATGCTGATGAACACCTTTGTCACTGCTTGATGTGAATGTTTGTGTGTGAATGTGTGCGACTTGCTAATCTGCAGAAGTCTTAATGTGGAGGAACAGTACACCAGTGATGTATGTAATTAATGCCTTGGTTGTTTCTTAATGATACCCACCTGCTCTCCAATATGTAGCACAGTCTCCAGGTCAATTTGTGCTAATTTCCTGCAAAACTATTGCAGTACAATCACAGATTCCCATTTCCGGTGTCATGGGATAATGTGGCATGTGAATTTGGGATTTATTAATGACCTCCGTGATTTTATTCTTTTATGTGAATGAATGAATGCACACCAGCCCCATTTTCCTCCTACTCTTGTCCTTCCATGGATAGTTGTTGGGTCAGCAGTCTCTCGTCTCACCCTAGCAAGTCTCACCATTTGCACCAAATGGTTCACATGATGAAGAGAGACTAATGGTTGGCTCTTTGATCTTTTCTACCCTTACTTGGTTTTATTTTGGCCTCATTAATGAGTGCTAAAAGAAATTATCTTTTATGATCTGTTTTGTGAGTCTGACTCCAACTATTAAGAATGGAAGGACCATAGTATCAGCTGGGGATATCCTATGACTTATAATTTCTATGTTAGTCAGCATTAGTAGACCCATTGCTTATAAGCAATGAGATCTTCTTTGCTGCTATATTTTCATCCTTCCTGTTAACCTTGTAACTTGTGTCCAGAAAAAAATATTTGTTGATGCAGATACCTGTGACTGGTCAATGCTTGGGTCACCATTTGCGTCGCCCAGCTGATGTCTTAATCTAGTGGCCTTGAATTCACTCAGTCTGCCTATGAGCAAAGGAGCTCAGTAGAGTTATCAGATAAGGAGAAATTGGTCAAGTTGACTTTATTACTACCACAAGTTGAGACACTCAGCTGGGGATGCTGGAGGTTGTTGTAGGACCACATTTGTCTTCTCTTGCTGCTAGAAGGTGGATTGTTTTATTGGCTACACATTCATTTTTTTAATCACAGCTTAGCACTGTTTTATATACATCTGTATTATAGCATCTAAATAAATCATTATTATTATTATTATAATTATATGAATATGCAGGCAGCTGATTTTAGCTTGTTTTGGAAAGAAAATAAAATGTCCCAATTTTACAAATTCTAAGTCAATGTTTTTTCATTCCATAACCTACTGTATATAATTTTATTAGTTATTTTAAAAGCTTTATGTATCTTAGAGGCCTTATACCAATGACATACAGGCACATATATTGTTTTTGGAGGGGGTTCAGGCCTAGAAAATAATAAATTACTCACTTTTCCAAAAGCCTATAACTTCAGAAAAATTGCTTTCTCTATATGGTATAATGTTTTGATTAATCTGTTCCACGAACTTTTATGTTCATACAGTATGGTGAGGCTTTCTAGAGATGTCACATTGAAATCAAAATACTGTACAAAATATAGTTTCTATGAGTTAAATCTCATAGAAACTCATGAGATTTAGTTTCTCATGAGTTTGGATAGGTTGTAACTCATTACAACCTGTCTATCTCCGTGGTTCTGTCGTGGCAGATCCAGCATTGGTTGAGATCAAATTGAATTTGCACTTTTTAGCAGTTAGCTAAAACTGTGTTTCAGGGAACGGAGTCCGGCTAGACTTCGAATGGGGAAGTTTTGACCTTGGGCATTCTCGGGAGAATCAGCAGATTTGGATCTTAAGTGGAGAGTCAAGCCCAAAAGAGAAGCGACAGAACACTGAGCATACTGAAGCGATAAGGGTACCTTTCTGGAATGAGGTCAAATGAGTATCGTCGACGAAGGAATCTGCTGAGTGTGGAAGAAACTCGATAGTATGCCACATTCAGTGGATGAATGCAGCTTCAGAGCTGCAAGTACAGTACGTTCATTTGGACATTGGTGGGTCAACGCGAATGGACTGACCGTCGAAGCCTAGTGACAGTCCTGACCAATGAGCGTCGGAAATAGTAATGACTGTCTGTAAATCCACAAGGAGTGGCCATTGAAGAGGCTGGTGAAGAAACGACTAAGATCATAGCAAGCAAGTGCTCTTTTTGATTTTCGCCTTCAAAGAGGCAAGAGGAACGTCAACTGTGACCCTAGAAAGATAATGTTTTAGTTGACTGTGCCAGCAAAGCTGTGAGCACCCATTTGTTGACATTAAACATTTCTATAGTAACCAGTGAGATGAGCAAGTGCAGCAGAATTTAATATCTTTGGTGAATACAGTGAACAGACTGGGACGTCACCCTGCATGGAAACTGACCCAACTAGTGAAGTTGGCCATTGTGATATCTTCCATGGCAGTGAATCAGTGCATGGGGCTCTGATAATAAGGCTGCCTGGAAAAAGATACATCCCATGGAGCGACAAAGGCCTAAGAAGTCAAGTGTTGACACCAGCTTTGGACGCCCCACAGCGAGCAGCCCCCTGGTGCGTAGAGAGAATCGGCGTTACGTCTGCATTACCCAAGGAAGGGAGAGGATACATGTGATGCCAGGAAACACCCGAGGATGTGGTGACAGAACTTTAGTGAGCTGGCGACACATGGTAGCTACAAACCACTGGAGATATAATAATTTCCTACCTAAGTAATCTGTCCTCCCCTTTTCCTTGTTGAGTAGGTGTTCCTAAGGGAACTTGTAGGAATTTTATTATCATTCATTCAAAAATAAATTATATATATATATATATATATATATATATATATATATATATATATATATATATATATATATATATATATATATATATATATATATATATATATATATATATATATATATATATATATATATATATATATTATATATATATATGTCGTACCTAGTAGCCAGAACGCACTTCTCGGTCTACTATGCAAGGCCCGATTTGCCTAATAAGCCAAGTTTTCCTGAATTATTATATTTTCTCAATTTTTTTTCTTATGAGATGATAAAGCTACCCATTTCATTATGTATGAGGTCAATATTTTTTTATTGGAGTTAAAATTAAGGTAGATATATGACCGAACCTAACCAACCCTACCTAACCTAACCTAACCTATCTTTTTAGGTTAGGTTAGGTTAGGTAGCCGAAAAAGTTAGGTTAGGTTTGGTTAGGTAGGTTAGGTAGTCGAAAAACAATTAATTCATGAAAACCTGGCTTATTAGGCAAATCGGGCCTTGCATAGTAGGCAGAGAAGTGCGTTCTGGCTATTAGGTACGACATATATATATATATAATATGAATGAACATGCACCCATTATTGATTGAGCGGCCATTGATTGCAGACTTGATTGACGCTATCCAAGACAAATTATTTATGTATTTTTGTCAGTAAATGTTCCTTTAGTTTTAAATGCTGTGTTTATATGAGCCTTCATTACCGTTATGCCATGTCATATATATATATGAAAGCCTGACAGTAGAGTACTGGCTACCGAGTACAGGAATAAAGACTAATGAAATCAGGAAATATAGCCTCATGTTTAAGAGGACTAGAGCAGAGATTTCAAGTCATTTCTTCCAAAGGGGAGAACCCCTTTAATCACAGGAGTAGCTGGATAACCAGGTGACCCAAAGTAGACACCTGCTGCTCTACCTCCTGCTCTCTAGGGGCAGAAAGTAACCTATCAAGTCCACAGAAGTGCTGCTGGGTCCCTGTACTCGCCTAGTGGAGTACAGGGTGGTTTGCGGCTGGTGTACACGGGTTAAGCGCCAACTTCTTCATGAGGAAAAGCAAGTAAAGAGCCGATAATAAGGATACAGTACTTTAAAGAGAGCAGTGACAGTGTGTCACTGGTAAAGCTCAACGAGGCTCTGCCCTTCTTTACCCGTGACAATATGCATAGGAAGCAGGAGGCCAAACACAAGGTACCAGCTGGGAGAGGAAATCCTTCAGGAGTCAGGGAGAGAGAAAGATCTGGGGGGTTGATATCACACCAGACTTGTTCCCTGAAGCCCACATGAAAAGGATAACATCAGAGGCATATATTAAGCTGGTGAACATAAGAACTGCCTTCAGGAACTTGTGTAAGAAATCATTCTGAACCAAGTATACCTCATATGCGAGACCAATACTGGAATATGTTACTTCAGGCTGGAACTGGACTACAGAAACCCATCACACAACACACACTACAGTGTGTGTTGTGTGTGTGGGGCAACACACCTGCCACACTGCACACCCCATGCACCCACTACAGGCTCCCATCTGTTATGTCATGATCCCCAAGCAAGGCTCGTGTAGAACTTTCCCCATAAATCAGTGAACCTCCTGGCCTCAAATATTCAAATATATTAAAAAATATTCGAATATTCAAAGTTCAAAATTTCTAGGATTGAGTGAAAGTCTTAAGTAAAATCCTCCATTTACTGGGGCAAATTTATCTACATGACACAGCTTATTTACATAAAAACAACCTAGAACATGTAATCACGCAAGTTAACATAAGACAAATCACAGTGTGTGTGTGGACACTGCCATTATGGAAACCATCGGAGTCCTATTTCCCAAGCCATTCATTATTCAGATGTCATTCATTCAATGATCCAAGTCTATTGGTAGGGTCATTGGTCTTGTGTTACAGGTAACAAACTGTGTGCTCTTAAGGTTAGCCTATCTCCTTGACCTTCCTCCTGTCGCTGTAATTGTTGGTGGGAAACTGCTCTGATAAGGTTAGGTATTGGCTACACACACACACACAACTCATGGGCACTTAATGGAACACAGCCTTGCTCTATATTTTCCAACTTGCATTGTCCCTTTAGTCATGCACCTCCTTGTGAAATGTCACGATTTTCAGGACATTCATGTCGCTTGCTTCCCAAGTGTCCCTTGTCATCATTTGTAGAAACAAGATAGAATCCATGATAGAATACTTAGCAAATCCATGCCTTTGAAATTGCTTGCTTCGTGTGCTTTTGTTCTCTTTTTGGCATCATCAGTGATATTTAGCACCATTTGTATATCCAGTGACATGATGGCACTACATAATATTCAGGGACCAGATTCACGAAGCAGTTACGCAAGTACTTACGAACCTGTACATGCAGGCAATGAGTCACAATAACGTGGCTAAAGTATGTTGAACAGACCACACACTAGAAGGTGAAGTGACGACGTTTTGGTCCGTCCTGGACCATTCTCAAGTCGATTGTGTCGTCGTCCCTTCACCTTCTAGTGTGTGGTCTGGTCAACGAACCTGTACATCTTTTCTCAATCTTTGGCAGCTTTATTTACAATTATTAAACAGTTAATGAGCTCCAAGGCACCAGGAGGCTGTATATAACAATAATAACAGTTGATTGGGAAGTTTTCATGCTTGTAAACTGTTTAATAAATGTAACCAAAGCCGTCAAAGATTGAGGAAAGATGTACACGTTCGTAAGTACTTGCATACCTGCTTCATGAATCTGGCCACAGGACTTTGTGCCTTCTTTTGATAATTACTTACTTTGTACTGGCGAATTCGTAAGCTTCATCCTAGAAATTCATGTACAGTATAAGCATGTTAAACAGGCTAAACAGAATGAGAGAAGGGGGTGCTCCATCTATTCTGGATTTAGTTTTTATCAGGAGAGAAGAGGTTTGGCATTCAATGCCTTCCTCCACGGGCAAGTGTGACCATGTAATGTTAAAAATCAAACATGCAATGTGTCATAATCTAGAAGCGAAAGGGAAAATCAAACGGTTGAAAAACTTTCTTTCAAGAGAGGAGATTGGAAAACTTAGCAAGCTTTTTAATGAATTTGATTGGAAAGGTCTGTTGTTAGGTAAGGAAGTAGAATGCCAATTTTTTGGAAAGGTCTGTTAGGTAATGAAGTAGTATGCCAAATTTTGTGAAATATATGACAAAGGCACAACAAAATTTATACCAAAAGAGAGATGCAAAACTAGAAAACTAAGACTGGTTCAACAGAAATCAGAAGACAAAACAAAGGAATCAATATAGAAGAGATCTAACCTTCAAACATATTGGCAAAACTAACAAGAAACGACTACACAGCAGTGTGAAGAGACAAAGACAAGTCATAAAACAGAACTAGGTCTTTTCTATTAATTTATTAAAATCAAGCTGCATTCAGAGAAACAGATTCACAAGAAAGAAAAAATGTGTGAAATATTAAATGGACAGTTCCAAAGTGTGCACGCGCAAATTGAGGTTTTCAGAGAACCACCCACAATGCCAATTTCAGAGAACTCCACAGAATACATAAGAGGTGTCCTGACATGAAGTACATAAAAACTCGAGGAAATAGGAGAAAACAAAGCGGTTGACCCAGATGGAGTTTCACTTTGTGTCCCGAGACCATTCACACCTGAACTGAGCATTTCATTCAATTAATACAGTATTTCAGACATCTTTATGTACAGGAATCATATGTACAGGAACAGATATATGGAAAAAGGCAAATATAGTTCCAATCTACAAAAATGGTAGCAGAGAACACCTTCCAAATTATAGATCTATATCATTAACACTTGGTAGTCAAAACTTTAGAAAAATAGTTAAAATCAAATGGGTAGAACACCTGGACAGCAAAAGACAATAACAGACTATTATACTATAATAACAGACTAGTATGGCTATTGAACAGGAAGACTGTGTAACAAATCTACTTACTTTCTATGACAGAGCCACAGAGATCTTACAGGAAAGAGATGGTTGGTTTGACTGTATTTATTTGGATTTTCGATTAAAGCTTTTGACAAAGTCCCACAGAAGAGGGTATTCTGGAAATTGGAACATACTGGGTGTTGACATGGATGAAAAATTTTGACAAAATTGAGGGGGGTAACTGAAGAGTGTATCAGACTGGAGAAATGTTACTAGCGGTGAACCACAGGGTTCAGTTTTTGCACCAGTAATGTTCATCGTCTATACTGTATAAACTATACCAGAAGAAATACAGAACTACATGGACATGTTTGCTGATGATGCCAAGCTATCAAGGAAGAGAGAGTCCTAGACAATAGTTATGTCCTTCAAGATGACCTGGATAAAATAAGTGTATGAAGCAACACTTAGCAAATGGAATTCAATGTGAATAGGAGAAAATAGGCCACATATAACCCTCAAATTATGTGGAAAGCATTAAAGAATTCTACAAAGAGATAGATAGGGTGGTTGTGGATAGTAAGACTGTCAGAGGAAAACACAAAGGACATTGTGCAAGGAGCATATGCTATGCTTTCCAACTCCAGCTTTTATATACATGGATGATATAATAGACATTATTCACGGCTTTTGTGAGACCATTACTTTTAAATTTGAAGTATTTTCCCAGTACAACTTTCTGCTAATTTTCAAAAACATAATATTCCATACTGTATAGCCTGTACACCATTCTGTTTAAATGTAGCAGTTATTCTCGATACTGAAGTATGCATATGTACTTCTGAAATAAAAAACGACTCCAGGGAATCCCAAACTTATGACAGAGATGAGCTATTTTTCCATTGCAAGCCAAACACTACTTCCCATAGACGTAATGCTATAAAGGAGAGAGAAGTTCCTGATGCACAAAAAATGCCACATTTAACAAAATTTAAAATATAAATAATTCATTTTGTTGGTGACAAGAAGCATGCGTATATATATATATATTAGGCATGTATCAAGGTCCTCCACAAGGCTCAACTACTGACCTTCCCCAGGATACGACCCCCCAACAGGTGCCTAATTCACGAGTACCAATATACTGCTAGATGAACCCAGGATCCCCAATTGAGAGTCGAGAATGAAGGCAACTGTACTGCGAGACCCATAATATGTGTAATAAACACAGGATACACTTACCTTGAATGTTGAAGTTGCCTTGCTTAGCGGATACAATAATTACTGAAGCTGAGATGGTACTGTTTATTCCATATACATGTACAATCTGCGTTAATATTTTTTTCTGTGAGTGTCTTATTAATATTGTAGCAACTATATTAGAAATAATGTAGGAGCTGCTTAAACATTCCAGAAACTCTATGTACTACAATGACATCAAGCAGTTTCCCGTCATGCAACGCATGAGCATTGCTCTAAACCGAGTCAGATGGACAGGGATACAAGGTCAACTGACCACAGTATCGGGAAAGTCGCAACAGCTCGGCCAGAAGTACCACCACCTGTGATCTACCTTAACCAATAATCTCTCAACATAGCAGCAGCAACACCACCTCTTACCAGTCTTGGTCTCACCAACCATGACCAGTCTTTACCACCACTGGCACTCCACAGTAACACCTTATGGCTCGCCCTGCCTCGATGCTGTCATGTCCTACAACAACAACTGCTGTAACCATTTACATCACATGTACATCTAGTTACATATTGTGTGTGTGTGTGTGTGTGTTTTCCAAACGTCATTTTATTTCCAATGTTATGGCTTTTCTTTTATCAACTATGATTTTGAATCCGGGCAGGACAGAAATGGTTCGCCACATTTCCTTACTCCTAATGCCTCTGTTTGCCTAGGAGTTAGTCAGCTTCTTGTTTGGTTGCATCCTGGGTAGGGTCAGTAATTCGACCTTTGGGGGGGGGGGGGGACGGTACCTCGATGTAAGCCTAATATGCATGAATACACACTGGCTTCCTGTCTTCCAACACAATGAATTATAAATTATTAAAAAATGATACGAGAGAAGCTGTGGATAATGGTATAAGTAATAGAGTAATGTAAAAATGGGGATGGTTTAATAATCCTGAACATTAACATTATGTATAACAAATACTATGTACAGCCAAAATATTAAACAGTACAGTTGTGCATACTGGTAATGTATGCCTTGCTGTTATATAAGAAGTGTGAACAATTATATAAATAATTCCTAATCATATCTACAGTAGGTAATCATAAGAGTTCACATGGCAAGAACATGATGATTTTTGTCAATATTAGGTAGAACTCATGTAATGTATGTCTTCTTAATAAAATAGTTGCAAACACTTACTATATTGTCTATTTTATTTTATGATTTTCAGAACTTTCTTCACAGCCTTGATTATATCATGGGGTTGTGGAATACATGCTATTTCCAAACTCTTGGCATATGGCATAGGAACGTCAACTCCCGTCACACGTACAACAGGAGATTCTAGGTAGTGATATGCTGGACCTGGACAAAAAGTTCTCAATTAGAAGTTATAATTATATACCGTATTTCAAACATCAAATATTTGTTTCCAAGTATATTTAATTGCCAAGCTAGAAGTTAACTTTGTTTAGCCCTTTCCTAAGCATTATAGTTGTTTATCTATAATATTGAAGAGCATTTAGTAATGCTGAGGATGACTAGTCAAGAGATTTACTGCCCATCAGTAATAAAACAATGTGAACACAAAGTTAGCATTGCAAACCATTTTACTTGAAAGAGTATACATAAATTTTACATTAGCACAACTTTCTAAAAGAATTAGTGAAGAGCCCCAAACTTTGATCTGTTTCCTCTTATTTACATTTCAGAGCTTACTTCACTCTAGACTCTTAACATTTACCATGAAGACTTACAATACTCACCACTTAAAAATGTATATTATATCCTTTTATTTTTTTATAGTTTTCAATCACATCTATTTAACATTTTCATTAATGATATACAGTGACACCTCGACTTACGAATGCCCCTACTTACAAATTTTTCGAGTTACGACCCCAATTTCATCGGAAAATACGACTCGACTTATGACTTATGCCTCGACTATGATTTTGTTGATAGAAGCATGAGCTGACCGAGCGCGTGGTTCCTGATGGCACAGGCGACCCCGCCTCAGTTTACCAGAGCCGCCCGCTTACTGAAAATCGTGCTTGTAAAGAATTTCATTGTTTTTGTGCTCTTTTGTTTTTTGAACATAAAAGTAATTATTATTTATCATACCATGGGTCCCAAGAAAGTCAGTGGTAAGGTTCAACCTAAGAAGGTAGTTGTGAGTAGAGGATGTCCCTTCCTCATTAAGAAAATGTGTGAAATAGGGGAAGAACTGCAAAGTTTTGTTGAAAATAACTCGCTCAGATAAAACTGTAACAGGCCGTTGCATTGACATTTTTGAATGACAATGTGATGTTTCACTACTGACAAGTGTTAAAATGCAGGGAAAAACAAGTGTCTTTAAACAAATTCTTAGTAAGACAAGCAAGCAGTGAGACAACCAGGTCCTAGTGGTATGCCTGCAAAACATAGGAGAGAGTACCCCAGAAAAGTCATCAATGCCTATGTTATAATGCAAGGAGACTCCCCTTCCAAACATTAACACCTCTCCCTCCCCCCCTGTCTTCTATATGCCAACAAGAGTCCTCAATAAAAGCAAGATATACATACTGTATTGTAGTTACTGTAGCACAAAAAGAGTGGTACAGTATTGGGTATAAAATGTATTTTTAAGTTAATATTTTTGGGAGTGTGGAATGGACTAATTCCATTTACATTATTTCTTATAGGAAAATTTGTTTCGAGTTACGACCCATCTCTAGGAATGGATTAAATTCGTAAGTGAAGGTGCCACTGTATAGTATATGTATATTCATATATATTTTTTTTAACTTTTCCAGCATTCAAAAGCTAATGTCTCATTGCTATTAACACAATCTTTGCAATTAACAAATACATAGTAACCTATACATGTATATTGATTAATTAATTTCACAATCTGGATGAAGAGCTACATTAGTTTCACAACTCTCCTATCTCTCGCATGCATTACTATAAGGAAAAGCTTATCAGATTTGAACCATCACCTATACAGTACATGCAGCAAGATCTACACTTGCCTAATTTAAACCTGTAACAATGACATCTTTTTCCCCTTCAAAGAGCTTCCCATTATTGGGGGGGGGGGGGCACGAGTAAGAGTTTCTTCACAAAGCTCTTGTCACCAGTTGTTGTTAGGGAGCCGGTCAGCCGAGCGGACAGCACACTGGTCTTGTGATCCTGTGGTCCTGGGTTCGATCCCAGGCGCCAGCGAGAAACAATGGGCAGAGTTTCTTTCACCCTATGCCCCTGTTACCTAGCAGTAAAATAGGTACCTGGGTGTTAGTCAGTTGTCACGGGCTGCTTCCTGGGGGTGGAGGCCTGGTCGAGGACCGGGCCGCGGGGACACTAAAGCCCCGAAATCATCTCAAGATAACCACATAAACCAATGACTTCAAGTCTCCAACCCCTCCTGCCACTATTTCCATCATATACTGTTCCACTTTTCCATTCCAAGATATAATCCCTGTATTTCACTAATGTATACACTTCTAGTTAAAATATTCCCAGGCATCCTGTTAACATGTCCATACCACTTCCTCGTATTACACTCCATCCACTCAACATTTAATTACCTCACTCCTTTCACTAAACTGCACCCACACCAGAAAGGGCCCCAGCAGTAGAGTTGGGTTCATTCCCAACTCATTATCAGGAATTCAGGGTTTGAATCCTGGGTGGAACAGAATTGAATGGATGCATTTCCTATCACCTAATGCACCTCTTCACCTAGCAGTAAATAGGTACCCCAAGAGTTACTCAATTTCTTATGGGGTTGCATCCTGGAGATGGTCAGTAGTATGACCTTGGGGGGAGAAAGGCCCCTTGATATAAGCTTAGCATGCATATATACACTCTGGTTGCCTGTCTCCCAAAACAATAAACAATTTTAGCTATAGCTTTCAACATCTCATTCTCATATCATTACTCCTTCACATACATATCATCTAATATCTTATTTAATCTTTTTTCCACTCTAACTTGCTACACTCTCCAGTGGAAAGCCCACCTCCCAGTTACCCTAATGTTGCACAGCACTGATGATTTTTCAGATCTCACACATGACCTCTGCACCTTTCACTTACGTCTTCTAGCTACAAACATATAATCAATCTACAAAATAAAAACAACAAATATGTGATTACTTACTTTCAACTACTCTAGCACAAATCTCAGAGCCAATGCCACACTGGGGCCAACCTTGCTCAACTGTCACCAAGTTATGAGTCTTTATCACTGACTTAACAATGGTTTCTTCGTCCAAGGGTCGTAGAGAACGAAGATTGATGACCTCACACTCCACACCTTCCCCAGCAAGTGTCGTGGCAGCCTCCAGTGCCAACATAACAGCTCGGGAGTGCGCTACCAAGGTTATATGTTGTCCTAGAATGAAAGTACATATATAAATGCATATCATTACTGTACTTAACCACCTTCAATGTGTGTAGGAGCATCACCTTGAGGGAAAAATAGGAACATTCTAGTGAAATGTTACACAGTTTATATTAAATACATTTTATATAAATAACTCTGTCTCTTGTCTGTTTGTGGGTGGTGTGTGTGTGTGGGTGGTGTGTGTATGGGGTGGTGTGCGTGGGAGATTAGTGAACCAATCATAGTTAAAGAGAGATACAGAGCTATCAATGTACAGTACTTTAAAATCTGGAAATGTTTTACAAGTATACACATTATAATTTTTAGTTAGTGTTTCATTTTCAACTTTCTATCTCATAAAATGTCACAGATGCCTGGTTCTCAACTGAGAGACCATGTCTGCTCACCTTCACGCTCCACCTTGGCTTTCCCCAGGGGAACCACAAAGTCCTTGCTGAGGACATCCTCAGAAATGTCAAAAGGAGTTCCATACAGAAGTTCATTCTCCAACACAACCACAGGATCAGGGTCACGAATGGCTGCTTTCAAAAGGCCCCTTGCATCTTCAGCTGAATAGGGGGACACCACCTGTAAAATATTTAATTAATATTCATGACTCCTTCCAGTATTTTTCCACGCTTTTCTTAATTTCATTGTTAATTTAATCAGTAAAGTCAAGCACAGTTCACCAGTACATTTTTGCCAAGATTGATCACCTTACTCTTACCAGCATATATTTTTATCTTTCTTTGATAACTGTCAATGCACAACTCACCAGTTTGTGCCAAAACACACTGAATGGTCAAGCCCTTGCACACACTTGCTGTCAACTTAGATTCAGAAATACCAACCTTGCACAATACTGTACATAATTTACTTGTGGTATGCACCAAAAAAATTAGCACTGAATGTAATGAAACTCCATTTTCTGAGTGAGCCCCGGAGGCTTCCTGGAGCTATCGGACTGATATACGCTATATTAGTCTGGGGCATCAATCAATGGGGTTCAGCCTACCGGGGACCACGAGCCAAAACCTGGCCCCCTCAGAGAGGCATAGGGAGCATTCCTTGTCTGCCATCGACTGGAGTTAGGCACCCAGAAAGATAGGTATAACAAAACAGACCCCACTTGGTAAGAAATTGCAACCAAAGACCGGACAGAGGCAGAACTCCCCAAAACTTAAAGAAACAAGCAAACATTATACACCATTGCCGCACAGCTTGTCTGCACAGCCCTTCCCTCCACGGGAGGGGGGAGCCCCGGACCACCCTCTCTGGCTACTTACGCCTTCAGTTCGGAGGCCAAGCATCAAAAAACAAAACCGCCGACCAGAGGGAGGGAGGGAAGATGCCAGGGAGCCTCCAGGGCTCACCCACCCAGACCCCTGCTCTTCGTCGTCACCCAAAAACAGATCTCAGTACTAGAGCTGTGGTAAGTACTTCAAGTACTGTATATGACAAACACATGAGTGCCACGCTACTAGTTAAGCCACCATCACTACTCAGCCACTACATGTGCCACCGTGCCTGTCATCTTCAGTATTTGCGCTCTATTGTTTCATCTGCAGCATACATTGCTATGCTCATACTATACGAGTAACCTGGCATGTGGATGCCACATGTGGCCAGTGTTGAGGTGAAATAGTAATATGGAGACCACCGCCAGTGTTGAGGTGAAACAATAACATGGAGTCCACCGCCTTTATTCTACTGTTTTGCTACATCAGCAGATTCCCAAGAAGGTCACTGTCCAATTACCATGTACGAATAAAGTGTTGAAGCAGTGAAGAAGGCCGACCAGTAAAACATCAGTGTACTTTCTCTTTCATTTCAATATTGTTGACAGGGGTCAATCATCCAGTCTAGTTTATATCTGTCAGCACTTGCAATTGGCAAAGTGAACAAGCGAGGTAAGGTGGCATTGTGAATCTGTTAGCCCAGCATGGTAACGTCCCGACAATTGCACGGGTGCTACGGATTTTCTTAATTCTACATGTCGGAATGGGGACTTCTTCGGATGGGCTACTGTGACTTCTACACAGCAGCCCGTGACAGCTGACTAACTCCCAGGTACCTATTTACTGCTAGGTAACAGGGGTGTCAGTGTAAAAGAAACTCTGCCCATTGTTTCTCGCTGGCGCCCGGAATCGAACCCGGGACCACAGGATCACGCGTCCAGTGTTCTGTCCGCTCAGCCACCGGCTCCCACTGGTGCTTATATTTAGTGACCTGTATACTGTATTATATTCTTAGAATAATAAAACAGTGTTTTTTGCTGTTATTACACTATATACACATGTTATATAAAACTATCTACATTTTTTACACCATAATGAACCACCAAGTTAGTCTGATGTGTTATAATCTTGTAACCACGATTCAAGGTCAGCGTCCCACCACACAGATCTTGCACAAATTTGTTAGTACAAGCAATGAACGTATTTAATTTTCTTCATATTTTTATTGATAAGACCTTGTTTTACAAATGCAATGATGCACTGGGCTGTCAATAATGTTATTTGTATCACAGAACAGGTAGATCATAGGTATGCAAAGACTTATTTGTCATTAATATGCACACAATATTATGTTTTTTGAATAACAAAACACACAGTTTGCTATTACATTATACACACACACTTCCTATAGCTATCTATATTTTTATAGACCATAACAAACCACTAAGTAATTCTTGTGGGTATGGTGGTAATGAAATGCTAACACAGTATAGGACCACACACTACGACCAGACGGTGCAAGCAGGTGATGTCACCTGATGCAGCAACATCCCTTCAGTATACTACGCACATCACTAAGTCTAGCCACAACATTGCTATTATCATCAGGTCCCTGTCACTAAATCATGAATATGAATTATTTTTCACAAGAATATTTTCTAAAGGAACATGAGGTCACGTTGCATGATACATGGATGCACAAAACCTCGGCTATGTGCTGTAAATGTCTGCCTCTTGCTGTGAATATCATAACTAGCATTGTGTTCACCGATATCTGAACCTTGTACGTATAGTTTTTATTAGTCAGGATCATATAAGACACTATCATTGCAAAATGATTGTAGTTACTTATTTTATTCATCATTATTAAATGGTGCTGTAGCCCCAACCTGCACAACTGTGCTGTGAGCTGCTGCATGTGCCAGTCTTGGTCGCTCTGTCAGTACCGAGGCTCTCAAAGCCAGGAGAAATGCAGACGATATATTTTCAAGATGGCGTCTGTTTATGCGAGTCCTGAGGAACAGGAACAGGATTCATTATTGCCTGTGTGATTTATATGATTTAATTGATTACAGAAATAATTACTGTGCATATTATACGAGCATCACCGATTGTCAAGTACTGAATATTATACGAGTGTACAGTGTTGGACCCTTCAATGGTGGGCTAAACAAGTGAAGCGACCCTTGTACTGCCAATGTCGTAGGCAGTTAAAGAGAGTGAATCACAAGTGTTCGGTTTAGTTCATTATTGTGCCTCCTACCACAAAAAGGCACGACTATGGTCTCAGCAAACTAGCTCAATGGGAAATAGTTCCTGCTGGGTTACGCTATTTTTTGGCTTTGCTAACGTGATACAATATTAACACTATCGCACGCGCCGCAGACTTTGACATCGTGGGGTGGAAGGTGCGGGCGAGTGTGCAGCGACGCCTAAATGTGTATACTGTACTCGTTTCAGTTTTCTCACCTTAATTCTCTTGCTACGTCGTTCATTTTGGTATCATTGTGTTCACAATTAAATTCCCTGCAGGTGTATATGCATATAATGTCCAAAGGCCTGGCGAGACTCCCCGCAGCAAGGCCTAAAGTTACCTGTGAACGAGCACCAATTTGCACACCACAACCTAATGTGTATACTCGTTCAGTTTGATAACATCCAATTTCGTGTTACGTTGCTCGTTTTGGTATCAAATTGATCGCAATATAAGGGCGCAAATTTTAAAACTAGTCTCATAATAATAGAGCAATAACTGGAATTTTAACAAATATTTTAATTTTGGACACTCATCATCACATAATTATTTATATCTTTCCAGTGTTCTGACATCAATTTTCATGTTATGTCGCTCGTTTTGGTATCAAATTGTTTGCAATCCAATGGCGCACATTTTAAAACTAGTCCCATAATAATAGCACAATAAATAGAATTTTAACAAATATTTTAAAATTTAAAATTTAGACCCAAAAACGTATTTATAATCTTTCAAGTGTTCTGACATCAAGTTTCATGTTACATCTTTCATTTTGGTATCAAATTGTGGACGAAGAAAATGGCAATCTATTTTGTGCAAATGGCTATCTACAATACTTATGTGATGAACAACTACTACACAAAAAATACTAAACTATAATACTACATATATTAAAATACTAAGTACTAAACATTTGTGGGCAGGAATTGGGAGTGTAGCTGGAAGGCGTCTGGGCGCTCACTCGCAGTTAACGCGTGGCCCGTCTTCAACTCATCAGCGGGTGGAGCGTGACCAGGTTTTTTATTTTATATGCTAATGTTCCTCTAGAGAATTCTATTGCGAACCCATTGATACCAAAATGAAAGACCTAGGATGAAAATTGAGGTGACCAGAGTGAAAAGAGTGAACATATTTTATCGCTTTTGCACGCTCCTGGGTAACTCGTTCGCACTTGCTCTGTTTGCTGCAGGTAATTAGCCGGGCTTTTGGAGTTTATATGCATTTAGTGCTGTAGAGAATTCTATTGCGAACACAATGATACCAAATTTAATCTCGTAGGACGAGAATTAAGGTGACAAAAGTTGAAGAGAGTATACACTTTTCAGAATTAACGCGAGCTCCCGTGAAACGCTGGGACCCAAATCACACAGTTGAGGGGTGGCGCGCTGGGCACGCCAAAGTGTTAATCATCCTTTGGGATGATTAATAGTGTATTGCCCCGAGGTATTGCTGCCCCTACAGCCTTACACCAAAATTTATGCAGCTCCCAGCTGGGAAAGGGAGGGAGTGATGAAAAATAAGAAGAATGAGAAAGAAGAGGAGGACACAAAGGAGTACAGACAGATAAAGAGACGAACACACTATATGTGTAAAGTTGTGTTCGAGCACTTGTAGTAAGAAAATAATGAAGTGAAAACCCAGCAGGATGTACAACCTGTACCGCCACGAACATTACAAGGTCACACATCTCGTGCACATCATGTATATAAAACAAAACCTGAATAATCACATTATTCTGCATTTAACAGATCAGCAAATATTGACATTTGGGACAATATAAATCAAACTTTTATGCCTTATTTTTATTAGGCTTGGGGTAGGTTCAGTCAGGTTAGGCTGGGGAAGGCTAGGTTAAGAAGGGCTGAGATATGTACTCTACATCATTGCTACTCTATACAGAAATCTAACATTTTCAGGTCTTAGACCCTATTAGAAAATACTGCCAAAACTTTGTTGGACCCAAACAGGCCCAATCCCATATGTTCCATTCCAACAAGTTTACACTATTTATCATTAATATTCTTAATGTTGTGAAATAAGAGATACTAATTAATGATAATGTCTTTTGAATACTGATTAGAGTTAGAAGCACAAACTATAACCATTATACTTGGACTTGCCTTTAGTCCAGGGCAGTGAGAATACCAGGCCCCAAAACACTGGGAGTGTTGGGCCCCTACACCAGCAGCTGCTCCATTCGGTCCACGAAACACAATTGGTACATGGATCTGCAAAATGTCTAAGCTTTATTATGTCTTTTTTTACTTGCATTGTGAGAGCCATGTTCCAATGCCTCGCAATCATTTGGGAGAAGAGAGTCTATTACTTCCTGGGATAGATATTGTGAGGAGACATTCACATATGGGCCTAATAGAGCAAGAACTCAGCAATGTGATGTTATAGTGGCCAGAATACGCCTGGAATACAGATGTATCGGGCAGCTTTCTCAAAACTCAAATGTCGAGTACATAATGTGTTAACTTTTGTGGAAGAGAAAACATGTACTCACTTGAACATTATATTGTAAAATGTCCCACATTGACTGACTTTTGCCCTCCTGGGCTGAGGTATGCTGAACTCTGTAACTACTATATGAATACTGGAGCATTTGATATATTGGACTTGTACCCAAGATTGACCATGTAATGTATCAATTGTACAATGTGTGTATGTGATGTAACTATATAACCTGAGCTTGTAAAAGCATCTTAATCACCTTCAGTGGTTAAGTGCTTAATAACACACTAGTTTCTCTATCAGCTATCTTACCCTCTCAGAGTAGGAGAGCCATAAATGTATGTGTATGTATGTATGTGTGTGTATATGTGTATGTATATATATATATGTATATATATGTATATGTGTGCATATGTATATGAATGTATGTATATAAAGTATATGTCGAAGCCGATCAGAATTACATTTCACCTTTGTGAAATGTAATTCTGATCGGCTTCGACATACTTTATACACATACATTCATATACATATGCACACATATACATATATATATACATACACATATGCACATTAATAACAATATGTAAAAGACACATCAATCACTTTATGTAGGGCAGACGTAACTGTGTATCTACTGTATGTATTTAGATTAGATTTTTTAGTCAGGTAAAGGTAAATACAAAGACAATGAGTTACAAACATAATGTTGAATTTAAAGATAGAGCTAGTACATACAATACCTAAAGCCACTAATACTCATAGCATTTCGGGTCTGTAGTTAGAGCATTACAATCACCTTCTATGGTTGATTGTTCAATAAATCCCTGAACTATATGTTTAACAGATCTCTCACCCTGTCCATGGAGGACAGAAGAAAATGTATATATGCTGGTTAGCATTGTAAATGTCTGGCCACGTCTGTGGTAGAAAATAATAATAAAAACAAAAAACTTCCTGGGAGAGCATGCCAAGAAAATGCCTATAGAAGAGAAAAATGTGGCATGAAACACAGGGAAAGAAAACGCCAACTAAAACTTGAGAGTTAATGACTAGCTTTGGCGAGTATTGTCACACATTCTTGGAGGAATAAATCATCAATATATCAGAAAAATTCTGTAACAAGAACATTTTAACCTAAATTTTATGGATTTTTTTTTAGTAAATAGGGTAATATCTCAAATCTGAAATACCAAAACTCTTTAAAAACCCAGACTTGGCAACTGTATATTTATCATACTGTATTTAAATTAAAAAAATCACGATGAGCACTATACACCTAGTCTTGAAGTGGTAGGTTATCCAGCCAAATCTCGAATATTCAGAGATTTGGCCGGATAATGCAGACTGGCATAGCGTCAAAGTCAAATTCGGATAATTTTCTGGCAAAACTTTGCTATATCCACTCAGAAATTCAGATAACAAGAGATCAGGTTTTTATAAATTTTTAAGAACTACACATTTCAAGATCTATAGTATCACACAAGATAAAGAACAACAAGGCAAGCCAAAGTTTCTCCTCTGAATTATATATTTTTTATTTGTAGTGTGTGTGGCAACACCCTTGGAACACATCTACATTTTCCCATATAATCTAAAGCACATTTTGCACAAATTTCTCTATGTAAAGGCTTTCCCAGATGCATTCCTCATGCATAGTGAAGCTTACTATGTTGTAGCTCAGTGTGCAATAATCATTACTACATTATTTAAATATTAATCAGGATTACATAAATAATAGGCCATTTGAAATATTATGGACAAATTTAAGTGTGCCTTATACTCCTAAAAATGGAGTCCCCCAAAGAAAGAAAAAGACATGAGACAGGTAAGACATCTACAATATTATATTTAATATTGTAGATATTACACTTGCAAAATGTAAACATTAATTAACTAATAAGGAGTGCACAGATAATTACCAGACCAGCAGACATGTAGAAGGTCTTAGAAGCAGAGTTGATAACATGATCTATGGCTTGCATCGAGAAGTTGAAGGTCATGAACTCGCACACTGGTCGCAACCCACCCTATACAAAAAAATTCACAGGAGTTAGCAGATACATGTCATAACATTTAAAAGCAGCAGACTGGCTTGCTTTGGTGGCCTACACAAACATTACTGTAAGGAACAAGTAAAGGGATGTCCATTTTTATTTATTACTACCTTAGCAGGTCATGTTAAGAAATTAGCCGCTTGTATATTGTATTCTAAACCAACACACACTTAACACTCTTGATACAGATGGACAGGACAAAACTCTAACTTTTGAATGCATTTGGAAAGCCCTCTTGTGAACAGTACATTCTGATGCTTCCTAAGGCAAGATTCTCCTGGGATCTGGTTAGGGATTGGTGCAGCCACAGCGGGTCAGGTTTCTGCACTGGGATACTTTTCAAACTCTCCCTAGCAGATCATAAGGAGACTGGTGGTTACTCAATCTACCCCAAAGTATAAACATAAATTTGCATTACATAAATTAAAGTCATTCCACGTGCAACTTATTAGTGCCAAGAACTCAAAGCCATACCCTACCAAACAGCCCACTAGGTCATTGCCCCTGACTGTCTCATGGTGGCAGAACTGACACCACAATAATGCCATACAGCCCAACCACCCCATCATACTCTGAGTGAACCTAGGCTAAGACAAACCCACTGCCAAGCACCAGAGAGAGGGAAGAAATGGTAAGAACAGGAGCAATCCAAGGGTACTGCTCAGAAGTGCTTTTTATATGCACTTATAGCTTGATTTCTAAGCTGTTCAAATTAATTACTCACAGAAGCATAGCATGGCTTCAGATGGAAAATCACATTAACAAACTTCATTGAATTCTATGAAAGGGTCACTTAAATAGGACAGGAGAATGAAGGATGGGTAGAGTGCATCTTCTTAAAGGGCCAAAAAGCTTCTGACACAGTACCTAACAAGACTAATACACAAATGGGGAGACAAGAGGGGATAACAGTAAAAGCATTGGATTGGGTACGGAACTACTTGATTGATAGGAAACAATGGACCATAGTCAAAGAGGATATGTCAGGCTGCCGAGGAGTGGAAACTGGTGTTCCACGAGGCTCTCTCCAAGGACCATTGATCTTTTTAATTTATCTAAATGACATTGCAGAAAGAGAGAGCCGATGTTTAAAGATGATGAATAGTTAACAAGGAGTGTAAGAACTGAAGAGGACTGTCAGATGTTGCAAGACCTTACCAAATTTCAGATGTGGGCATGTAATTGGCTGCTGGAATTCAATCCAAATAAGTGTAGAGTAATAAAAATGGGTAAGGGAGATAGGGGACTTTACTATACCATAAGGGGAAGTTAACTACAAGAAACAAAAGGAGAAAAAGATCTGGGAGTAGACAATCTCCCAACACTAACAGCAGAAGCTCATGTGAACAGAATAACATCAGCAGCAGATAGAAAGTTAACAAATGTAAGAACATTTAAGAGTCTAAACATAGCAGCATTCAAGTCAATACATACTGCTCATGTGAGACCATTACTTGAGCATGCAGAACCCACACTTTGTGAAGCATGAACAGAAACTTAAGAATTTTTAGAGGTTTGCACCTAGATTAGTATCAAAATTGAGAGGCCTCAACTATGTGAACAGGTTGTGAAAACTCATCCTCACAACCTTAGAGGAGAGAAGAAACAAAGGGGAATATGATAACTACAAAAGAAGCCTATTTAAATTAAAAAATGTAGGCCAAAGGGAGATCACAGAAGCTGGATATGCAATTGAGTCAAAGAGATGCAAGGAAGTTCTCAATCCCTGTACGGGTAATCGACAAATGAAATGCACTGAAGGCCGAGGTTGAAAAAGCCAATTCCGTCAACAACTTTATGAAAAAAATATGCAAAAAATAAGCAAGAAAAGCATGTGGAAAATAATGAAAAGTTAATTATTTTAACTGTCAAAGTATGCTGCAAAGTACTTCAAAAGACAACTGCAGACAGCCAGTCTACCATCTTTTACTGCTTTTATGCATGGTAAAGTAATCAATACATCTGAAGAATATCAAGCTAATGCAAACTCTACAAATATATGTAAGGCTCATTAGGCAAGCAACACACAGTAACAGACTAGCTAGCTACATACCATGGCTGCTCCAACAGCTATACCAGCAAAACCACTCTCAGTGATTGGAGTATCTATTACTCGCTTGTCACCATACTTCTTCCATAAGCCACGAGATATCTTATAAGCACCATCGTACTGAGCTACCTCTTCTCCCATCAGGAACACCTGTAAAGGAAAATACAAGTTAGTTTTGCATACTACAAAAACTTGCCAGAGTTTGGCTAAACAATGATTGCAAGAGTACATTGCAAACCAGTGCGCTAACATGACTAACGCTAATTCTACATGCTGTACACATACTACCACAAGCATAAAAATAATCTCACACATATATGTCAGTGGAAAAGTAAACAAAATAAATATCTTCTCTACTCACTTTATATTTAAAAAGAGGCACCTAGGCACCTCCCAGGAAAATTGAAAAGGAGGAGTCCACCTCTTGCCATTCAATTACTTGGGTATGGCAAAAGCCATGCCAAGTCCCTAAAGAATACAGGATTGTCTGCAAGCCAGGAAGAATCAGGAACATTGTAAAGCAACTAAGAATGCCAAAGCAGACCCAAAATCAAGAAGAGGCTGAGCCCATCATGGAAGTCCAACAGAAGGAACCAAAGTAAGGCCATCTGAACTGAGAAAGACAGAAAGCAGGACAGTAGTAACATCGTTAAAATGATTCATCTGAAGAATATAATGGTACTCTGAAGCAAACAAGGAGAGCAGAAGCATGAAAATCAAGCTTAAACTTCAACGGATGATAGGAAAGATCCCTCCCCACCCCACCCCAAACCTGAGAAAAAAACAGAGGAAACCAGAGGCCAGACAAGGTTGAAGGGCACCCAGGAGCCCACCTAGGGCTCTTTCCCAGCACCTGGAAAATGAAGACCCCCCTCAAGTCAAAGCTGAGCCCTATGCCTAATGACAAGAAGGTATCTCCACACTCCAAAAGAATCCGAGCCAAATATACCACCAGAAAACATTAGGCTGGAAGCAACAGCTGAACTGTATCTAGTGTTGAGGTGGAAGGGGTGATCAACAGAGAAGGCAGAGTTACACCAATAGGAAATTGTAGTCCAGACTCCGAAACCCTCTAACGTCCTGGGGCCCCGAGCATGGGGATGAGGGGTACAAGATCCATTTAACCATGACAGACAGAGCAGAAGGAATGGTGAACATAGAGCCACTCAAGATCAAAGCTACAAAAAAGATAATAATGGGCAAGATAGTAAGATAATAATGGGCAAGATAGTAAGATAATAATGGGGAAAAGATAAAAATGGGCAAGTGAATCTGAAACGGCTGCTGCCTATGAAGCCTCAACACTCTAAAAAACTAAAAATCCTCACAGATATTGGGAGAGAGAGTAATACCCACTCAAACAGACAACAGAGGGAGATAGTGCAAATGACCAATGTTTATAACAAAACCAATGGACATTCCTCAAACTCGCAAGAAGAGAGTGCAGTTTTGGTGGGCCGATCAGTGATTACGTCAGAGACCAGTGGGGCTTTTAAGAGCCTGAAGATAAGAACCATACAAGACACCCAAGCACCAGGGATGCTTGCAGGATGAACTAATGACGAATGCAGCATAAAGGAAAAATGCGGCTGTGAAGGGTGTCAGCTGCACACTGTATGTACAAGAATGTCACTCTAGTGTACCCCTTAATCACTAACCAAAACCCACCAGGAAAGCAGCCTTGTTAGGCCAGATGGCAACATCAATGAGTGCCTAAGGGCAGCTCTAAGCACATACACATGAAGCGAATACTAAAGATCGAAACAAACAAGCAAATGGGCCCTACAGGACAGAGTCCAAAGGATAGCCAATAATTATCTAGAATATCTGTGACCTGAAGAGCTAGTGACTCAATGAGCATGTCAAACAATTCTGACATCAGGGGGAATGACTGATTCTTGTTGATATGAGGAGCTGGCATGATGGTGCTCTCATGATGGTGCCACCTGGCAGTGGCCAACTGTAACTAAGGCAAGAAGGGGACATCACCTATTGGGGGATCATTTGCCAAGTTGTTTGCTAAATTATTTGTTTACATTGTGAACATTGCAGCTGTCTGCTCTGCTTTGCTTCCTTTCTGGGGGGTTTGCTTCTTTTGTGAGGGTGATCATGTCCCCTACTTCCTGTGCCTCTGCGAGGGGGGGGCCATGCTTTGGTCCGAGGTCTCCAGTAGGCTATTAAGGACTCCTAGCGCTGAAGTGATTTATGCGGTGCTAGCTGCAGGGAGCCACCATTTGGCCCTTCCAGTAAGATGGGTTAGAACCCTAAATATGTTTAAGTGTTATAAGATATTTCACTACACTATTCTCTGGGAAAGTCCCAAAACTGTACTGTATATGCATCAATGTGGATGTAGTACCTTTTTTTTTTCTTTTTTCTTTTTTAACATTAGGAGAGGGTGGGTGTGGAAGGATTGCCTGGGACCTGACGGGTCATTTGAAATCCCTCATGGAACAAATAGGCATCACCCCATGTTGTTCATTCAAAAATTTTTACACTGTACTTGTATATACATTCCACTCACCCACACTCTAGACAAAAATGAAGTTAATGAAATCCTTAAAGGGATAAAGATGGAGAGGGCTGACCAAGATATTGAATACTTAATTATTATGCAGCCATATACAGTACTGTATTACCTTTATCACACTGAATTACTGTCCAGTGCTGGAAAAAGTAAAATAAGTCTATACAGACCGTTTCATCACGTTCCATTTCTTCATCGAGGGCGGTGTTGAGGGCATCACGGACGGTTAATTGATTGGCTGCTACAACTCTACTTGTTGAGAAACTCCGACTCAATGCTCCAGACAACCTCTGGAAGAAAAATTTATTTCAGTATGAAGAATTAAAAAACAAAAATTTCAAAATATGTAAGCTTGATGCACAATTGTGATTTTTTTTATATTTGCTTTGTTAATATCAAATGCTACAAAGCAATAAAAAATTATATACATAATTTTTCATTAATAATTTTTCAATACAGGGTATCAATAATTTATCAATAATGCATCAGTTTGTTTTGATAACAGATACTGTATGCAAGAAACTACCACTAGAGAGGAACATACTCTAATGTTAATCTGAGCAAACCCATTCATAATCAAACTTGAAAATTTAATTTGTGTTATGTATGGTCATATTAATTCATAAAGTGAGGAAACTTGCAGCTAGTTAATAGAGAGAGTTCATGAGAAATTAAATAAACTGAAGGCAGCACCCGTTTGGGACCCTGCATCTTGCACATATTTGGTTCCATGGATTTATAACCCTGTGGGTAAAATAGTATCTCCTGTTTTCAGTCCTACACTGTGGCTTGTTGAGCTGGAAACCATTGTTCCTCGTTTGTGTAACATCTGACCTTTTGAAGATGTTATCCGGATCAACATCCTCCAAATTGTTCAGTATCTTGAATGTTTGGATGAGACCAGCCTTATCACGTCTGGTTTGCAGTGTTGAATGGTTTAATGTGTGAAAATTAACCAATGTGTTTCCTCTGGCAACTGCAAATGTCAAGTGGGTCTTTTGTTTATGAACAAGTGTTAATGACCTTGTCTCATATCTCGGTAGTTTCTCTTGTAAATTATCTTGGGACTGTAGGAGACTGGCTTTTGTTTCTTAAAATTTCTTTACATGAGAATATTTTTTTGGCCCAAGCAGCTGTTATTATGCCAACAAAGTGAATAACCAATTACTGCTTTCCTATGACAATATATAAATCGTGCTAAACAAAGCCACGTAATGCTGGTTTCGTTAAAGGTACCGAAACCATAAAAGAAAAATAACTAAATATATATATATAACTTCAGGAGAGTGGGCCGCCCCATAACAGCTGATGGTTGATGTCGTCTGCTTATTTGGAGTAATTCAGCGGCCGTGCTCACCCAACACCCGCCACAACCACCCAGGGAGCACCTCACTGCCCATTACTACACAGGTGCCTACCTTAACTACTCTAGTGGCGGAGAGTGCCATGGTTGTTGTGGTTGTCATGAGCAGCTCAGCAGCAGCAGGAGCAAGAGGAAGGTCCAGCAGCAGCAGCAGCAGCAGCCGGCGCACCACAACACTCCCCTGGACGCGTCTCAACTCCGGCTCCACCTTCATCTTTTTTTTTACACCAACCTTATATTACCAACTATATAAACAGCTACGCCTCATCAATAAAATGAATATATATTTTCCATATAAACTGTCGGGTGTAATATTAGTAACCAGTAGCAATCTCCAGTTGCTCAAGGAAGGTTGGAGACTGACGAGTTCGAACATTGGCAATCAATACTGACAACCGCTAGATAATATACTCTAGTAAACTTTTATCGTCAGATTTGTTCAATATAATTCCTTAGCAAGTCATCGGGATGCGTAGCGGCGAGCAGGCCTGCATGTGCACCAGGAGGCGAGGGCTGCATCTTAGTGTATATATATACACACATGTTTATTTTAGTCTTGTGTCTTGTCACCTTAATAATCCTCCCGTATATAAAAAGGTCAATTATTATTTGCCTAAATTTCCTTGAAGACCATCATCTTCAGTGACCTCCAAAGGGACAGGTTCGGGCCGGTTTAATCAAGCAGTTGTGCAAATACTTACGAAATTGTGCATTTTGTATCATTCTTTGGCAGCATTGTTTACATTAGTTAAACGATTTATGAGCTCCGAGGCACTAGGAGCTGTTGACAACAGTATAAATATAATAATTAAGAATTCATTGTGTAGAGAGACAGGAATGCAGAGTGAATTCATACACGTTAGGCTTATGTTTTTGTCTCTTGTGTCAATTACATTTACAAAACCTTGTTCTTAAGTGCTAACCCCGTTCTGAAACTCTTCCTGGACAGATGTAATAGAACACATAATCACTACACTAGAAATAAATATCTCTGACATCCCCAGAGTCAAACTTAATCTGTGCAAACACTCTATGCAAATAAAGTCTCCGTGGTGTAGTGGTAAGACACTCGCCTGGCGTTCCGCGAGCGCTATGTCATGGGTTCGTATCCTGGCCGGGGAGGATTTACTGGGCGCAATTCTTAACTGTAGCCTCTGTTTAACGCAACAGTAAAATGTGTACTTGGATGAAAAAACTATTCTTCGCGGCAGGGGATCGTATTCCAGGGACCATAGGATTAAGGACTTGCCCGAAACGCTACGCGTACTAGTGGCTGTACAAGAATGTAACAACTCTTGTATATATCTCAAAAAAAAAAAAAAATTATAGATGAACTAGTGATGGTCTCATTATAGAGATGAGCTGGTGATGGTCTCATTATAGAGATGAGCTGGTGATGGTCTCATTATAGAGATGAGCTGGTGATGGTCTCATTATAGAGATGAGCTGGTGATGGTCTCATTATAGAGATGAGCTGGTGATGGTCTCATTATAGAGATGAGCTGGTGATGGTCTCATTATAGAGATGAGCTGGTGATGGTCTCAGTATAGGGAGGTGTTAGGGATGTCTCAGTACAAAGATCTGCTGGTAACGTATCATTACAGAGATGTGTTTATGAGAGTGTTATCATACAGGGTGTTCACAAAGTCTCACATCATTTGTATAGCTACATTTTCTGAAACAGTAAAAAATACATAGACAAATGTGGTACTTTGTAGCCACCCGGTACATACCTTATTAAAAAATAAAACCAAAAAGTACCTAATTTCATCTTCACAGTTTCCTATCTTGTGCTTTAAACTCGCACTGTATCTAGTGCTACCCAATCCTCCAATATATAAGTGCCTAAGCCATACAACTTTACCATTATGATCATTGCTGTCATATGTGCTATCAATATGCTGTATTGTGCCAACTAATCTTTGTCAAATTATCGATCAAGCTATCAATGCTATTACACACAGAAATCACAATAGCGTGATGCATCAATGAACAAATCCACGAGGGCCGTGACGAGGATTCGAACCTGCGTCCGGGATCATCCCAGACCCTGCCTTAATCGACTGAGCTACGACATGGTCAACGCCAACGATTAAGATTAAGGCAGCATCTGGGATGATCTCGGACGTTGGTTCGAATCCTCGTCACGACCCTTGTGGATTTGTTTATCAATGCTATCAATCAAAGCTATCAATGTGCTTTACTAATCTACTAATCTCCTCGATTCCTGTCCGATTCGACTTCCTGTCCTCGATGAGGACAGGAAGCCGACGGCTTGTCGAAGGTCCCCCCATTTACCCTTATGATCTTTTCCAGCTGTTCTTTAAATGTTAACAGAGTTAGGGCATTTACGGCTTCGGCGGGTAGGCGGTTCCATGAGTTTATGACCCTATGGGTGAAAAAGTATCTTCTATTCTCAGTCCTACATTGTGGCTTGTTGAGCTTGAAACCGTTACTCTTTGTTTGTGTTACATCTGACCTTTTCAAGAATTTTTCCGGTTCAACAACCTCCAAATTGTTCAGTATTTTAAGTTTAAGTGAGATCCGTCCTGTCATGTCTAGTTTGCAGTGTTGTTAGCCCAGTCCCTCAAGAGTGATGTGCACGAATGTGAATGATGTGCACGTGTGTTTGCTAGCCACAGAGTTTAACAGAGTCTTTATTAATATATTAAATAAGGTAAATCCGAGTTCAAGTACGTTTATTGAGGAAATGAAATACATCTAAAAAGGAATGGAGTAGCTTAGGCTATTTATACCCTCCTTAGGTCTGAGGACATCTCCCTGTGGGGTGCCTAGTTCATAAGAACATAAGAATAAAGGTTACTGCAGAGGGCTTATTGGCCCCTACGAGGCAGTTCCTACTTATAACTAGCCAATCCCACTCATATACATTTCCAACCTACGTTTGAAACAATCAAGGGACCCCATCTCCACCATGCTTCGCAGTAATTGGTTCCACAAATCAACAACCCTGTTACAAAACCAGTATTTACCCAGGTCTTTCCTAAATCTAAACTTTTCCAATATATACCCATTGTTTCGTGTTCTGTCTTGTGTTGATACTTTTAATACCCCTATTAATATCCCCTTTGTTATGCCCATTCATCTACTAGTAAACTTCTATCATGTCACCCCTAGATCTTCGCCTTTCTAAAGAATGTAATTTAAGCTTCGACAATCTTCCTTCATGTGACAGGTTTCTAATTTGAGGGATTAACTTTGTCATTCTACGCTGGATGCGTTCTAGTGAATGTATATCCATTCTATAGTACAGTGACCAAAACTGAACTGCATAATCTAAATGGGGCCTAACCAGAGCAAGATATAGCTAAACAACACCACCAGGTGTCTTATTACTAACGCTTCGATTAATAAATCCCAGTGTCTTATTTGTCTTATTACGAACATATATACATTGATTTTTTGGTTTTAAATTCTTACTAATCATACTCTCCAACACCATATCTGTGACTGCCCTGTTATCAGTAATTTCAGACCAAGTGGTATGAGGTACTTTGAGCTCTGTAATTACTTCATATAGTCACGAATATTGGAAGATATTCTTGTGCTGTACCCAGATTTTGCTAGTGGAGGCTAATAGATCAGCCTCGTATTATCATGGTCTCTTCTGATTCCATGTATGACTAACCATCCTGTGAGATGGGGATATTAGATGAACTTATAGCTAGTTTCTGGTCTACACTCTTTAAATCTTCATGTAGAATAGGGTAGCACCACATTCCTGTGTATTCCTAAGACTGTTAATTAAAAAAAGTATATTTTTCATCGTCGATTTAACTGGTGTGACATTTGTAGCAAGAGAGTGATATACATGACGACAGGCGATACCTACAATTTGGGTAAATAAAGAAAGCTGGAGCAAAGAAAGAAGACTTAGGGTAATTACATTTTATTTTCACAATCCATTACATCAAACGATAGCATACAAAACAGTTATGTCATTGATGTGTTAATTCACTACATTCTCCCCAACTGGCGTCCCGACCTGCTGCTGCTCACTACACCGTCCATGAAACACTATATATCTATCGGTGAAAAAAAAATGGGAATCTACTCATGTCCAAAACTTATATTTACATACAATAATGAAAATAAGTACAGTAGAGCGGCATACGCATGTAAGAAATACATGGTGACAACCCCACGGCTTTAAGAGTCCGCGTGGTAGAGACTAACTTCACTATAACTTCACTAACGTCCAGCAGTCTCTGTGTGGGCAGCTGTGGTGATGTGTAGTGATCATTCACCATACAGGTGGTTGTAACTGTTGTGTTGTAGCTGTAGAGACCCGTCACTACGAAGGTGGTTGCAAATGTGTGTTTTTTGTAGCAGAGATCAGTCAAAATGAAGCTGAATGGGTAAGTTGTAATTAATACTAGTTCACTACAGGTGACATTGTTGTACTTTAACGGATGTTATCGTACCATCACAGTCAATACTCTACCCCACAACATCTGGTACTCTAAGCGTCATAGCTGATACTGTACCATTACAAATGATACTGCACCACTACAGCAAATACAGTACCTTTAATTGCTGCCCTGCTACCTTAGGTGGTACTAAATCTCTACAGCTGATGTATCGACAATACACCTCTTACCTATATAATACAACTGGTAGCCTACTATGCCATCTGCCTGCAGAACTCATTATTTCAGTAACGTACCATTGTAACTGGTACTGCATCGCTGTAACTAGTAAACCTACCATTGCGCATAGTATGCAGTTCTATAATTACAACTTCCCTTATACAATAAAACAAAGACTTACAAGCACAATTTCCTTACTTACAATTGGCTAACAGGAATTCATAATTTTACACATTAAATATATAATTTGTATACAAACAGACCGCACTTCATAATACAATTTTAAGTACATTGTAGTGTGTAGTTGAGTCATTAAACCACGGAGCGACACCACGTGCCAGGACAGGAGGAGTGACCAGGTAGTAGTGACCAACAGGCCCCAAGGGACACCAGGTCCGTCAAGAGGGTTAGTCACTCCTGAGAGGTCACGCCAAGATAATGACCCCCAATACGGACATTTGCCTTAAGTCAGACCGATAACATGTACTGAATGTTATAAGTATTGGAATCATTGATTTTTATATCGGCTAACGTTACGAATAAGTCTTAATTTGTCGGTGAACAGTTAACAACATACAACGAACGCATATATATCATGTAATACATAACAAAGTATACTTTATATTATATAATATTTTAAATACTTACAGCTGCGTTACAATTACACCTTATAACAACACTCATACCACACGCAATAACAGCAACAACACCTAAAATAAGTTTACACTTTACCAAAGATGACGCCATAACGCCATTTGATGAATGACTGCAAATGACAGTTTTAAGGTCTTAATTAAGTGATGTAAGTCTCTGAAGAAATGATGTTTATTACCCCCGTTAATCTTGTTTGTAAAAAATACTGATATATATTGTACAGTTACGTTTACATTGTGGTTGGTGGGAACCGAGTTGCTGGCTGAGTTATGCCCGCCATTTGTGAACGAGTGAGAAGCCTAGTGTCCCGTTCACAATTACTGAGCACATCTCCTCCCAGGCAACCCCACCCATCCTCTCCCTCGTCTACATCACCAAGAAGTCTTAATAATAAAAAAAGTCTACATATGGGAAAAACTACGTATATCAGAACCAGAGTGTAAGCATCTATATATCTATATCTGTTCTTTTGATATTGTCAGGCTATTGTATAAGTGAAATAAAGTTTAAAAACTCTAAAGACGAAAGTATTTTTACAGCACTTTGCTCACTAATTAGAATACGTATAAAAATAATGGGGTTCAAGTTGACAATGTCTTGCAGAACCTATAACTGAGCCACTAGAAGGGTCTGAATCACTAGAAGGGTCAGGCTTTCACATAGGTGTGAGCACTTATGAAGTCCGGTTATGAAGTATCTTGTCCCTCAAGGCGTCATGGTCGATTATACTCTTGACATTTATAATTTAGCTATATATAAATAAAATTGACAGAATGCACACTGTTGTAAAAGGTCCTAGTAATCGTTGAGATTGTAGAAAGATTGTAAACTAACAGGAGAACAGAAACAAGATTTTCTAAGCTTTCGGGTGTATTGCACATATTTTCAATGTACAACGAAATTGGCACTAATTATCAGTAATTCGCACTAGATAATTTACAATGTTCCGGTACGCCATTACCGGAAATCCATGTGTGTTAAATAACTTTTTGTCCATAGTTTTTAAGGGTCTTTGGTTAGTTTTCTGCAACCTTTGAAGATCCATTAAGTATATTCCGTGTATAGCACACTACTTGCGGCTTAAATATATGATCTTGCACGAAATCAAATGTTTCAATAAAATTAAGATATTATTAATCAGCTTGGCTTTCCGCTTGATTGATTACATTAAACAGGAAACAAAGTTAGACAAAATCCGACTGTTCTTAAACTCGACACACACTAATATGAAAGGGATTTGAGGTGAGTTTACCCGTTTAGTGAGTAATGACAACTTCTTCCACAAGGAATAAGCCTATGTCAGCTTGACGACATCGCTGAATATAGTATTCCTAGGTTTTCCAGCTGTTCTTGACAATTTTACCTGGTTCAGTATTGTCCTGGGCGAGTTTTGTCATTTAACAGTTGAGTTTTATTGTGACCTAGTGTTTAGTTTGAATGTAATTTTATTGCGATGTAGATTATTTTGGTGTGTTTTATCGCGGTAAAATTCGGTCATATGGCGTTCTGCTCTATACAGTTTTTCCAGAGTGGAGTCTCATCTTGATGCAACTCCTAATGAAATTTTGTATTGGTAGACTTTTGCCCTGTTGTATTTTACAAACATATATTTCCTTGGGACATTGAAGAACGTAAGAATTTATGAAACTTCAGATGGTCTTTAGGCCCATACGAGACAGCTCCTGTTTAATATAGCTTTGTCTTTGTGTTCTATCACAGAACTATCTTAGCTGCTTTAAATTGATTTAGTTCCAATGGAGAATTGCACTCTTAGAGTTATCTGAATATAGGATATATTGTGTTCTTGTAGTCTATCCCTCCTTGTATGAGTTAGCCCTAACATTTTGTGTCTAGAAGCAGCTTAGTAATGCTATGATTTGTTTTGACTGCACTGTCCCTGAGGAGTTTTGTCATTGCAGATTCTCGTCCCAGTAGTTTTGTCCCCAGAGGGAGATTTTGTCCAGGCAGTTTTATCCCGGTAGTTCTAACCGGATCAAAGCGTACCACACAAATATAAGTAAACCGGCTTTGTCCACTTTAAACATTAAAAACACTTAAATAAGAATGTCTAAACACTAAAACTTCCATATATATACATATATGTACATGAGAGTAAAGTGAAATAGCGTAATAATCAATGAAATAATAACCCACAATTTTGAAAACACAAAAAATGTAGAGCAGAAGTTGTGGTCCGAAGCCTGAGGTCCAAAAATTGACTACGTTTCATGTGACTTTTCTAAGTAGTGGGATATTATTTCATATATGTAACTGTTAATAACAATTTTTAATAATATAAAAATAATAAAACTTATAATGATATTAATAATAGTTATAGTGAAGGTGAAGAAAAGACCCAATACATATGTGAAAGTGTATTATTAAACCATATTTTGGGATGAACCTACAACCTTTATCAAGGTGGCGAACAAAGTTTATAGCACCTTGATAAATGACGTATAGGTTCATCAACAAAATTTGGTTTCATAATACACTTACACAAGTATTGGGCCGTTTTCTTCTCCTTTATTTAAACTCTACGGTATTGTAGTAAGTTTCTCAATAGTTATAATAATATTAACTTGGTGTGATCCATCATATCAGCGAGGTTTGTGTTGTTCACAGCAGACGGCGAGAAACCCAAAGGTAGACTGTTATGTTTGGCGAGGACCAGCGAGGACACTCACCTTGAGAATGAACTTCTCCAGCGAGTGACACGTCAGTGGAGCGTGATTCACAGTAGAGCTCTGGAGCTCAATGGGCAGAGGACACGGGACGGTAACACTGTATTAGAGCGCTCGCCTCAGTCACATTGCTCTTCCAAATACGGCACCTGCTCTCATGGGGACGAATGGGCACCCAATCTTATGACTGACGCAGACTGGGCACCCAATCTTATGACTGACGCAGACTGGGCACCCAATCTTATGACTGACGCAGACTGGGCACCCAATCTTATGACTGACGCAGACTGGGCACCCAATCTTATGACTGACGCAGACTGGGCACCCAATCTTATGACTGACGCAGACTGGGCACCCAATCTTATGACTGACGCAGACTGGGCACCCAATCTTATGACTGACGCAGACTGGGCACCCAATCTTATGACTGACGCAGACTGGGCACTCAGTCTTATGACTGACACAGACTGGGCACTCAATCTTATGAATGACGCAGATTGGGCACCCAATCTTATGACTGACGCAGACTGGGCACCCAATCTTATGACTGACGCAGACTGGGCACCCAATCTTATGACTGACGCAGACTGGGCACCCAATCTTATGACTGACGCAGACTGGGCACCCAATCTTATGACTGACGCAGACTGGGTACCCATTTTGTTATGAGTTGCATAACCTCCTATATGTTGTAGTTATGACACTTATCTTTCTACTTATATAAATAAGGAAGCCCTTAACTGGCAGAAATGAAGACACCTTTATTGTTGATGGAAATGAGACATCTTTTTTTTTAAGAGTGGATGGGCAAGCACAATGTGTAAATGTTCATTGGCTACTCTTTATATCCTGGATACAAGTGGGATGTCCACAATATTATTAATGTGAACAATGTCACTCAGCCACGTAATACTGCAAAATGGGTCGTCTTTAATCTCTTCTCGAAATGGCACCCACCGTCTTACTGGCAAAGATCAGGCACCTTTCTTTCCAGAGGTGTAGGAAGCCTCGCGTCAAACCTGGTGACACGCTTCTAATATGTTCAGATACCCGTTAAAGTCATCGAGATAAGGTAATATCTTTCCAATTGTTCATCAGTGGTGTGAGTGCCCTCGACGTGGCTGGTGGTGGTGGATACCATCACCAGTGCTGGGGCGTGGGATACACCCTCACAGCCCAGATGGCAGTAGAAATAGCCTAAGCTACTCTATAGCTTTGAGATGTATTTTTTTCTTGTCTCAATAAACATACATAAACTTGAACTTGTGTGTGAGGTCACACCCACGCACCTGTTGGTGCCGGAGTCGGTTGCGGATACATATTAAGTAATTTCTCAGAGAGAAATAAATATTACCAAAATTCAGGAATTAAAGTTCCTTATGAATTAAAAAATTGCACACGATGCATTACAAAGCAAACACTAACATCGACCCGTATTTTATACGTACATTCAGCTTTCAAATTGTATTAATTACAGTTTGTGTTTAAGAAGACTGTTTGGCATTGTGTAACCCACAATCACTACGTTCACTGTAATACGAACACCTTAAAATTTGTAACTAGTATCATACACTTTGATACATTTCGTTGGAACAACTGTCAGGTTAATAAACAAGCTTCCCTACACGTTAGTGCTATAAGAGGTAGTCACTGCCTTTATAAATAGGGTCTATGGGAAGCAGCGAGGACGCGGTACGTTGCTTCCTCAGCTATGGGAGAGGTAATAGGCAGCGTTGTTCCACAGCTGGCACCAGTGACTCCAGTCCAGGTGTGGCCAATTCACAGCTGGCACCAGTGACTCCAGTCCAGGTGTGGCCAGTTCACAGCTGGCACCAGTGACTCCAGTCCAGGTGTGGGGTGTCGTCTGTCTGGAGCACTTTCTGATGCTCTCCTTCAGGCGTGATGCTCAGAAGCAGTTTCTGAAACGTTAAGTGTAATATAAAATCTGGAGGTCCGTCTCTTGATGGAGTGCTCCCTGAAATTCACCGATTATCCTAATAAAATGTTACTTAAAACACGGCAAGAAATTCTTTGTTAAAAATGCTCTCTTAACGAAAACGATTAATATATAAAATAATGTTTAGAAGTGACCAGAATATAGCCCTCTGGGGCAAAGAGGTTCGGAAATAGATAGAAATAATAGAACGCAAGCCTATTAATAGAATAGGAATAGAAAGGCAAGCAGCAGGAGGGCGCTTACAGGTGGTGGGATATACCTGTCTGAGGGAGCCAGGCTGGCGGTAGACGGTAATGACCATCCACAGAGGTATCATCAGCATGGGCGAGGAGGTGATGATCCAGCCCACAGCCTCGGCCCAGCTAGGATACTGGTAGTGTGTCGGGCCGTTGTACTCCAGCTGACCTGTGATCTGACTCTGGAGTCCGATCAGGATCTGTGCCACAAAATAAGGAGAAAGTGCGCTTAGAATAACAGTGATTTTTTAAGGTGTTATAAATACTGAAATTTTGCTTTGTTGATACAGGGATTATTTGGAAGTTTGCTTATAGTTGAGATAAAATTTCATGTTAATAATACTTTCAAAATATGCTTTTATTTCTACTACTAACCAACAAGATAGTCTATGATTAACTTTACTTGAAAACTGCTACATTTTGTACAATAAATCAGCTTCTGGAAGTTTGTGTTCATCTAGCACAGTACCTATGGCGAGATTTAGGCTTAACGCCGGGCACTAAGAATGGTTAATTCATCAAACATTTACTTAACCATTTACGACATCTGTAAAGCTTTTCTTAATCATGGCGGCTTTGTTTACATTTATTACACAGTGTGAGAGTTCAGAAGAGTACGAGGTGGTTCGTAACAATAATTACCATCATTATCAAGTTTCCAAGCTTGTAAACTGTTCAATAAATTTAAATAAAGCCGCAATGATTATTAAAAAAGATGTACAGGTTTCGCAAGAGGATGTATAAATGGTTCCCGAATCGTGTTGTAGACCAGTGAACATTATAGCGTATATAGCAGGTGGGAATGATAACACAAGAGAAGCGGGAGGCATGTGGGGAGGTGAGTTGCTTGACCCCAGCCGGACCCCAGCCGGACCCCAGCAGGACCCCAGCCGAACCCCAGCAGGACCCCAGCCGAACCCCAGCAGGACACCAGCAGGACCCCAGCCGAACCCCAGCAGGACACCAGCAGGACCCCAGCAGGACCCCAGCCGAACCCCAGCAGGACACCAGCAGGACCCCAGCAGGACCCCAGCAGGACACCAGCAGGACCCCAGCAGGACCCCAGCCGAACCCCAGCAGGACACCAGCAGGACCCCAGCAGGACCCCAGCCGAACCCCAGCAGGACACCAGCAGGACCCCAGCAGGACCCCAGCCGAACCCCAGCAGGACACCAGCAGGACCCCAGCAGGACCCCAGCAAGAGGAGAAGTGAGAGTAGTGTGAACACTGCTCACCGTGATGAGGATGAAGAGTGGCGAGACGAACTTCCAGCACACGCGCCAGTACCAGCGGGGCACGAACCCCAGCATGTGTTGTATGTCGGCACAGAACCGCCGCAGCCCTGCGTCACACCCGCCTCATTACTCTCACCATCTTCACACTAACATTATAATATTAACCATCCCAGTCTCTACTCTTCACCCTCACACTCATGCTATAATATCTGAGTCCAGTTGAAAAGTAAAAGACACTAGAAATTGTAACTTTTATAATCATGGTTGCCTACTTAAATTAGTACAAGATAATGATGAATGGGTCACCATTGTCACCCTACACTCAACATGGGCCACCACTGTCACCCCACACTGTCATGAATCATCATACTAGCAAGGTTAGGCTATGCTAAGTCAGGCTGTGATGAGCCTTTGAAGCAGGGCGGTGGACTCAAACCCTGGTGGTCACTCACACACTATTCCGTATAAGCCAGGCTGGTTTATTTTGTACCGTCAAATTGCATTAGGCGTTGTTAGGAATTAAATATAATAATGATAATTCTAGTATAAAATTGTTTTATTGTTATTATAATTATTAATTTATTACTTCAGTATTACTGCATTAGCTAAAATATTAATAGTGTATTAGTTTATAATAATAATAATAATAATAATAATAATAATAATAATAATATTATTATTTCTTTCTGAGGTGGGTTCAGGAACAGACAACTGCTGACTCCTATTAGCAGGCTGAGAGCTTTTCCCTTTCCAAAGTTCATGGTAAGCCTTACATGCATTAGTATATATATATATATATTGAAACTTACCATAGAACCAGGAGATGGCGATGGCCTCGAAGAGCGCTGAACAGAGGAGGGAGATGCCGGCGGCGTAGGTGTCCAGCCAGTGGAACACGTACATCCCGCCCTGCACCAGAACACACCCATACACACATCACATCAACACCAGAGTCACAACACAAAGATAAATCATATTAGTACCTTGTGTAAAGATAGACTGGTTCCTCCAGAGCCACTAGTATAATCTAGTGAAGGTGTTGTGGACCTGTCTTGTGAATATAAGCGGGGAATAATACAGAAGGAAGCTATGGGGATTATTCTTGGTGTCAAAGCCTCATGTGTTTACATTATTGTTAAGAGGTAATGAAAACGGAACTAAATTTGACATCAATACTTGGGAATACTGTATAATTGTTTTATGAGAAGGACAGGAGGTGGTGGGTCCTTCCAAAGTATTCAGATTTGTTCGAATGACGTACAAATATATAGAAAAAAAAGAGATGTTACAGGAGAAGATTGGCTAATAAACTGTGATAATGCCATGTATATGACTGCCACAAACGCTCTCGGCAGTGCAGTAGAATCCTCCCTGTAAGGTACAAAAAGTAGACGTAGAAACTGTGCCTCTCAAGATGAAGTCATCTTGAGAGGGAGCCGCTGGATGACCAACACCGGCTACGGTGTCTGTATAAACACATAATTTCTCACTTATCAGGAGACAATAATTTCCAAGAATATTGTAACGGATTGGTGGGGTGAAGATGGCGGGGCGGGGTGTGGGACCCTGATAAGGATATTCTCAGTCTATGAGACAATGGACACGAAAATTGAACTTAGACTTAGCAATTATAATTGATCCATACAAGCTGGATTGCAGGTCGTTCTGGCTGGTTGAGATGAAGTAGCTCTGGAGGGGGAAAGATGTTTTCGAATTTACTGATAACTGAGAAGCACTTGGTTCATTAAACAGTAAAAAACTAATCTTCTTAGCCATTGTTGAGGATTATACGAGAGAATATTGAATGTGTTTTAAGTATCCAGGAAATAAAATGCAAAATCAGGTACAGGCAGAAGATTTAGTACACACGAGAGAAAATAAACCTTGACACACTTCATGTATATGAGTCAAACCATGAATATGAGTCAAACCGTGAATGACAACATGAATATGAGTCAGATCATGACGCATTAAATTAGTCAAAACACTGACAAACTAACTGTAGTGACTTTAAACACGCGTCTGAAGCCCGGACACAAACATTATTGAGAATATGAGACAGGTGTTACAAGAATGCCAAGCAGTGTAAATTATGTAGCATGTCAAGGTCTCTCACAAAGTGGTCGTCAGTCTCCATTGATATATATATATATATATATATATATATATATATATATATATATATATATATATATATATATATATATATATATATATATATATATATATATATATATATATAGTATCTAGAAATGAGATAATTGCTACGACTGTTCCTGAACAACTAGCTTTTCTGTATCACGGTAGACAGGTTGGTGATATTCTGGATATATTATACCAAGTGTATAACCATTTATAATCCTATTTATATGTTTGTGTATAGTCTAGGTATTATTATTTGTATCTATGTATTTGTACTGATTTATAAAACGTATTTTTTAGTATTTGTGTGCACGTTGTTAATAATATTACCTATGCACGAGAACTGCAAGTTATACGTCGATGGTGTATGATGTCTGTATAGATGTATAGACACGTTTCCTTTAATGAGTGGCTGGGATGTATTTGTGTCTATTTATATTTCAGTAAACTTATTTAAATGATAATTTCCACCCTAGCATGTGTTCAAAACACCGTGCTTCAGAACCCAAGCCAATAGCATAACCCACGGCCGAGGCCACGACACACCTCTCCCCTCAATTGAACACACTGTGTCACCTAGACCACAGAGCTGCTGATAGCACCAACTACACCTGCACTCTACCCAAATCATTGACACTGATGACAACAATCTTCGAATACAAGAATGGAATACAAAATACTGATGAGTTCTGTTAGAAACGGAAGCGGGTCTCTGGATGTAGGCTCGACTTATGCTCGGACACCACAACGAGATCCTTTAGTAAACTCCACACTAGAAAGTGAAGGGACGACGACGTTTCGTTCAGTCCTGGACCATTCTCAAGTCGACTCTTTTTCAGCCACGTTATTGTGACTCCTCGCCTGCATATCCATTAGTACAGAAACCGAACAGGAACAAAAGCCTGGACAATGAGAGGTACAGTAGACTAGGAGGTCAAGGTGGGAAGGGAGAACTCTTATCTCTCACCTGGCAGAAGTTGGCGATGGAGACGAGGAAGGAGGAGGAGACCACGATGGCGGTGAAGATCTCCCTCCTGATAGTTTTCCTGCCGAAGGTGCGTCGCAGCTCGTCCAGCATCCCGGTGATGACACACTCCAGCCCTCCCATCTGTTGGTGCACGAGACATACCACATCACCCGTGTGTGTGTGGGGGGGGGGGGGATACGGGGGCAGGTATTTTGGTGTGCTGTGGGGGGGGGGGGGGGGAGTGTTCAGATGTGTGAGGGAGGGAGGCAGTTATGTGGGGAGGAGGATGAGGCAGGCGAACGCTTATATATACCACCTATACATATGTGGTATACAAAGTTCTGAATGATTCCTTACGCAAGTGTCTAAATGCCGTTCTTATGTTAGCCAGCCTGGCATATGTTGCTGATGTTATCCTCTTGATATGGGCTGCAGGGGACAGGTCTGGCGTGATATCAACCCCCAAGTCTTTCTCTCTTTCTCTGACTCTTGAAGAATTTCATCTCCCAGATGATACCTTGTAACTGGCCTCCTGCTCCTTACACCTATCTTCATTACATTACATTTGCTTGGGTTAAACTCTAACAATCATTCCGTTCGACCATTCCTTCGACCATTCCTTCAGTTTGTCTAGGTCTTCTTGAAGCCTCAAGCTGTCCTCCTCTGTCTTAATCCTTCTCATAATTTTGGCATCGTCAGCAAACATTGAGAGGAATGAGTCTATACCCTCCGGGAGATCATTTACATATATCAGAAACAAGATAGGGCCGAGTACAGAGCCCTGTGGGACTCCACTGGTGACTTCACGCCAATCTGAGGTCTCACCCCTCACTGTAACTCTCTGCTTCCTTTTGCTTAGGTATTCCCTTATCCACTGGAGCACTTTACCAGTTACTCCTGCCTGTCTCTCCAGCTTATGTACCAGTGTGCCACACATATATGTACTTGTGTGTGTGTGTGTGTGTGTGTGTGTGTGTGTGTGTGTGTGTGTGTGTGTGTGTGTGTGTGTGTGTGTGTGTGTGTGTGTGTGTGTGTGTGTGTGTGTGTGTGTGTGTGTGTGTGTGTGTGTGTGTGTTTAATATTTGTAGTAAATACATACACTAAATAAATAAGTGTAGTGTGTGCATGTGTGAGAGAGATAACGGGCAGAGAGAGCACTACTCACGCCGGAGTCGAGGCCGAGAGCGATGAGCATGAGGAAGAAGAGGCAGGACCAGAACTGGGAGCCGGGCAGGGTGGCTACCGCTTCTGGGTACACCTGGAACACCAGCCCGGGACCTGCGGCGGGAGACACAGACAACACAATCAGTCACAATCAGTCAAATTGTGCTTCCAAGTCACACAATCGACTTGAGAATGGTCCAGGACGGACCGAAACGTCGTCGTCCCTTCATTTTCTAGTGTGTGGTCTCGTCAACACAGAAAACGTCCCTATACCACCCCTTTCACCCCACACTCATTTAGTTTTCCTTGTCAAGTCTTTCCGGATCAACCACAGGGAGGGGGCGAGTGTGAAAGGCCATAGTATCATTCCCATTATGCTTTTCGAGTAATTATTAATTTATTTACGCCAATTTGGGGTAAACTCTAGAAGAAATAGAAAATTAAAACGATTTATTTTGTGTAATTTTATGATATTTATGATCAGTTGAGTTAACGAGGAGAGGGGCAAAATATAAAGGTCAAGAGAGGTCAACTCGTGCAAAATTTACAGTTATTTGTGTAATTTGGCAATGCTTCAGGTTATTTAATATAATTTCGGGTGAAGTTAGGTAATTACCGGTTATTTTATATAATTTAGAAAATTTAAGACCTATTAAAGCAATTTCAAGCAACTTTAGTCACTTCTAGAGAGAGAGAGAGAGAGGGGAAGACAGAGGGAGGGAGAGAGAGAGAGAGAGAGAGAGAGAGAGAGAGAGAGAGAGAGAGAGAGAGAGAGAGAGAGAGAGAGAGAGAGAGAGAGAGAGAGAGAGAGAGAGAGAGATTTTTTATTATATATATATATATATATATATATATATATATATATATATATATATATATATATATATATATATATATATATATATATATATATATGTCGTACCTAGTAGCCAGAACGCACTTCATATACATAACATATATATCATATATATATAACATATATATCAGAACATATATGTGATATATGTTTCATTGAATATGCCTGCTTATTCTGTATTGATTATTTTCTTGTTTAGGGCTTCTATCTCTCTGACTAGTGCTCTTGCATCTTGGTTTAATTGGAAGAGGAGTTCTCTAAAAGTCATCTTCGTTCGAGGTGAAGAAAAAGAAATAAATAACTGTAGAATGTATTACACTTATTATAAAATTAAACAACGTTTCGAACCTACATGGTTCATTCTCAAGTCATGGGACAGTACAGGGCATAATGGATTTATAACATTAGTGGAGTCAGGTGTAGACAAATAGGTAAACACAAATCGGTCAAGAATAAGGCGTAAAGGAGAGAAGAGTAAGGCATAAAGTGTGAAGAATAAGGCGAAAATAGGGTACGAAGCGCATACAAAGATTAATCAGGTGTAGTGGGCGTAGCATGTTGAGCAGTGTCTTCAATGTTGGCATCTTCACGTTCCAGTCTTGTTCTTATTTTCATGGTGGGTAGAGTGAATAGTTCTGTTGGGTAAAATTTGGGTATTTATGGTGGGTTGTTAAATTTTTATGTGGATTGCTTCAAGAATTTGTTATCTTAATATATCTTGGGTTTTGTCTATTATACAAGTGTTTTTATTCAACATTTCTCTTATTAGGGTGATGCCATGGGCTTGTCTTATGTGATTTTTAGGGGCACCTGATTGATGATGACAGGTCAAATGCCTCGTCAGCTTGGTCGACCTCATACCTATAAACTTATATTGAAGGAGGATATATCCTTCGTGGGGGCGCGTGTACATATATACAACGTTTGACTGCTGTAAAGGGTTCTCCGTCAGCTTCGGGCTGCTTTTAATAAGGAGGTCGGTAGTCTTCTATGTCTTATAGAATATGATCAGGTCTATGTTTTGGTTAGGTGTTATGCTTTTTACTCCTTTACGGATTATTTCTTTCACTATTCTTTCTTCATTTTTATGTTCACCGTGCATGGTTGATTTGTAATATAAATTTATTGGAGGTGTTGTGGTTTCTGTTCTTGGTTCAGGATTGTACCATCGGTCCAGGGTTTTTTATGCAGGGATATTCCTGCGCGGGCCCTAAGCCTCTGGCTGGCCCACTAAGTGTTGCTTGTTTCTGTTTTACTTGGGCGGAGTATGAGTATTTATGACTCGTATGGTCGCTTCAGTAAGATTTTGCCCCCCATGTGTTTAACAACTTTTTCTGCTCTGTTGAATCTAAGTTGAAATCTTAATGGGTTTGTAACTGTGCACTGTGTTAGATAATGTTCCAGTGGTCTGTCGGGCATTTCTCCACAGTGCGGTCCAGGTGTCGTCTGGGGTGCCACTTCAAGACTGTACCATCGGTCCAGGTGTCGTCTGGGTGCCACTTAAAGACTGTACCATCAGTGGACGTGTGCTAGGTGCCGCTCTGCTCCTTCTCCCACTTTCCTTTCACTGCGATTTTCTGTTTTTTACCCAAACACGTTTCCAATTACTCCAGCATGCTCCCAGATGCACCATCTTGCTCCTAGATACACCAGTTTGCTTCTCCAAGACGTGTAAGAGTCTGTGTGTGTGGGTCAGCTTGAGCTCTTCCTAAGAAAGCAAGGGTGACAAAGGTTGCCTGTCCATCTTCAGTCTTATTATTAGATTTTTGTTGTAAGATTAATACGTTTGAGAAGCCAGCCATCACCGTGTCAATGTGTGTGCTGGTCTGGAGATGGTTTTATGCCAAAGTTGTCACTTTGTACCAAATTATCATTACCTTGTGCTGTAGAGTCCGTGGTTGTCATAGGCTTGTGTGGAGACTGTGATTACAGTGACTGGCTGGAGGAGGGACTGTAAGGTGTAACAACAGTAGCTTGTTGTAGCAAGGTGTAGCAACAGGTGTTACTGTCTATTGACAGCAACACCTGCATGCTGGTGACAAAGACAGGACGCAGAGAGGAGACAAATGAGCGAGGGGAGAGGTAGAGACGAGAGGAAAACACGCATAACAGAACACACTAAGTTGGTGTTGAATAATACAAGAGCACAGAGACGGGTTGCTTGGGACAGGTTAGGTTAGACAGCAGGAGCCGCCACCGGAGGAGCAGGCGTACCGTCAGTGGCGACGGTGCTGATGTGCGTCTTCTGCTTGAAGGCCATGTAGCCCAGGTAGGTGAAGATTACCAGACCCGAGTAGAAGCTGGTGAAGGCGTTCACCAGGCTGGTGATGAGGCAGTCTCGGTAGCAGTTGTTGTTGAAGTTGTTATAGGAGGCGTAGGAGAGGTGCACGCCGAACCCCGCACCCACGGAGAAGAAGACCTGCACGGCCGCCTCGTACCACACCTGTAGCGGCCAGCCGGTTAGTGGGGTGTTGTGAGGGGTTATGGGTGAGGGAGGAGGAGGCGAGGGGGAGAAGGGACAGTAGATGGGAGGACAGAAAACGGCGGTCACAATGAGGGATAACTCTAGCAACAGGTAATTTGTTACTCTAATTTTGACAGGGACACGCAGCCTGTATAAGAATATGTGTTAGCTTTATAATCAAGTCTTCCCCCTCCCCCCCTGCAGGGTCGAGCTACTGACCCTCCCCAGGATCCAACCCCCATAACAGTTACCTAACTCCCAGGTCCCTATTTACTGCTGGGTGAACAGAGGCACTAGATGACAGCAAACGTGCCCAACAATTTCTGTCTCGCTCAATGCCATAATTGGCTCATAATACAGCATGAACTTAATTATTATATTTGCCTGCCTCCATAGACTGATATAATACTAATCGCTAACAGATGTAACATATTGGATTATATTTGCATAAAAAACATTTATATTGGAGGAATTTTTTGTTGTTAACTAGAAGTAATGCTGACTTTTGTTAGCATTACTTCTAGTTAATAGTTATATTGAACTTTGACTCTCAAAGCGAGAGTCTGGAGAGACTCGCTACAGAGACTCTTTACTACAGATAAGACTGTAGTAAAGCAATATCAGTGATGAATACGTTTATGTTGTTAAGGCCCAGCATGAGTGTGTTGGGGACTATAAGACTGACTGTTGGGGACTGAGTGACAGTGTGTTGAGGACTGACTGCATGGCTGTGTTAGGGGGACTGCATGACTGTCTTGGAGCCCGCAGGCCAGTGTTGGGGACTGCATGACTGTCTTGGAGCCCGCAGGCCAGTGCTGGGGACTGCATGACTGTCTTGGAGCCCGCAGGCCAGTGTTGGGGACTGCATGACTGTCTTGGAGCCCGCAGGCCAGTGTTGGGGACTGCATGACTGTCTTGGAGCCCGCGGGCCAGTGTTGGGGACTGCATGACTGTCTTGGAGCCCGCGGGCCAGTGTTGGGGACTGCATGACTGTCTTGGAGCCCGCGGGCCAGTGTTGGGGACTGCATGACTGTCTTGGAGCCCGCGGGCCAGTGTTGGGGACTGCATGACTGTCTTGGAGCCCGCGGGCCAGTGTTGGGGACTGCATGACTGTCTTGGAGCCCGCGGGCCAGTGTTGGGGACTGAATGACTGTCTTGGAGCCCGCGGGCCAGTGTTGGGGACTGCATGACTGTCTTGGAGCCCGCGGGCCAGTGTTGGGGACTGCATGACTGTCTTGGAGAGCCCGCAGGCCAGTGTTGGGGACTGCATGACTGTCTTGGAGAGCCCGCAGGCCAGTGTTGGGGACTGCATGACTGTCTTGGAGAGCCCGCAGGCCAGTGTTGGGGACTGAATGACTGTCTTGGAGCCCGCGGGCCAGTGTTGGGGACTGCATGACTGTCTTGGAGAGCCCGCAGGCCAGTGTTGGGGACTGCATGACTGTCTTGGAGAGCCCGCAGGCCAGTGTTGGGGACTGAATGACTGTCTTGAAGCCCGCAGGCCAGTGTTGGGGACTGCATGACTGTCTTGGAGCCCGCGGGCCAGTGTTGGGGACTGCATGACTGTCTTGAAGCCCGCAGGCCAGTGTTGGGGACTGCATGACTGTCTTGGAGAGCCCGCAGGCCAGTGTTGGGGACTGAATGACTGTCTTGGAGCCCGCGGGCCAGTGTTGGGGACTGCATGACTGTCTTGGAGCCCGCGGGCCAGTGTTGGGGACTGAATGACTGTCTTGGAGCCCGCGGGCCAGTGTTGGGGACTGCATGACTGTCTTGGAGCCCGCGGGCCAGTGTTGGGGACTGAATGACTGTCTTGGAGCCCGCAGGCCAGTGTTGGGGACTGCATGACTGTCTTGGAGCCCGCGGGCCAGTGTTGGGGAGTGCATGAGAGTGTTGGGAGTGTAGAGGAGTGCGGAGGGAGCAGGACCCACCTGGGGGTTGTAGAGGGCGGAGATGGAAGGCTTGATGTAGTAGAGGAGGCCGTCAGCAGCCCCCGGGAGCAGCGCCCCGCGGATCAGCAGGAGGGTAAGGATGACGTAGGGCATCGTCGCCGTAACCCACACCACCTTGCCTGCGGCCGCCTGTATTATCATACCTCCAGCACCCCCATGGCTCTCTCATACAACATTATCATACCTCCAGCACCCCCATGACTCTCTCATACAACATTATCATACCTCCAGCACCCCCATGACTCTCATACAACATTATCATACCTCCAGCACCCCCATGACTCTCTCATACAACATTATCATACCTCCAGCACCCCCCATGGCTCTCTCATACAACATTATCATACCTCCAGCACCCCCATGGCTCTCTCATACATTATCATACCTCCAGCAACCCCATGACTCTCTCATACAACATTATCATACCTCCAGCACCCCCATGACTCTCTCATACAACATTATCATACCTCCAGCACCCCCATGGCTCTCATACAACATTATCATACCTCCAGCATACAACATATCATACCTCCAGCACCCCCATGTCTCTCTAATACAACATTATCATACCTCCAGCACCCCCAGCACCCCCATGTCTCTCTAATACAACATTATCATACCTCCCCCCCATGACTCTCATACAACATTATCATACCTCCAGCACCCCCATGGCTCTCATACAACATTATCATACCTCCAGCACCTCCATGGCTCTCATACAACATTATCATACCTCCAGCACCCCCATGTCTCTCTAATACAACATTATCATACCTCCAGCACCCCCATGTCTCTCTAATACAACATTATCATACCTCCAGCACCCCCATGTCTCTCTAATACAACATTATCATACCTCCAGCACCCCCATGTCTCTCTAATACAACATTATCATACCTGGACCAAGGTGTGCCAGAGACACACAAGCGCCCGTGCATCATTTGAGAGACAACAGACCATTAACAACACTCACACTCATATATACACATATATCCTGTTGCTGTGTATACATCTTAGAGGAAGAATATCTGCATTTGGGAAGTACATTTACAAAGTAGTTATTACCCAAATACTAATGGGCGGGAGCGACGTACCCGAGGACTTGACGCCCTTGAAGAGCGAGAGGTTCTCTCTTGTGGACCCCTACAACCACGTGCTCACCTGTGGACCCCTACAACCACACTCTCACCTGTGGACCCCTACAACCACACTCTCACCTGTGGACCCCTACAACCACACTCTCACCTGTGGACCCCTACAACCACGTGCTCACCTGTGGACCCCTACAACCACGTGCTCACCTGTGGACCCCTACAACCACACTCTCACCTGTGGACCCCTACAACCACACTCTCACCTGTGGACCCCTACAACCACACTCTCACCTGTGGACCCCTACAACCACACTCTCACCTGTGGACCCCTACAACCACGTGCTCACCTGTGGACCCCTACAACCACACTCTCACCTGTGGACCCCTACAACCACACTCTCACCTGTGGACCCCTACAACCACACTCTCACCTGTGGACCCCTACAACCACACTCTCACCTGTGGACCCCTACAACCACGTGCTCACCTGTGGACTCCTACAACCACACTCTCACCTGTGGACCCCTACAACCACGTGATCACCTGTGGACCCATACAACCACATGCTCACCTATGGACCCCTACAACCAGTCTCACCTGTGGACCCCTACAACCACACTCTCACCTGTGGACCCCTACAACCAGTCTCACCTGTGGACCCCTACAACCACACTCTCACCTGTGGACCCCTACAACCAGTCTCACCTGTGGACCCCTACAACCACACTCTCACCTGTGGACCCCTACAACCAGTCTCACCTGTGGACCCCTACAACCACACTCTCACCTGTGGACCCCTACAACCACACTCTCACCTGTGGACCCCTACAACCACACTCTCACCTGTGGACCCCTACAACCACACTCTCACCTGTGGACCCCTACAACCACACTCTCACCTGTGGACCCCTACAACCACGGTCTCACCTGTGGACCCCTACAACCACGGTCTCACCTGTGGACCCCGCACCTGTGGCACTTTCGTCCAAATAGTTACTATAAATACTATCATTTCAGGAGGATGGGCTGAAGAATGTTTGAGAGAGAGAGAGAGGGAGAGAGAGAGAGAGAGAGAGAGAGAGAGAGAGAGAGAGAGAGAGAGAGAGAGAGAGAGAGAGAGAGAGAGAGAGAGAGAGAGAGAGAGAGAGAGAGAGAGAGAGAGAGAGAGAGAGACTAGAGAGAGAGAGAGAGAGAGAGAGAGAGAGAGAGAGAGAGAGAGAGAGAGAGAGAGAGAGAGAGAGAGAGAGAGAGAGAGAGAGGGAGAGAGGAGAGAGAGAGAGAGAGAGAGAGAGAGAGAGAGAGAGAGAGAGAGAGAGAGAGAGAGAGAGAGAGAGAGAGAGAGAGAGAGAGAGAGAGAGAGAGAGAGAGAGAGACAGCTGACCAGCTAGGAGCGTCAGCGCTCTCTCTCTCTCTCAAACCTGGCCGTGTGCGGTCATGGCTGGAACACTTACTTGAAGTACTCCTCGGAGGGCGACATGAGGCTGGAGGAGTTAGGTCTGGGCTCCTCGGAGGTGAGGCCGTCCCAGCAGTTGTCCGTGTTCCAGGTATGGTTGCACGAGGTCCACGGCAACTCGTAGCTGAAGGAGGCGTACACGAAGTAGATCGACCAGGCGATGATCACGTTGTAGTAGAAGCTGACGAAGTAGGCGACCAGCACCGCACAGTACCCAACGCCTGCAGGGGCGGGGGAAGGACTCATGTGTGTGTGTGTCCCTCGGTGTATATGTTTTTTTATTTATACAGTATACTCCTGTATAAGGAATGGGGAGGGGGTCTATTAGTACAGATGTCTAAGGGACCCATCAAGAGCCTCTCATCAGTACTGGCTGGTGTTGTTACCCCTCACTACCTGGGAAGGGCCCTCCAGCCCTCCTTTACCTTCATGCCCTTTTGATTGTTGCTGCCGAAGGCGGCTAGTTTATTGTGCACCCCATACTCATCCTGTGAGCGGTAGTGCAAAAGCATTACAGAGGGCACAAAAGGTCTTTATCAGACCTCATCTTAGATTATTACATAAACAATTTCATCTATCCTTCACACCTTATAGTTCATGCCCTCCTTCCCTCTCTTCCATACTCTTCTCAACACTTCTCTTCAAATGCACAAAGAAATCACATTAACGTGATGTATCATTGGGAAAAAACAGTGGAAGCCTCGAGAAAGAATTCGAACCTGCGCACTGGATAACGCCAAACACATGCCTTAAACCAAATAACCACGACATTCTCAAAAGCAATTCAACCTGGAATTCAACTAAATGCTCTAAGGTTCCCGAGGCTTCCACTGGTGAAAAGTTAGGTTGTCCAACATTGCCAGCGCTCCGGCTGTGGCTGAAGGCCGGTGCTTGTCCACACTCAGTGTACAGTCACACACACGGCTCCTACCTATTTCCTCAATCATGCATCGCATTAATGTGATTTCTTAATGCAATAATAATAATAATAATAATAATAATAATAATAATAATAATAACAATAATAATAATAATAATAATAATAATAATAATAATAATAATAATAACAATAATAATAATAATAATAATAATAATAATAATAATAATAATAATAATAACAATAATAATAATAATAATAAATCACATTACAGTGATATATATATATCAATGCCAAAATCCACTAGAGCTACAGGTGGATACGAACCTTGATAAGCGGCGTACTTTACCACCAGTCCACCACTGACATGTAAAGTCATACACCAGGATTTCTACTGACTTCACAGCAAGTCTGGAGCCCCTCTCCAAGTTTTACACCCCCCCCCCTCGCCCCCTGCAGGCACCCGGGTGCAGGGAGTGAGAGAGGGTGGTGGTGGGGGCGGGGTGGTGGTGGTGCAGGGAATTAGTGCAAGTGTTGCAGGAATGACAGCTCAACATACCTCTGAAAAGAGGACAGACTTTCCAGACGGTGATGGGCCCCTGGCGGTTGTACTGGCCCAGCACCAGTTCCATGAAGAAGAGCGGGAGGGCCCCAAACATGGTGATGAGGAAGTAGGGGAGAAGGAAGGCGCCTGGGAGGGAGAGAGAGAGATATATAGCGACACTTGGCGCACCTCGTCACTACCAGCACTACTACACTTCCTTCCTGAAAGAAGTAATTCAAAATTTAACACCAAATTTAATATTGCTGAGTGATCTTTGATAGTCTTATCGACAGATTTTTAACTGAAATTGTTCTTATGTGTATATTTTGGGGAGGAGTGTTGGGCTCCTTAGGGAGGTGTGTCTTGGGGAGGTGTGTCTTGGGGAGGTGTGTCTTGGGGAGGTGTGCCTTGGGGAGGTGTCTTGGGGAGGTGTGTCTTGGGGAGGTGTGTCTTGGGGAGGTGTGTCTTGGGGAGGTGTGCCTTGGGGAGGTGTGCCTTGGGGAGGTGTGCCTTGGGGAGGTGTGTCTTGGGGAGGTGTGTCTTGGGGAGGTGTGTCTTGGGGAGGTGTGTCTTAGGGAGGTGTGTCTTGGGGTGGTGTGCCTTGGGGAGGTGTGCCTTGGGGAGGTGTGTCTTGGGGAGGTGTGTCTTGGGGAGGTGTGTCTTGGGGAGGTGTGCCTTGGGGAGGTGTGCCTTGGGGAGGTGTGTCTTGGGGAGGTGTGTCTTGGGGAGGTGTGTCTTGGGGAGGTGTGCCTTGGGGAGGTGTGTCTTGGGGAGGTGTGTCTTGGGGAGGTGTGCCTTGGGGAGGTGTGTCTTGGGGAGGTGTGCCTTGGGGAGGTGTGCCTTGGGGAGGTGTGCCTTGGGGAGGTGTGCCTTGGGGAGGTGTGCCTTGGGGAGGTGTGTCTTGGGGAGGTGTGTCTTGGGGAGGTGTGCCTTGGGGAGGTGTGTCTTGGGGAGGTGTGTCTTGGGGAGGTGTGTCTTGGGGAGGTGTGCCTTGGGGAGGTGTGTCTTGGGGAGGCGGGCCACTTACCTCCTCCATTACGGTAACAGAGGAACGGGAAGCGCCACACGTTGGCCAGGTCCACAGCGAAGCCGATGATGGAGAGGAGGAAGTCCATAGACTTGGCCCAGGACTCCCTGCCGTCGTCGGCCACATCTGGGCGGGCAGGTCGGGGTGCGGGGCCCGTGGCGGCGGGGGCTGCGGCAGTAGGGGTGCGGGGAGCCACAGCAGCCACAGGCACGCTCTCCCCACCCACTGCGCCATCGGCGTCGGGGGCAGGTTTGGCGAAGTTGGCGTCCCCAGCAAGTGGGGAGGCGTCGACCGGTGGGCCCCGCGGGTGAGGCAGCACTCCTGCCACCCGCCGCTCGCCTGTCACAAACACACACACATACACGTTAGTACTAAACATCTACACAAGCAGAATAACTTAGAATAAACTACATGATAACGTGCTGTCTGAACAACTACCAGTCTTAACATCTATTAAATAGAATGTCTATTTGTGTCTCTGTTTGCCTGTCTGCTAGATCGACGTTGGAGGACAGAGGCTTGGGGCTAGCCTCACCAAACTTTGCAGGGTGAATGGTCTTTCGCCACGGTTGGTCCTTGGCGGCTCAGGGTCGAGCCCCACGACTCCTCTGTGTATGAAATGACAAATTACAGTAATTTGCAAACACGCTAAATACCAGACTCTGGATCCTCACATCGTCACTAAGAATCATCTGGCATATTATTTTCTACATGATGAGTAAATGTTAGTTTCCTTTCTGTTGTTTATTTATTGATGAATACAGTGTTTTGTGGCAATGTTTACAGGGATGAAAGGGAAGTGGTGAAGGGTCCAGAAGGTGGTGATTGGTAAGGAAGATGATGAATGGTGAGGATGTTGGTGAGGGATAGGGGGAGGCAGTGAAGGATAGGGAAGATAGTAGCGGCGCCAGGTAGTGATGATGGTTACAGAGATAAAGATAGTATTTTGTCAAAATGTTTACAGGATGTTGATGGTTGTGTTGTGTAGTGTTGTAGCAGGTGTCTGGGTCTCACCAGACCCCGGGTTCGAGTCACTCCATTGCCTCAAGATGATTTTCATTGATCTATCAAGCTGTTGTTATTTCATTGTGATCTGAGTGTGGCGTAAGAGTGTACTCACCTACTTGTGCTTGCGGGGGTTGAGCTTCGGCTCTTTGGTCCCGCCTCTCAACCGTCAATCAACTGGTGTACAGATTCCTGAGCCTACTGGGCTCTGTCATATCTACACTTGAAAATGTGTATGGAGTCAGCCTCCACCACATTACTGCCTAATGCATTCCATCCGTTAACTACTCTGACACTGAAAAAGTACTTTCTAACGTCCCTGTGGCTCATTTGAGTACTCTGTTTCCATCTGTGTCCCCTTGTTCGCGTACTACCCGTGTTAAACAGTTTATCTTTATCTATTTGGGGAGACATGATAGAGTTTGGGGAGACATGATAGTTATCATGTCTCCCCAAACTCTTGTCTCTTCCAGTGTCGTGAGGTTTACTTAAAGTAATCTTTCTTCATAGCTCATTCCTCTCAGCTCGAGGACTAGCCTGGCGGCATATTTCTGAACCTTTTCTAACTTCGTTGTGTGTTTGACTAGATGTGGACTCCATGCTGGAGCCGCATATTCCAGTATTGGTCTGACATATGTGGTATACAAGGTTCTCAATGATTCCTTACACAAGTTTCTGATGGAAGTTCTTGTGTTCGCCAGCCTTGCATATGCCGCTGATGTTATCCTTTAGATGAAAAAGGAGATGACCTGCCTGAGATATCCTTTAGATGACCTCCCCCCCCCCCCGCCTTCAGGGGGCAGGTTTGGTGTGATATCAACCCCCAGATCCTCCTCTCGTCGTGACTCCTGAAGGATTTCCTCTCCCAGCTGGTACCTTGTGTTTGGCCTCTTGCTCCCTACGACTATCGTCAACACTTTGCACTTGCTTGCTTGCACGTGAGGGGGGGGGAAGCGTTCATTCATGAGGGAGGGGGCCGCCCCTCACCACGCGGGCTCCCCCCCCCCCCCACATTAACACAAGACGCGCCACTTGCGGCGTTGCTTTAAGTCGCGTCAGATATGATGCGCGGCTCATTATTCGGGTAATATATTAATGGTAACAAGAGCCTCGTTCGGGGGGGAGGGGGGGGGTATGGGGGAAGATGGAGTCGGGGGTTGTGACCGAGGTTCGACCCCCACCTCCCCCCCCCCTTTGACTTGCTCAAGCACTGTGACGCAGTTTAGGGAGCGCATGACGCCTTTCCCAGACGCTGCCAACACCTGGCGAGTACAGACAACACCCGCCAAGATGGTGGGATTAGAGCACACGCCATGACCACAACAGGTGAGCTACTGAGTGACACAACACGAGTGTAAACAAGTGAGGTGTTGTTAGGGTGTTGTGAGGCGCGGCGTTGGTCAACCCCGCACCAGCACCACAGCGCCTGACCGCTCTCGCGATTTTAAAACCTCTAATTTGAAGTGCTTTCGTGTGACCATAAGTGTAGGCACCCAGACCAACCCGCCTCATCTGAGGAGGGGTGAGAGGGAGGGGTGAGAGGGGAGGGGTGAGAGGGGAGGGGTGAGAGGGGAGGGGTGAGAGGGAGGGGTGAGAGGGCAGGGGTGAGAGAGAGGGGTGAGAGGGAGGGGTGAGAGGGAGGGGTGAGAGGGGAGGGGTGAGAGGGGAGGGGTGAGAGGGCAGGGGTGAGAGAGAGGGGTGAGAGAGAGGGGTGAGAGGGAGGGGGAGCGGACGTTGACTGACCAGTGGACACAAGAGGCACATGACCCCACCACAGCCAGCTCCTGCTGTCGTGGACAATGGTGCTGGGTACAGTGCAAGGACTATTACTGAGCACACTGATGTGTCAGGCCAAGGAGAGAGAGAGAGAGTACGCCACCTTGAGATAGTTCCGGGGCTTAGCGTCCCCGCGGCCCGGTCCTCGACCAGGCCACCATAACATTATGTAAATAGATTGAATGATTTACCACCAAGGCCTCGCGCGTGACGCCATTGAGAGCTCAGGTTCACTGTTGTCATGTGTGTGGTGTTGGTAACGCTGGCCGCCTTCATCTTTACTCTCACCTAAATGTACTTAACACATGTTGAGCTGTAGCTCCTGGGTTCCGCCTCTCATCCTTCAAACACCTGATGTATATATATACCAGGAGGAGTACCCGGCGTCGCCCGGGTCTGTCTGTCTGTCTGCCTCCCATCTGCCTATTTATCTACCTATCCATTTATTCACCTTTTCACCGATTTCTCCATTCATCTATCACTATCCATCCCTCAATCTATCCCATCTATCAAACAATCCACCTATCCATCTATTTAACTATCCCTCCATTCATTTACCCATCTATCCATCCCTATTTCCATATATCTGTCTATCCAACCATCTATACATCTTCCTATCCATCTATTTATCCAGTTATCCATTCATCTATGAGTCTATGTAATCATCTATCTATCCACCCATCCCTCTATCCATCCTCCTACTCATCTTTCCAGCCATATATCTGCCCATCTATGCATCCCTCTATCCAGTTATCTATCCGTCTATCCATTCATCCATTCGCCTGTTCATTCACCTACTCATCTGTCTATCCATCCATCGATCCATCCGTCTATCCACCCAGTTATCCATGAGTCTATGCATCTGTCAATCCACATATCAAACTATCTACTCATCTTTCTCTCCATATCTAAATTCATCTATCTATGTTTGTCTGTGTCTGTGTCTCTGTATTTGTCTCGGCACCTGTCTGTCTGTCTGTCTGTCTGTCTGTCTGTCTGTCTGTCTGTCTGTCTGTCTGTTTGTCTGTCTGTCTGTCTGTCTGTCTGTCTGTCTGTCTGCCTGTCTGTCTGCCTGTCTGTCTGTCTCTAATAAAATATAATTGTCGTATGTGCTGGTGGTGGCCAGTGAGAGGAGTTTATTGGTGTGAAATACTAAAAAAAAGAATAGTTAGACTTTACTCTGATAAAGGACTGTGGTTTGAGAAACCTCTGAAGCTGTGGAAGAATTGTGTGTTTTATGCCAGTACGGACAAATTATTGACAGCAGGAAATTCCTGTTAACTTTCCTGAGATCAGTGAATAATGGTGAATATTACTATAAGAAAAAAATTGCCTTGGAAAGTTTGTTTTGGAATATATAGCGGTGACGTTGGCGGGCAGTGCCCAAAATTCGTCGTGGGGGTGTGCATGTGACCGTGGCCCGCTGTTCCCTTTTGAATTATGGCAACTCCGACCAGCCTATGTTCACCCCATACCACAGACCATTCCCGCTGTGCCAAGTCTGGTGAGGGCTAGCTGCCCTTATACTGCGTGGCCTTCAACTTCGAACGAACAATCAGACGGACATTCTCTTTATATAATACTGATATGTTCCAGAGCCTATTGGCCTGCATCATATCTACATCTGAAGTTACACATGTAGTCTGCCTGCATCGCTTCACTATAGTGCATTCCATCTGTTCACTATTCTGATACTGAATACATTATTTATATAGTCTCTGTGGCTCATTTGGGTATTTAGTTTCTACTTGTGTCCCCTTGTGTGAGTTGCTACTCCTGATAAATATCCTCTTCTTCTGCCCTCTTAATTCCCAGGTATTTTATATGTGGTTATCATGTCTCCTATGTTTCTCCTCTTCTAGTGATGTTAGGTTAAGCTCTTGTTAACTTTCCTCGTTACTGAAGCCTCACAGCTCTGGAACTAGTCTGGTGGCTTGCCTCTCAACTGTCTCCAGCTTCATATTAAGTTTAACGAGATAAGGACTCCACGCAGGTGCCGCGTATTTCAAAACTGGTCTGACATACGTGTTGATACAATATCCTGAACGGCTTCTTATTTATATTACTAAAGACAGTTCCTTTAATGATCAACCTTCCTTATGCAGCTGTTTGGTTGATGTGGGCTTCTGGTGACAGGAACGGTGTACAAGTTGGTTTTGGGGTTGAACGGTGTATCAACCCCAAAACCTTTACTTTGCCTGATACCACGAGGGTTTCTTCTTCCATTTGATACTGTGTGTCCGGCCTCCTTTTCCCAGCACCCATCTTCACTACCTTACACTTGCCTTTGTTAAACTTTACTAGCCATTTGCTATGCCATATTTTCATTTTGTTCAGGTCATGTTGTAGTTTCATGCCGTCTTCCGTAAGACGTATCCTTCTGATAGTCTTGCATCAACAGCCAACATAAAAAGGAAGAGCCCTATTGTCTCTGGTAGAGTGTTGACATACATTAGGAATAGGATGAGCCAGAGTACTGAGTGACCTGGTGAGTGTGATGTCAGTGGTGACATCCCGCCACGCTCACGTCTCTTCTCTCACTGTGACTGTTCTGTGTT